CTTTTCCCCAAAGCAAGGCGAGGGTGCCCCAAGAATTTCGTGTTTAAAGACGTAAGGAACTTGATTTCGAAAAGAAGGAGCAAAGGCAGCACTAGGCATCCCGGGATCTCCGTGTAGGTCACCGACGGCTCCAAGACCAGGACGATGTGCCACCAGCCTGACCCATAGGGGGTACCCCTGTTTATACACCCAAATAGAATAGAATCCCCTCAAAGGGACCCCAATACAAGGGTACCCCTAAACCCATATCTTGAGCTTCAGCCTGCTGGGCACACGACGACCTCTCCCTCGGATTGAGTGAACTCCACCATACCGATCCCGGCAGCCGTGCCCGCGAGCTGAGCGTTGCAGTGCAGGGCGCGCACCCGCGGGTACTCCTGGTTTTACAGAGGATAGGGTCAAGGGCTTAGGGTGTAAGGGTTTAGGGTGTTTAGGATTTAGGGCTGAGGGTTCAAAGGATGTTCAAGGGGTGTGATGGAGGGCTACAAGGCCCAGTCTAGCCGTGAAGATTTATAAGATTTTGTGGGCCACGGCTGCGCCTGCTCAAACCAGGCCTTTGCCGAAGCTGAGGGGTGATACTCGGGAGTCTGATCCGAGCCAGGAAGGAAGGGCTGGCCCAGGGTCTGGGAGACCAGCAGAGACTCCGGTGTGGAGGGGGGAAAGATGCACCAGCGCTTCTTCCCCACGATGCACGCGTTCCAAAACATGGTCGAGTTGGGGTCTTGATGGCAGCCGAGCCCCGAGCCTGCACCGCCACATAGAAACCACCGGAACAAGGGTGACCACCGTGCATGGGATGGATCACCATGGATCTCATGCTCCTCAGGAGCAGGGGATCCTTGGTGTCGGATGTAGGCATACACACCACCATCGCGGGGTAAGCTGAGCAGTGGCAAGCCTGGGCCGACATCCTCCAGAAGCTCGGAGTGCTTGGACTCGTCGGCTTCCTCGTCGTCCCTCTCCCGTGGGGAAGCGAATCTCGGAGATGTAGGTGTGCGGGTCCTGGCACGCTGCAAGAATCCCAAGTCTTTCTTAAGCCTCCGTTTTGATTTGGCTCATGGCTGCGCGCCCTTCATGCAGCATGCCTGTGCTAGCTGTGCTATTCCTGCTCCAGCGGTCTGTGAGATGCCTGCGGGGTGGCTGGACATTGTGTAGGCACCCTAAAAGCACGGCTGGCTTTCAGATTCATCAACAGCAAACAGAAAACAGTGCCCACAAAACTAAGGTACATTGAGAAAACCGGGCTTTAGATGCTTTGCATCTCAGCATGACTGCGATCCCAAATTATCGGACAGCCTTGAAGAAATGTTCATGTTTAGTTTGGAGATGGGGTATCTGCACATCTGGATATGAGTTCAAGTTGAGCTGCCTGAAGAACTCGGGGGACGCGACAGGCACTCCATGTATTCAATGAACTCAAAGCGGGGTCTTGTACAACAAATATCATGAGTCATGCTCATCATCTGCGCCCGGCTTCCCACACAAAATGTCAAACTCAGCAGCAATGGGGCGAACGCAAAAAGCTGTTGGGGTTCGTTTTTGGTGTTTGCTTGGTGTTCATTCTCGCCGGTAATACCGTTTTTGGTTATCCTTTGTTTTCGCGTCTTTTGTATTCGTTCTCGTGGTGGTTTTGGCGTTCATCCTTGCGCTAGTCTATGTCGTTGGAGAACGAGCACTTTCATGTACTAAAAAGTGATAATGCTTGGACTAGATGTTTAAGATCATGACGCTCTTTTGATGGGTGCGAATCGAAGGCCACTGAATCTGCTGCCTGAAAACATTTGAAAACTAATTAGCCATTGTAACTGCAACGCCATTGTAACTGCAATCTTTGCTTTTAGAGTTTAACCGTTCCTGCTCGCAGCAACGTAGCCGGCATTGTCAACAGAAGGTTGTTGCAGGATTCCTTCGGCTCTCAAAGGGGGAAGTTCTATACTCCGGTCAGCTTAGCATGAGTTGGGCGCAACAGGCAAGGCGATGGCAAGGCGTCTTGCACAAACAACACAGAAGAGTCATGCAGTGTGTCATTACAAGGTCCTTGCCAATCTCGGAAAGGTACTCGCCCAAGGGCAGCTCAACGTTCATGGTGCTGTCCGAATTCGGCACGGCACGGATTGCGAGGAACCCTCTGTTGCCGTAGAGTCTGGCTAGGCTGCCATCACGCAACTGCCAGCGCGTCCGTGCTGGCCAAGGCGCCAGCAGTTCCTTGGCTGGAGGTATCACTGGCGGGTTGCTGTCCACGATCGCAGCAGAAACTGGCAGAAACTGTGTACGTTTGCATCTCGATTCGCCAAGGCTCATGCTGTGGCTCACTGTAAAACAGCACAGGGTGCCTTTCCCGTGAGCAATCGAACGGTTTGCCGCCAGTTCGCAGCCTCACACGCGTAATCGGAAGCGGCCCGACATCCTTTGCCGTGCTCTTTGGCATGACGACACTGGGGTTTAGGGCTGAGCCTAGAACAGGAAACCGCGAAAAAACCGAGAAAGTTAGGACGGTCTGAAGTCATGTGATGTCATGTCTTGTCTTGGCTCAAAGAGACTTAGGAGACCAGAATTCGAACTCCTTCGGTCCGGCCATGAGAGGTGCATGGAGCCAATATGGCTTTCTTCGGCCACTCTTCCGGAGCACTCTTTGTAAGTCCAACCCGCCGAAGACTCCGAAGTGTGCGTGAGGGGTCCCATTGAACCGTAAACCATAAACCCTAAACCCTAAACCCTAAACCCTAAACCCTAAGGGCCTTAGAGGCCGATGACTTGAACCTTTCGTCCTATCATGCGGGCTTACATCTTGTGGTCCTGCTCTGCCTCGGCCGCTGGACCCTGCCTGGCATGAAGCCGGCGGTTTCGGGCGTAGGTTCAGGGCTTGGGCATGTTCAGGGCATGTCAGGCGGCAGGCATTAAGTCACAAGGGTCCAGGCTACTGCCCCTGTAAGAGCTGACGGTGTTGCAACTCCATGATTTCAACTTTCGATTCGCCTCCGTTCCTGAGGGCCCTATTCCAAACTCTCTTTTGTAACAGCGCCTGGGCCCAATCGGACGACGGCTGGGTCCGGACCTGCTTGGAGCGAGAAGTTCTCGGGGCTCGGGGTTCCTAGAGACAGGCGTTGCGTTGGTTTGACGCTTTGAGGAATCTAGGGCTTTTGCAGGTAGTAGTCCTAGGGACGAAGTCATGAGTAGGCCAAAGGCCTTTCGGCCACCCGACCCTTACGCGAGGGGAAACATGCCAAAATCTTGGGTTTCTGTACCGGAGCTGGAGTCGGAGGAGATCCCAAAAGGATTGCAAGTACAGACCCAGTTTGGGGCTGCTTGCTCGGGCCATGAGAGTTATCTCTCAACATCTTGGCAGCTCAGGCGGATGGAGACCGGCAGAAGTAATTAATCACTCCCTCCTGCACTGATGTGCGCGAGCAGTGGCATCATCTGGTGGCAAGCATCAGGAGCATTGGCTGCCTGCTGCACCTCGGCCTGGCGGGGCATCATGGGCATCAGCTCCGGGGCAACTTTGGGTTGTCAGCTGCGGAGGGTCGGCATACACCAACGCGCATCATGAGCATCAGTTGGTATTCCCAGGCCACACCAACGAGCATCATGAGCATCAGCTGCCAACTGCTTCGGCTTGCCCGGCAAGACCATCGAGCATCATGAGCATCAGTTGGGACTTGTTTCGCATTCCTGGGCACACCAACGAGCATCACCAGCATCAGCTGCCAACTGCCTCGGCTGGCCCGGCAGGACCAGTGAGCATCATCAGCATCAGAACTGTTTCCGGCATTATGGGGCATCATCGGCATCAGTTTTGACTTGTTTCGTATCCCTGGGCGACACAAACGAGCATCAGGAGCATCAGCTGCCAACCGCTTCGGCTTCCCCGGCAGGACCGGCGCGCATCATGAGCATCAGTTGTGACTTGTTTCGAAGTTTTGGGCTACACCAACGAGCATCATGGGCTATACCAACGAGCATTCTGAGCATCAGCTACCAACAACTCCCGGCATGATGGGGGATCATAAGCATCAGTTGTGACGTGTTTCATATCAGCGCTGCCAACTGCTTCGGCTTGCCCGGCAGGACCTGCGAGCATCAAAAGCATCAATCAGATTTCGTTGGCCTCAAGCGATCAGCACGAGAATCCTGCCATTTGCTGCTTCTGCCCGGCAAGACTGGCAAGACATCAGCTTATCAGCTGGCAACTACTTTCAGGCCAGCTGGGACTTGCTTGGCATTCCCAGTAACAAGCCGCACGGGCGAATGTCATAAAACGTCAACTCCCAGCTGTCTCAGCTGCCGCGCGCTTCGGCTTTCCAGGCAAAGAACGGCGAGCATCATGAGTATCAGCATGCTGAAATATGAGGTCCTAGGTCCTAGGGGGTTGCACCAACCACTTCACAGACATCCGATGAACGTTGTTTCCGCTGCCCGCGTGCCGAACTCCCAGCATCATGAACATCAGCACCTGCGGGTTCGACTGCCTGCAAGCCAACATCATGAACATCAGCCCCCACCTCTTCAACCTTTCCTGGCTTGATTGGGCTTTACTTGTTCCGCCGTTTTCTCTGTCATCTCTTGCCTGGCCATGCCGGCGTGTTACAGCCCTTTGCAATCATTTCCGCGGGGACTCCTACATGCAGAATGGCAATCAGCTGATATCCAAAGCGTCCTGTTGGAATGCACCCCATGTGGGCCCTCGCAATCATTCTTGTGGGCTGGCACAGAAAGAAGCAAGTGGGCCTTGAGGCCTACGAGTATGATGCAGTCAAAGACTCCACGCAGCTTCAGGATGGCGATCGGCATTTCGACATGCATGGGAACGCATGCATAAACGCAACTGTGCATAAAGATGTCATTGCCCCCCTTTTGCTTTCAGAAGTCACCCCGAAAATGCAACAAGTCAGCTCAGGATGGCGCGCGCCGTTGGCCTCGCACATCTGCAATTGCAGTAGTCTGTGGCGTCGCCGCATACACTGAGCCTTTGAGTATGTGTCCGTGCCTTGGACGTCTTCTCACGCAAGAGTCTGAACAGCAGCGGGCGCAAACCTTAGACCGGCAGCCAGAGAGGCCCTGCTTAGGGTATAGGTTTTAGGGTTGAGGGTTTATAAGGGTGCCCGAGGCGTCCCCACTGAAAGGCACATTTGACACTCCGAACTGCTGAAAGGCGCCTCGCGCAACTCAAGGCGCCAAACATGGCCAAACACGAAAAAAGACGCTCTTCGTGAGACCACCACCCAAAGAGGCAAATAGCGCGACTCAGTGTCATACACCAAAGATCCGGACGCAGAAGAAACCTGCCTTCGAGCTGAAACCTGAACCCTTAGGGCAAGTACCTGGACCCTAACAACGCAAAACCTGCAGGTAGGAATGTTCCCCCTTAGACGAAGAGAGGGATTACGGTACCCCTATTCCTTAATAGGGACTAGAATCCCTATTCGGGACTCTCAGTATAGGGGGGAACATCCCAACCTAAAGTGGCCTTAAATCGGAGGCCCCGGCTCAACAATCTTTCCAGAGGCGCCCAGTCGATGCTGTGTTCCGCTGCGCTCGGATCACCAGGGCAATCGTGCAAGTGGATCCGCATGCTTTCCAGGTTCTCCACCTTCACAAGGGGCTTCAGGTCTACAGTTCAGGGTGCAGTTTAGGGCTCAAGGTTCCGGATTTCTCATCCTTCCGTAAGTCACTCACGCTGTCTCCGGTGCATCCTGCTGCCTGAATGCCTCCGCCTCAGCTGTGTTTTGCTGGACGGGCCTCCGCGGCGTTCAGTCTCTGAACCACGGGCAGGAGCTTGGAATCCCGGTCTGCGCAGGAGCCCCAGAAGCGTCACAATCAAAAGACTGTGCGTTGAAATTATTGCTATTTGTATGATCGTATTCCTGATAATGCATATTATACATATACATATACATATACATATACATAAACATAAAAAAAATATATATATATATATATATATTTCTTTTGTGCCCCCCTCCCTGTACCCCACGTCTGCGTCGTGAAGTTGCAGGCTTGACACCAAGGTTGCCATGTAAAAGCCTTACTCACCATACTACTTACTCTGAGGGGCAGACTTGTAGAACTATGAGACTCTGCTTTTTGTTCTTTGACCGTAACTATTGAAATGGATGAGCCTGCCTCCTTCACTATATTGTTACTATACTTCCCTTAGAACTTAGTACTCAAAACCACAAGAAGGAAAAACAATCATGAATAGTTCCTTAGGTTTATAAAGGAGAAAATCCTCTTCCTCATAGCTAGGAATAATTTGTTTAACTTCTCAAATTGCTCGAGCTGAACAAGCCAAGGGGGTAATTTGGTCAATTGTAATTGGGGGCGGGTGGCGGGGGGGGGGGGGGGGGGGGGGGGGGGGGGAGGGACATTGAACAATCATCTATCTTAGTAGAGGCTTTACTCATGAAAAGTTGCAAGTATAAGAAATCGTTTCAGACCGGCATGATGGGGGATCATAGGCATCAGTTGTGACTGGTTTCATATTCCTCGGCCCCACCACCGAGCACCATGAAAATCAGCAGCCAACTGCTTCTGCTTAGTTGGAGGGCCGTCGAGCATCATGAGCATCAGTTGGGACTTGTTTCGTATTCCAGCCAGGTCATACCACACATTCGATCAGCCACGTCAAGGGATTCATTGTCTCCTCGATGCAAAGTATATAAAGCAACATGACAAATGTCTAATGTGACAAGCTGTAATTGTAGGATGGCTCCACTTGGCATAGCAAGCTACTGACCTGAGGGTAGCTTCACATACTTTGGAGACATTGCAGTGTCAGCGAGTGTTTTTGGCTAGTTTCATTGCCCCGAAATAATCGGATTTAAACCAGTTAATATGTGTGTAAAAATATCCTTTAAACCATTCTAATTGCTGTATCGATTTTCCTGGTTTGAAGTCATTCATTCATTTAACGAATCGAAGCAATAACTCAATCAAAAAATAAAGTAGTCTAGTTGTATGCAATAAAGGCAAGCCGAAACGCCAAACATACCCAACAGAGCTCTCTCACTTGCATACATACATACATGCATGCATACATAGATACATACATACATACAGACATACATAGATAGACATAGACATACATATGCATACATAGACATACATAGACATACATATACACACATACACATGCACACACACACACACATACACATACATTCGGAGCCGGGCTTAAGTCTAGGGGCCTCAGGGCTTGAAGTTCTAAGGCACGACCTGCGGCCCAAGACATCGTCTAAGCCCGATATTCCGAAGTCTCTCAAGTCTCAACCCTCAGTCACATTCAGGGTTTAGGGTTTAGGGTTTAGGGTTTAGGGTTTAGGGTTTAGGGTTTGGGGATTAGGGTTTAGGGTTTAGGGTGGGAGAGGGCGCCTTCTTCGATGGTATCGTCGTCCTCCAGCATGGCGCACAAAGCTGCCCATAGGGCGCTAAGGCAGCTCGGAGCCTCTCTTGCTTGGTTTTTGTCTTTGGGGTTTAAGGGGTTTAGGGTTTAGGGTTTAGGGCTTATTGAAGGGCATTGCGTGTCTTCTCAAGGGAATTTCCAAGGCTCTGACCCCACTGCGCGGGCCATCTCTGGCAACGGCACCTTACAAGGTATACTATATATACATACATATTTGTAGTATATATGATAATATACATTTGTAAGTATATATGTATATACATATATATATGTTATTTTTATTCTCATTATTACTGATTCTATATTTTATCGACATATGGCAGCCTGGACACTGTGAGACCAACCCTTGGGGAGTCTTAGGCCTCGACACTCAACGCCCAGAGCCTCCATGGCCGGAAGGAGCTCTTGCGATGGTGCTGACTCCTAGCTGTGCGAAAGCAGGCTGCCAGCATGTTCGGCGCACTTCGTGTGCGGTGCGCGTCACGAAAGAACAGCTTGCTGGGCCTTTCGCTCGGCCTTTTTCTCAGGCTCCGCGTCTTCTGCAACTCCTTCCGAACAGTGAGCTTCGGGAAGCTTCATCGGTAGGGGAATGCACCCGGCACGGCCTCCATCATTCGGCGCCTCGGCCTCCCGCGAAACAGAGTCGAGTTACCATTTATGCTTGTCTGCACAGAGCCCGTGATAGGGGAAGGCAGGCAAAAGTGGATTCTGAAGCCGACTGCGACAGGAACCTCTTCGGCATCGGGATGGCTGTTGTCTTTGGCCCTCCAGCCTGCAGAACCACGCGCCAAACCAAGCGGAGCAGAAGAAAGTGCAAGGCAACCGCCCAAACTCTTCCGAGGGTTGAAACCCTAAACGACCTTTTCGTACATTTGAGCCAGAGTAGGGATGCCATTCACCATGAACATTGTTGTGCCCCCGAGCGAGTTGAATTCAGTACCCCCCCCCCCCCAAAAAAAAAAGATAGTTCTTTTCTGCAATGACCAGATTCCCCTGGCCTCCGCCTTCACTCTCCTTGGTACTGGCAAGAGGAATGATGTCGCGCGGGGGGTAGCGCTTGAAGTTGCCGTCAGACCTCGGTGCGAAAGGATAAGACTCTCATGGGAACCTCTCGGGGGCTGGATGATATATAATATATATTGTCGTTCATAGAAAATATAACATGTATATGTATAATAGTAATATGTGAAGAATGTGTATATATATATGTTTATATATGTATATGTGTATATATATATGTATATGTATATGTATATGTATATGTATATGTATATGTATATGTATATGTATATGTATATGTATATGTATATGTATATGTATATGTATGTATATATATATATATATATATATATACATATAGATATATGTATATGAAATATAAATAAATAAATATATATATATATAGATATATTCTGTGATGCACCAGTTCTTTCTGGACATGTCTGGACATGTGGGGTTGCTCTAAACTAGGGCCCGTTGACTTGAGGACCTCGAACAATCGTGTTGAAGGCATCTTTCAAGGGACCCTATTTTTGAGCAACTTCCATGTCCGTCGACCCGCAGTGAGTTCGTGACCTCGCGCCGTCCTGTCAAGTATCCATCGAATTTCTCTCCACGTTTCTTGTGATATTGCTATCCCTTCACATGCCCCTGTCACCACACCGCTCTCATGACCTGGAGTTTAGGGTTTACGGTTTAGGGTTTAGGGTAAGGACCCACTTGACTCGAATCCAATTCGGGCGCCTCCCTCACAAGTCATTCAGAAAAAGAAACCCCCCGAGCCTGCGCGTCATTGCTGCCAGCCTTCGTGGGACATCCAGCCCTAAACCCTAAACCCTAAACTAACCCTAAATCCTAAACCCTAAACCCTAAACCCTAAACCCTAAACCCTAAACCCTAAACCAGCCCCACCCTCCCAATCCCGAAGCACCACTTCATGGGACCTCGAAATCCCCTAAACCATATGAGCCTCAAATCCTCTCAGCTGTGACTGAAAACCACTCAACCTGTAAACCCCCAAGCCGCTAGTCAACTATTTCGGAAGGGAACTGTCGTGACGGCCCCTGCTTTGTAGATTGATGGTGTGGTGCCTTCGCTTTTTCCATGTTCATAGAATGGAAGACACAGTCGTCTAGCTTCAAATAGGAAACAACTGACCTCCAAGACGGTCAATCAACTAGAAGAATCCTTTACATTGTAAGCTTGCGCAACTAAAAAAATTAAGGGTATGCTTGGTTAGCGGCCATTTGTTCTCATACGTCCATCATGGAGCTAGCCTCTACTTCCAATAATTAAGGTAAATGATCTTATCAGGAATTCAAGGAATGTTACTATCTCCAACCATGCTTCTTGTTGATTTGGGAACACTGGTGCATTTCAGAGCACAATTCTACAAGTTCGATTGCGGAAGTTAATGAACTTTGCCGAAGTTGACATTGTCATCACCCAGCTGGTGTTGCATACCCACGCTAGCCCCTGATAATGGTAGCTGCTTTGAAGCTGATCCTGAATCGCCAACTGGCTGAACGTAGTCCAGCCCACAAAATCAAGAACAATGTTTGGGCGTGTATCTAATTACGGTCTAGTTTGCGCCGATGTATACTCCTACTTGTAGTTCTCGCCAAGTTGAACATGTCAATAACATAAACCGTTTGTTTGGCATGACTAGAGGTCCAGTATGATTCTCAAACTATGTATACTAGTAGATTGCCGAAAAGAATTCAAAGAGCAAAAGCCGCACTTTTTCATGACTAAACGCTAAGGTATGATGGATCAGAGACCATTTGTTCTTATGAGTCAAAAAACGGAAGGCAGTTTGATATGCGTCCGATAATACAATTCATTCAAGACCTAGACCATATCTGTGGACATGCAGGGTTGGGTCTTATCTTGTTGTTTCTTGTCGATCTTGTCAAGTGGAAAAGTTGACAGAGTCTCCCACCCCCTAACCCCCTCCCCCTCTTCAAACCACCTACGGCACATAAGCAACCCAAATGCGTAAAAGACAGTACCTCTTCTCGAAAGAAGCTAAACACCCATCCCCTGCTGTCTAGAATCATAGCTGATGTGACCAACGGATCCTAAACCCCAATACCGCCATCCCGGGGCTTCGACGTAGTCCTCAGGCGTGGCTGTGGTCCTGGGGCGGGCTGGGAAATGTTGCAGGGCCAAAGGCTGATGATGGTAGGGATTCGGGTTACAGAGGGCCCTTATACAGCCTTCATCGGAGCTTCTTAACTGACTTTAGAGTTCCATCGGGCGTACCGTGCCGAAGGGGGGGGGCGGGGGGGTAAGGTTCTGTTGGAAAGTGGTTCGGGTAACTGGCCCATGCCCGCGGTCCCGTGTTGGCGTTTTTTCTTGGCGCATTTGTAAGGAGCCATGCTATGCCAGTATAGCCGTGCCAGCAGGGGGCATCTTCTGTACCCCCAAGTCCTCCAAATGAGTCGCAAAGCCTCCGAAAGCTGCCTCACCCTAAATTCTACATGCTGTAATCCGACAGGCCCAACCACACCCCCACCCAAACCAGACCCTGCAAAGCAATCGGATCTGTGGCCGCGGCGGCCATCGGAAGTGGATTGGATCTGGTAGATCTGGCTCCTCTCCGTTGGAGCCACGGCCTGAGGCTAAGACGGCTAAGACTGGGGGGATGAGGGGGCTTCGAAGCGCTTAGGGCCCCATGCCCTGACACCCCTCAAAGGAAGACCTCCAAAACATCTTACGAACTTACATGTGTATGGGTGTGTATGTACATGTATCAATGTGTATGGGTGTGTATGTACATGTATCAATAATATCAAATATCTCCCCCGCCCCCCCCCCCACCCGCCCACCCAGCCCCGCCCCGTTCCCCTGACCCCCCCCCCCCCCCCAGCCCTAGCCTGCGCCTTCACGTCTTCTGACTCTGGAGTCCTCCACGAGTGGAGAATGTTGGGGAGGTACGAGGATCTTTTCAGCTGGAGCCTACTATCGCTTGGGCAGTTCCAGGAGTTCAGTTCATTCGTGTTCTTTGGGTTCGATGTGCAAGGGATGGCACGGCAAAGCTGTCCTCGAACCAGCCGATCTCCAGCTTGTTCTTGCCCTGCACGAGCGGCGGTGTCCGTGTGCTTCGGTCTCTTTTGTTGGCTCAACGTACAAGTGGCACTCCAAAGCTCTTCCTCTCTCGGAAAGGTGTAATGCACGATCTGGTGACGACGTGGGATAAAAAAGCAACGCTGACTCACACCGAGGACATACAGGGCCGATAGGGTCCAGCAGGGTGTTCTTTGGCCAGAATATGCTGGGACGTTGATCGAAGCCTGCAGTGCAGCGGTTGGGGCATGTCGTCATCCACCCAAGCCCCCCCCCCCCCCCAAACGCTTCGCGCCAGGGAAGACTTTCCCGGTCTCTGGCAGGACCCGGCATTTTACATACTTATCATATCTTATCATGCTCTGTCAAGCGCAATGCAGCCTGCACAGGCTCCCTCTTCACAGCCTTGTCTTGCGTGAAGCTCTGCTTGTGGACTCTTATGTAGTGCTCTTCCAGGCCCTGCGGGAGGATGTTGGCTGATGCCGGGGCACAGTTCTGTCGTGGAAAAAACACGCCAAACTGCTCGCACCTTCTCATCCGCGAAGGCGATCTGTCGGTAGCCACCCGTCGCGCAGTCCTGCCAACGAGTTCAGAAGTTCACAAGCGTTTTGTGCCCTGCATCGATGCATGCATTGCATAAGCTGTGCAAAGAAAGTCTCGGACGGTGAATCGTGCGCCGACCCCCACGGGCGGCGTTTGCGAAGGCCATGTCTTTCGTTGTCATTAGCCCAGTCAGCTTTCATGACCCCAGCCCCAGCGCCCGGTGCTGTTAAAGGTTTTCAAAAGGCTCCCCTCCTCTCCACATTTGAAGGGGTCCAGTGCAGCCGCACACCTCCTCCGCCTTCACACCTCACCTCCATCACTCCCTATTAGAGATTTATTCATTCCCACCTCCGCTTTGCACCTCCTCTGACTCCAGACCTCCCCAGTCTCCCTTCCACCGGAAGGAATCCGGTGCATGCCCAAACCATCCCGAACCATCCGAACCCTTCCGAACCCTTCCTGATGCTCATGATGCTCACCCGGGGGCTCGGGGCCAGGAGGCCGCCACAGGAGCGTAACACATCGTGAACGTCGGGTTTCGGGCCGCCTTCGCGCCGCGCACAAAAAGTCAACACTTCTGATGGCCCGAGAACGACACCAGCTTCAAGATCCACGAGGGGCTACAAACAGTCAAATTGCATTCAAAGCCCCAAGCTTCTGATGCTCATGATGAGAGGCGGGCGCGCGTCTTGAGCCCAGGAGCCAGAGAGCCTCCAAAACACCTTCGACCCGTGAGCATCAGCCCTGGACCCCTAGACTAGACTTGCACCCTTAGACACCCAAGCCCGCAACCAAACCACCTAAACCCTCCACCCCTCCATCCCTGTGCCCTTAACTCTGCCTTAACTTAAAGGCCTCAGCCACGAAGCCCCGAACACCGAAACCCCCTAAGCCCCAAAACCCGTAAAACGCCAAGTGCCGAAACCACTGAACTTGCAAAATCTTCGACCTCCGCGCCCCGCCAACCTCACACCCCTCATGCCCTGAACCGCTCAAGCTGAGCCTTTAAATCCTAAACCCTGCGGGCCCCAGCACCCTTAAACCCCTCGACCCCTGAACTAGGGTCTAACTAGGAGTTTGTGGGCTTGGGGGTTCCAAGCTTTGTTACATCTTAACCCCTATAATAATCCTACCCGGACTGAACCCCCCAAGCACCAAAACCCCTTAACCCATGCAGGAACCCACCACGTCTCAAGTCCGGAAAACCCTGAGTCCCCAAAGTCTTGGACCCCTGAGCACCTCAACCCCGGCAACCCCTAGACCATCAAACGCCAAACCCACGAACTAAATACGGCCCGAGCCGCTTTTGCTTTCAATGGCGCCAATTTCTCAGACAAGCCATGGACATGCATTCTTGTGTAAACGAAACGCTGACGGGCGTGCGTCATGAGCATCAGCGGCTCGGGTCCGGGGGCTTGGAAGCGGGCGCAGGTCCGCGTCAGCCAACTACATCAACTGCATCAACTGGGGGGCAAGGTGGCGGTTGGGGAAGGGTCTGGGGGTGTTAAAAGCAAGCCCCCCAAAACAGGTCAGTTGTCGTCGTGGTCGTCGTGGTGGTCGTGGTCGTCGTGGTGGTCGTGGTGGTGGTCGTGGTGGTGGTCGTGGTGGTGGTCGTGGTGGTGGTCGTGGTGGTGGTCGTGGTGGTCGTCGTCGTGGTCGTGGTCCTGGTCCTGGTCGTGGTCGTGGTCGTCGTCGCCGCCGCCGCCGCTGCTGCTGCTGTTTTGGTGGTTCTTGTTTTGCTTGTTGTTCCTCTCGTTGACAAGTGCACCCATACCTAAGTCCAGCCGTGGGCGACAGCCCGTTCGATATTTACAGCAGATAATCTACTGGACAGCTCAGCGGTGTCCGGATGAGCACAGACGTAGTGGCATTCCTGGTAATGTCTCGAGAGGCCTCAGAATACAGGAGGCCGACCACAACGTGATGAGAAGGACCAGAAGCTAGAAGGCACAACAAACAACAAACAAGAAGTTGTTCAAAAGTGAGACAAACAAGGCCCCCCACACTTAGGATTCAAGTAGTACTCGTTCTTCCATTTCATCGAGTCGCAAAGGTTGCAAAGCTCGTGCCTCGGTCTGCTCTTAAGCCCAGCATGCCCCTCCATCATCATATGCTGCAGGCTCGAACAAGGTAGCGGCTTCTGCTGCATGTGCGTCAGGAGGCTCTCTTCGTTGAAGAGCCTGCGTGTGCGACGGAAAGGTGCGGAAAGAGATGGAGCTCAGCACCTTGAAAGCCTGCTCCCCAAGTGACCGATGTAGGGAGCTACACTGAAGCACCATGGCCCAAGGCCATAGGAGGTTTAGGGTTTAGGGCTTAGGGTTAAAGCAAAGCTTGCAAACTCTCCACGGCCTTTGGTTGCAGAATTCGCATTTGGGATGAGCGGGAACCTCAAAGAACGAGAAAACCGAGTGAGCCCAGGGGCTCAACAATACACAAGGGCCCCATGCACATCGGAACCCAGATACGCCAAGAGACGCTGGCTGCTGAGGAGGCAGGATGCTCTAACGACCTGGCAAGAACATTCGGGCGACAGGTGGCAGCATGCCAGTGAATAGTGGGGAACCTAAACCCTAAACCCTAAACCCTGAACCCTGAACCCTGAACCCTGAACCCCTAAACCCTAAATGTCTTTGAAGTAGAAGGCCGGCCCTACCTCTTACTGTGAGCAACTCGGTAGATAGACGCTTCTATCCGAGGCCACCAAGTTGGGGCGTAGCGCGCATATTGGCTCTTGATGTGCTGGCGATAGCAGTAAGAATGATAGAAGCACGGCGCAGAGTCCTCTGCTCCCTGCATTTGAAACGAACCCCATACTAAAATGTACCAATACATGGCAAACCCAGAAAACTTTAACCTCAGGGCAACACCGCTCGCTTGCGGCTGGGATGCATAGATGCGTTGTCCCCTTGTTGAAAGTGGCGCTCCATGTCGTTGGACGCATACGCCTCAGACAGCCAGACCAACGAAGGTTTGACTGAAGCTTCCACTCTCTTCCTTGCTGGGCAGGTTTGATCCAAAAACATCCGAAACAAAGGCCCTTTTAAGGGGTGGGTTTGGGGGGAGGGGGTGTCTCTTAGAGCTTCGGGCACCAAAAACGGCATGCAATGAAGATCAACCTCCATTTGGGGGTGTACGACAATAAGGGACCCATAGACCCCCAAACAGTAGGATTCCTGATACTAAGGACCCCAATCAGGTATCCCGAATCTCGGAAGCCACCATTTCAAGATCCAGGCCCTCTGTTCACAAATGAAGGCCGGCCTGCATGGGTAGAGCGCAGAAAGGAGTCAGTTCGGGGGAGGCTACTTGTGAAGAAGAACTCTTGGGTAGGCATTCCTGTTAAACTGTCAAGATGCCATTCTCACAGCTACCTCCAGGTAGCCAAACCCCAAACCCTAAACCCTAAACCCTGATCGTGAGTCGCACAACATCCGGCCTATCATGCAAGCACACATTGCATAGCTGGCGCCAGTGCGTATGCCAAAGATGATCCTGCCAGGGAACAATGGAAGAGCTCCAGCCGTGCATGGTGGAATCACTTGTCAACAGCATTCGCGGCATCTCAAAAAACCATTGTGGCTTAAAAGCGCCAGAAGCCTTTACAGAATTTAATAAGCTTTTGTTTTGAAACCGTACTTTCATCATCCAATATTGATATTGAAGCAGTACCTTTACCCAATGTTGGAGACTAGCGGGGCCCTATGGATTGTCTGCGCGTCCCGTACCTCCAGAAACTATTCGGAAAGCATGAACCTTCTTTCAGGGAGCTTCACCCTAAACCCAAAACCCTAAACCCTATGTAGAGCACCTCGTCCCTGATTCAACCAGTAAGTCGGTCCTCTAGCTTGTGGAGGGTCTTGAAGGCAACGTCACGCCTCTCGCAACCTCAATGTGTAAGCCAACTCGAAACAAGGGACCATCTGCTACCATTGCTCCACTGACTCCACTGATCCCTGTCGGAAGAATGGGGAATAGCATTCCCCTATGGTTCCTTTTTTATTATGCAATAATGACCCCCCAAAACCTTATTCTAACTATTAAGGCGCCTTATTACAGCTCTTCCCGTGCTCGAAAAGCCTGGGTCCCACGCCCTCGATCTGACAGCGATAGCCCAGAAGCTGCATCGCAGCCCGGCCTGAGGTCGTTTTGGCTGTTCGGGCTTTTTGGGGGGGTTTAGGGTTTAGGGTTTAGGGTTTAGGGTTTAGGGTTTAGGGTTGAGGGTTTAGGGTTTAGGGTTTATATAGGGTTTTTGGTTTAGGGTTTAGGGTTTAGGGTTTAGGGTGATCGCCCCGGCATGCTGCCCCATCCCCTTTGCTATGTCAACATGCCGGAAGAATCTTGAAGTGCGAGTTCCAGACGGATCGTGTCGTCGCAGAAGTACGTCCAAGGAACTTCGTAGTTCAGTCCCAGCGTGTCCTCACCAACCACATGGCAGGGTAAGGGTTTAGGGTTTAGGGTTTAGAGTTTAGGGTTTAGGGTTTAGGGTTTCGGGTTTAGGGTTTAGGGTTTAAGGTTTAGGGTTTGGAGGGATTAGGGGTTGGAGGGATTAGGGATGGGCAAGAAACGTGGGCCCTACACTTGAGACCAAACCTGAGTAACTCGAGCAGACTGATTCGGGCCACTGACAAGCCATGCAAAGGGTTCATTTAGGGTTTAGGCGTAGGGTTGGCGAAGGAGCTGACAAGAATGTTCCCTGATTCTATGGCAGTCTAGCGCTTTTGGTTTCAGTTGCAATCGCAATATGACCCACCCACACACTCACACGGTATAAGGCCAAATACCACATCAATGACAGGGAGGACCCCACGCATGGAAACTGATAGCACCGATGTTTGCAGAACTCTTTCAACCAAGGCGGAAGGACGAGTATGCTGATAACCAGGGCCTAGCCAGACTGCCACCACACGACTTCAGACAAATTTGATATGAGCCCTCTGTGGATTTCAAGTGGAACACGGATTGCCATGCCATCCTTTTTGGGAAGAGGCAGGACTTCCTCCTTCATACCGGCGCCAAAGCCACTGCTAACCAGACCAAGCATGCATGGATGTCCTGATGTCCGACAAACGTTTGTCACTTCAGCTCAACGTCAATTGAAACAGCTCTGATTGCCTTCGGCTTGGCATGGATATGGGCAAATCAAAACTTCCAGGTCCAACTGATTTCAGTCTCACTACGTCTTCACACACAAGCCCAATCTGGAAAGGGCATTGCACGAGCGGTGTTTCTTTCCCTGATTGCCAAAATTGTCTCAACAGCAGTGGCTCCAAGCCGCCAACACACGCGCACACGATCGCACACGCACGCGCGCACGCACACGCGCACGCGAACGCGCACACCCACAACACACAAACCCGTACTTCCTTGCGCAGGCCGCACTCGCATCATAGCCTTATCGCCGGTGATGACACGAAGCTACCCGCGAACAGTCACTAATAAATAGCTTTCCGCTTGCTACGGCTAGCAAAGCTGAACAAAATTGTGCCTTTGTTCAATGATCCAGGCAGGACCAGAATGAAAGGGTTGGGGGTTTCCGTAGCTTCGCCGCGGATGGCACGAGGCATTGTTAAATATTAGTCTGGCTGAGAATTGGCGGCGAAAGCGCGTGGGAGATGGTGGAAACCCTAAACCATAAATCCTAAACCCTAAACCCTGGGAGCAGTCCGTGGGATCGTAGGTCGCGTTGCGCTTGTTGGTGAGCAGCACCTGCAGGGGGGGACACCCGTGAGTTTCCCGTATGGATTTCGGTATCCAAAGTGCAGCTCCCCGAACCCCTGATCCCAAAAATTTACACCCTGAACCCTAAACCCTAGCCCTAAACCCTTAACCCTAAACCCTAAACCCTAAACCCTAAACCCGCCTCAACCAACTCCTCGTTGCAAAGCGGGCAGCGGGTCTCCTGTAGCTCGGCCATAGGGCTGATCACAGTATGTGTTTGCATGCAGGGGTACATGCATTCTTTCTTGCGCGTAAGTGCATTTCAAGTACACTGAAGGTCTGCTGTGGCAGGAGCAAGACGAAGAGTGGAGTTTATTTATTCAATTGGCATGCACACCATACCTCTACATACCTCCGGATCTTTTCGTCGAACTGAGTAAGCGTCACGGACTTGCAGGGGATCCCCTGCGAGAGCTCAGCGAAAGCGGCTGATCCAGAACATCCTGGACCTCCAACTTACCACACGTGCCTGCAGATGCCCTGTATCTGCTGGAGGATAGTTGCCCTTAACTGCCTAAATGAGAGATATATATATATATATATATGTATTTCGACATACATAATATATATATATATATATATATGTATATACATATATCTATATACATACATATACAGACATATTTATTTGTCTCTTTCTTTATTATATATATATATATATAGATGGCTACACCTATGCTCGGGTGCTAGGAGGCCAGCTGGTTATGGAGTACCCTTGGGGGTTCAAGGATGCGAGGCGCCTTGGGCGCCTCAGAAGCTCCAGATCGGCCCAAGGACTCGGAAGCCAAACTTGCTGTTGACAACAACATACTCTCCCTTGAAGGGGTTACGTAGTTAGGGTTTAGGGTTTAGGGTTTAGGGTTTAGGGTTTAGGGTTTAGGGTTTAGGGTTTAGGGTTTAGGGTTTAGGGTTTAGGGTTTAGGGTTTAGGGATTAGGGATTAGGGTTTAGGTCCCTATAGAGTCCCTTAAAGGGTATATAGAAGGGGATATAAAAGGATACCTCATTCCCTCATTCCCTACTAACTCGTGACACCGCCACTGTGATTGATGTATACTGCGATCATTTCTGCCTAGACTTTGTGGGCAAAACTGGTTATATGTGTTTATGTATATGTCTATGTCTATGTATATGTATGTGTATATGTATATATATATATATACAAATATATATATATATATAAACACCTACACATCTTCCAGTAGAAGTTCGGCTTCCTTGCAGGACGGGATGTCGCATCCATGGCCTTCGTGGCGTGGGCTTGGAGCTGCTGCAGGACGTAGCTTCGGTAAGCCAATCGTCCAGCCTCTTGTGGCAGTCTTCCAAGCTTAATCTACGAATTGCTGAAGAACCCCCAGAAAACATTTTTTGGGGGTTCTGAAGCAAATAGTAGTAATATCGTTCTCTCCCGAGGGAGCACTGCGGCTATACAAGTGTGAAACGGGGGCTGAAGCTGCGAATCGACTCAAACCCAAACCTAAGTCTCTACGTGTGGGAGACGGTGTCGGCTTACGGACAGAGGTCTCACTGCAAGGTACAGCATGCTGGCTGGCGCGGCTGGGTGGGAAGCTCTGCTACTTGGTTCGCAGCATGGATGGCTTCCTCACTCCAGTCCACTTCAAGTGTTCCTGAAAGATGGCCCGTTGCGAACGAGCAGTTCCTGTTCACGATAGGCGTATCGAAATCATAGCGGGTGCGCCGTCCGGACACGGTGTGGGAGGATTCCCATCCAGGAAAGCGCAAGCCTACACAACCCACCCTGACACTTTTGTTGTATAAAACAAGCAGAAGAGCACAACTGTTCAACTCATCCTGACATGTTGCTGCTGGCCGCAGGACGGGCAGATCGTCAGCCCGCCATGCAGGGTCGCGCATCTGCCTGACCTTGCTCTGGTATGTGGTGTTTATCTCCAACGGCGTCACGACGAACACCACTCGGAACTTGGCGCCATGTGCAGATGGCACTCCTCGTGCTTTGAGGTAGGTGATCCGCACAACAGGAAACCTGTCTGGCGACAGCTCCTTCTGGAGGAGCTGCCCTAGAGCGCGTGGTGTCTTGACCGTGAAATGTGCACAGACTGGCTTGTGGTCGCTGCTGGACACTTCCGCGGGCGATGTCAGCTGTTGTTGGGTAACGCAGCCATCGAAGGCGATCAGCGACTTCCAGAGAATGCGGTCGCAATAAGAGGGAGTTCTCTCTTCCTGGTGGCGGATGCCAGGTGCTCTTTCAACCTTGAAGGTGGGAGGGAAGCATGGGTCGCCCTCCTGGAATCCAGCAAAGGCCTTTCCTGCCTGCTGAAAGAGCCGGAGCTGATCATGTTGCATGAGCTCTCCTTGGTATTATAATAAGGGCACCCTTGTTTGGGGTTGGTCAGTTTATAAGGGAACCCATAACCAAAAAAAAGTGTAAAGGGTAGCCCAGTAACCATCTTATAATAAGGGCACCCTTTTTTGGGTTGGTTCTTTTATAAGGGAACCCAGAACCCAAAAAAAAAGGGTAAAGGGTACCACTGGGCTACCACGTCTCTATACCGCTGGCTTTCAACCATCTCGAGGATGATGGCAAAGTGATCAGGCCTTGGAAGGCGCAGCGCACAAGAAACACCAGTGGGTTTAGGGTTTAGGGTTTAGGGAGCCGAGGCCCAAACCAAGCCCTCACCGGGAGAGCTACATTGAGTTCACTTTAGAAGCTGCAGTCAGGGGCTTCCGATAGTAGGGGGTACCTTATTGAGGTCATGGATTATTACAGACTATTTCGGGGGGCCATATTAAGGGTGCTTGAATGCCCAAGTTCAGACAAGATGCCGGGAGGGGTTCGAGGGTGCGGACAGGGTGGAGGGGCCGCTTTGGATCTCCTTGCCCGAGGCTTTCGTCGTTTCCCGGCTCTTCCCCAAGGCCAGGGTTGGCAGGTCCTTCAGCTCCTGCAGCTCCTTAAGGCATTTGGATTCTGAAGGACGAAATGAGACCTCATTATGGCTCATATGCTTTAAGAGGGAAAAAAGTAGTAGAGGGAATATGACCCCAATTTTGGGGTTCATCTGGTCCCCAAGGATAGGGTTGAGGGTTACTAGCGTTGGGGCTAGCATGGTTTAGGGCGACTTCACTCTCACCAGGTTCTGCAGTATGAAGTCCACCGACCTCCCGCCCTTGCCCAGAAGGGCGGGCGGTATTCCCCGAGCAAGTTCCCGGCTCTGTGTGAGCAGGCCATGGAGAGTTGAGCCCTCAGGTTTCCAGCTTGAGAGGGTCTGAGCGAGTTTCAGCGGTGGCTCAAACGACTTCGATTGCACCTTGGAGGGGGATAAGGTTCGGACCACTTTAGCATAGACCACCCAGCGTGCCTGGCAAAAGGACGCCTTCTGTTGGCGGTGTTCAGCTATCAAATTGTTGCTAAAACCGGACTTTTGGAAGCGTTGTGAGGAAGAGGCCGGGTCCGCCCAGGAACTGCCTCGAGGCTCGGTGTATCTTGAGTTCGCATTTGGTGACGAAACGAGCGGTGCCGACGCGGCAGACAGGCAGAGAAGGAGCTAGCTTGGGTTACTTGCCTTGCCCCCCGCAGCTGCAATTTCGACACCCATGTCATCAAGTTGAAGCACAACACATGCTCGGCAGGCTCTCGGTCAAGAGCCTTGGCCTTTATAACTCAATTCCACAGAACTGTTCTTTGTCACTATGTGAGTCGCGTGCTTCAAACAGAAGCATCTGGGGCATCGGCTAGTCGGTAGTTCAGGTCCCCGAACCAGAAGCAGTGGTCGAACTGGCAGGATAGGTCCAAGTCAGGGTGGCAGACGGGCCAAGTTTCCTGAAGTATTTCTCGGCAGTCGCTATTCCGCTTTTCCCCAGCGGTCATGTGCGCCGCAAGGTGGCAGCTCACGAAGCACAGCCGTGTGGGCCCAAACTGCAGCGTCACCACCAGTCCACCCTTGTTGCCTACGGTACCAGCCATCAGCCCTGTTGCAGAGTACGTCTGCTCAACCGAATGCACCAAGGGACCGCCGCACCACTTGAAAGTACCATCGCAGTACTCCGTGCGCGCAAACAGAAGGAGGCGCATGCTCATGAGCACAACCTGCTGAATCCGCGTAAAGCCATCTCCCAGCCTCTCAGCCAAAATATCATCCCAATGGAAAGTGAAGGCTTCTTCCCGGACATCCCGGACTCGGCGCTCAGGGCTCTTGTCGGTTGAGCGTGGTGTGCCCAACGTGTGCCAGGCCTCCTCCACGGCACCGGACAGCATGGGAAGCTGCACCTTGCCGCTGCCTTTCAGGGACTTCCTGCGTTTGGGATTGCGCGATGGGCTGGTTCCAGAGTCATAGTTGCACTCCTGAACTCCAATAGCTATAAGGTCGAAGTCGCCACCCTTGTTCGGCAGCCAATGTTGCAGTTCCTCTTCGGCCGGCTTGGCATCCCCCATGTTCCATGTGAAGCACAAGACTTTGGCGGATTGCCAGGGCTCCGGGCCCATTGACCCCTCGTCCTCATGTGGCACAAGGACATCTACATCCTCGGACACCACAGTAGGCATCACCTCCACATCTTCATCGGCACCGGTCATGGAAGGTCCAGCCCTGCTAGTCAGGGTTGGAGAAACAAGCGCCGGTGTCTAGATGTTCCTAACTGTCCTGGGTGCGCGGTAGCGTGCGCATGCGTGCGCTATGGGCCTTCCTTACACTTATTGCGCCCTCATAGGGGCCTTTGAACATTGTGCACTCTTGCCCTCAGCCAGCTTCGGAAGGTCAGGTGCACAGTGTCCCCCCCCCTCCCCCCCCCGCCCCCCTGCCCCTCGCTGAACGAGCTCAGCTCAATCCCACGATGCCTGGTTCAGCACGCGCAGCCGAAGGGTGCAAACCCAACAGACTGGATGCCTGGAGCACTCCAAGAAGAAACGTCCACAAGCAATTCCAGGCGGGGTGGGTGCTATGGGGTTTGGGTAGATCTCCGAGATGAGCCATATACTCAGTAGGGGTACAGGCTCCTTCCCCGTAGCTGGCAGTTAAACGACTGTATAGCACGACCACACGCAGCGCCAAGAACGCGGTGGCGTGGAACCTGGCCTGCATGCGCCAATGCCGACATAGGATGGCTCCTCCTTCGTCCAGGGAGGGTGGATAGGTCTGAAATGGACTCCCTAAACCCCTAAACCCCGAAACCCCTAAACCTAGAACTCCAAAGGGGCGCAGTGCAGGACAACGTGGCAGCATATGGACTTTTCAAGCCCCAAACACAGGCAGACCAACTCCTTCTCAGCGCAGTGCCCTCGTCACGAACTGCAAGACCACATGGGCATTTCCCAAAATAGGGGCGCCCTCTTTTTATACCCCAAATAGACTAGAATTCGCTTGAAGTGAACCCCCCGCAAAAGGCTCCCCTATTTTCGGAAACCACCAAATCTACAAACCACAAACTCAAACCCTGAACCCCTAAACCCTACTGAGTCCTAAACCCCTAAACCCGACCCTAGAGCCCTAAAGCCATGGCAGTATTTCAAGCCCCCAGGGGCCTCACAGCAAAGGACGCACCGGTCTATCGCGCCTTGCGCGCAGCACCAGAGCAGAGGCAGGGGTGGCAGGGGGGGGAGAGGAGGTTCAGGGTTCAGGATTCAGGCTTCAAGGTTTACAAAACTGAACATGGCACCCTAGCAAACATACAACTTTCGCTGCTCCTTAGAGAGTATAGTAACCAAAAATCACAAACTATTTCCAAGTACCCTTAAGCTCAGGGTTCTGAAGCCATAACCCCAAAACCCTGAACAGACACCCTAAACCCTAATCCCTAAACGCTAAATCCCAAACCTACACCAGGTGGAAGGAGGGTGGAAGGTATGCATGGATGGCTTTGAGCTCAGCCGGCCTGGCACGTCGCCCAGCTCTTTGAGCCTGGCCTAGGGTTTGGATGAGGGTAGAGGGTCTAGGGTATAGGGTTTAGGGGTAAATCGAAAAAATGTTGGAAACCACAGTCTGGGCAGGCCCAGATGGCCCTAGGGTTGAATGGGAGGGTGGTAGGAGCACCCTCGATCATCCAGACACCCCTGAAGACCCCAAAAAATAGATCCCGGGGCTGGAGGCTCAGGACCCTCCCCCTCCGCCCCACGCCCCCACCCAGCCAAATTGCTACATCAATATCTGTTCTTCTGCTACGCGACCTCCACCTAATCCGGCGCCTCGCCCCCTGCCTCCGTACCTTCCCATCACCCACTCCACATGGTTCGGGAGCTGGGGAGACTCCCAGGAATGCTATGGCTCCCACATCGCTCTCTGTCTCTTCTAATACTTCTGCTGACCGCCTCTCGGCTCTCTTTGGCCCCATGTTCTTGCTTAGGCTTAGGTACTTCCGGGACCGGGGTGAACAGTAAATTCGACTTCTTAACTGCTTCTCCTCGCCATCACAAGTCGGGTCTGCGCGGCCCCTAAACCCTAAACCCTAAACCCTAAACCCGAAGCCCTAAGCCCTAAACCCTAAACCCTCTCCTGCGCAACACAAAGGCAACTGCAGACTTGGCTTAGGGCTTGTGGCGGTTCACCGAGCACTCGAGGGCGACGACGATGTCCACCTCAGCCGCGAAACTCTGGAACCTTCAAACCTGGGAACCCTGAACCCCGCCCTAAATCCAAAAAACCTAAACCCCTAAACCCTAAACCCTAAACCCTAAACCCTAAACCCCTCACCCTAATACCCTAAACCCTGAAACCCCAAAAGCCCAAACTCTAAACCCCTGAACCCTAAACCCTAAAACCCTAAACCCCCAATGGTTAACCCTCAACCCCAAAACCTCAAACTTCCCTAAACCCTGAACCCGTAAGCTCTAAACCCCAAAATTTTAAACCAACACCCTGAACCCTAAACCTCAAAAAGCCTAAACCCTAAACCCCAAAAACCGAAACGCATAAACTCCGAACCCCAAACCCAAAACTTGGGATGTTCACCCTGATGCTAACAATCCTTAATGGGGATGATCGTACCCCCTATTATAATCCCGTTTAAGGACTGTTAGTATAAGGGCCCAACCCTAAACCCTAAACCCTAAAGTACCAGAAAACCCTGAACCCTAAACCCTAAACCCTAAACCCTAAACCCTACACCCTAAACCCTAAATCCTAAACCCCAAACCCTAAACTTACAAACAAAGGTTCCACGCCTTGGTGGGACTTTTGATTCTGTCCTGCCAAGATGACTGAAAGTGAGGGGAATCGGTACGAAGGTACTTTGCATTGGGGTTTTCTGGGGTTTCGGGTTTACGGGTTTAGGGTTTAATCGGGTTTTGGGGTTTAGGGTTTTAGGGGTTTGGGTTTGGGGGCTTAGAGTTTTTGGGGTTTGCCGCGGAAGTCCTCGCTGGTTCCAGTTGTTGCCCTCCCCTCCCTGGCCACCTGATCAGCAGAGGCTCTTGAGATTTCGCATCCAGGACTCAGGAATTCATCGGCACATTTCCTAGAATAGGAGCAATTACGTATGTACCCAAACATGCTATCATAGCCCTTGCTCGAATCCTTAAGGTAGGTACTTTTAGCAGGTAACCCCCCCCCCCCCGGCCCCTACTTGTTGGGGCACACCCGATTATTGGACGTTGCTCGTTTCAGGCGTTGAGCCCTCTGTGGCCTAATGTCTTACTCACGGGTTTCCCTACTACCCCCATCGATACTTAATTGAACCCTAAACCCTAGACCCTAAACCCTAAAAACCCTAAACAATGGGGGGGAACCTAGGGGGGGTAGTATAGACGGGGGTAGTAGGGGAACCCATAACTTACTGAAACCTCAGCCGGTTCAGGGTTTAGGGCTCGGCTGGCCTTTGCCTCGATTGCGGCCACCCTGCCCAGTGCTGAGACATTCGATGGGTTGAAGAGAACCAGATGTCATTCTAAACCCTAAACCCTAAACCCTAAATACTAAACCCTAAACCACTTAAGCTTCCCAGGTAGCAGGAATACTGTAGAGTTGACACGCGACTGCAAAGAAATCTGCCTTCTGTTTGGAGTTCCGCTCGCCACTTGAACGGCCTTTGTTGCCTGCCCATGGGCGAGTCTTACGTCGGTGAACGAGTACATGTGTCCCTTTTTGCGAGGAAATAGTAAAATACAGTAATTAAAAAATGTAATGTTATTGTAAGATAGAAGTATATAGTAATGTGATGGAATAATTCATATCAAAGTATAGAATATGACAATTTAACAATATGACAGTAAAATAATACAACAATACTACAATATTTTGCAAGAAACCATGCGAATATCATAGTATAGTAAAAGAAAAAGTTTACGAATTGAATAAGCGAGATGCTCATACAACATGTAATAACATAATAGCATACTAATATAATAATATTACAATATTATAACAAATTCGAAATCGAATGGCAATATAGGAGTACTATTAATATGTTAATATAAGTGGGCAATAATCAGCCTCCTTCCTCGCGCTCAGGCGCCGGAGCACCTGTCCCAGCGCCAAAAGTAGGAGTTTGCAAGACAGGGAAAGCATGGGAAAGGCATTCCTTAATATATTTTGCGTTTAGGGTTTAGGGTTTAGGGTTGCGGGTCTAGGGTTTCGGATGTATTAATATGTAGCGTATATTGCGTGTTTATATGATACTGTGCAATATTTTTGTACTCTTATAGAACTATATGCCATTGTAGTACCGAGTCTTCTTGTAACATGTTTGTGCTGCTATAGTATTATAGTATTATGCAATTGTGCTCTTCTGCTATTCCACTTTTATACGAATGTATGTATATCTATATATACATACATATACATGTTAGTACAATGTAATAATTCTATCTATATTCTTATTTATTGTACTATTATATCACTATACTATTCTATTGTTCCGTTCTTACATTGTGTATGACATCTTCTTGCTCTACAGAATCGTGACGAGCCTGTCTCTTCTGGGAGATCAGGCTCACCTGCGGCGTCGCGTCATGATTTTGCTTCTTGTCGGTCTGTTTGCTTGCTAGGGTTTAAGGTTTAGGGTTTAGGGTTTAGAGTTTAGGGTTTAGGGTTTAGAGTTTAGGGTTTAGGGTTTTGGTAGGGGGTAGGATTAGGGGGGGGACCCTGGGGGATATAGACGCTCTCAACAAGGTTAGGAGCACCAGAAGAGGGTTGAGAAGGGGTCCCCTTTGAAGGGTCTCCCTAATCCCACCTAGGATTTGCTCAGCCCTCCTCTTTATTAAAGAGATCAAACACCACCAGGGTTTAGGGTGGCTGACGGTCAAGCCTCCGTCGTCCATTGGCTGCCGAAAAATCGTGTGAAAATTGAGGGAGCTATCTGCAACGTATGGGTCCCATACAGACCATGGCTGGCCTGATTTGAGCAGTGCGCTTTTTGCCGGGATGCTGTGCGACTAGCTGCTAGCTGCGTCACGAACCCCAAGTACTCCATCCTGCACTTTCGGAGAATCGAGCGGCTTCATACTCCGACTCAGTGTTTGGTTGGATAGGCTTCCATCTATAGGGCTCAAGCTTGATGGTCACACAGCGCGCAAGGTTTCAATGTTCTTGAGACATCTTGCGAGTGGCAAACCGCACAGGGATGCTTCTTATCTTCTGCTGACAGTTGTCACAGACAGTAACAATCATCAATCAACCAATGATTCAAGTTGCATTCTTTTTTGTGCGAGGACACCGCTGGACCCGGCTCTGGCCGCTGCGCGTCGGCCCGCAGCAGCCTGCATGGCATTTTGCTCGCAGGCCTCGAAGGCAGAAGCACAAGGGTTCTATATATATATATATACACTTTATATAAATATATATATATATATATATATAGTATATATACTATATACTATATATATATATACTATATACTATATATATATATATATAATATTATATATATATATATAATATTATATAATATATATATATATAATATGATAAAATATAATATATATATATATATAATATATAACCTATATAATACATATAATATGTAAATATATAATTATATGCACATATATGTATGTATATACATGTATTTATTTAAAATGATATAATGTAATAAGGTTAATAAGGTATAATATAATACAGCAAAAACTACTATCAAATTACATTATACGACTACGCTGCTACAGAGTGCTGCAGCAGAGGCCGATGCGATCTCCACAGCCAACGCAGCCTCGCAGAAAGCCACCGCATGTAGCTGTGACAGAGCAGAGCTTGAAGACATGAAGCGAGGATCATGATGACTGTTTCTGATGTTACTTACGATTATGACTCCTATGTCTTTGTGGGCGTGGTTTGAGCCTTACTGATCTCGGGATTTGTTTTGTTTCGGGGCTCTGCTTTGCACTGGCCGCGCCCGTCAGGCATGGCCCCTTATGCGCGGCCGTGCATGGGCCATCCAGCCGTGTGTGACATGACGACCACTAGACAGTATTGCTACTGCTCGTATTCCGATCAGTAGGTATGAATGCCGGCTGCAATACTACTTCGAACCGTCATACTGTCCCCAGAAAGCAAAAGAGCCATATGGAATCATTGAAGCACCCCTCAAACCTAACGCAACCCTTTTCAAACCGTGAACCAACCCTAAACCCCTAAAACATGGAAAACCAAGCACTCTAAACGAAGCAATACATGAAACCGAAGCTCTCTAAAACAGGGCTCCCGCAAACTTCCTAGCAAGCCCAGCCTAAACCCTAACCACCTTAAACCCCTTTTATAGTTAGACCCCATTTACAACCCCCTATAAACCCTTTGGACCCTTGGAACCCCACTACTAAGCCCTATAAAACCCTACAAAACCCTATAGGCGCTGCAGTCTCTATAAACCCCCCAATGCCCTTAACTTCCCGAAAAGCCCTCGACCCTAGACCCTCAGCCCGGGCCTTTGCCGCCTGAAGGCGGTGGACTTTGGCCTGCTGCAGATCAATCACCTGCCGTCGCTGGTTGGTTGGGGGGGGGGGGTGGGGGTGGGACTCTTGAGGGTTGAGGGCCTGGGGCCTAACCCTAAACCCTAAACCCTGAATCTTAAACCCTAAAACCGCTGCTGGCGCAGCGAACTTGGGGGGTTGAAGCCCCAAGTTGTCCGAAACCCTTGGGCATCCGAGTGAAGGGCGCGCTCTTGCTCCGCGTAGAGATCCTGGCCTCAGAGCAGGAGAAGGGCAGAATGGTGTGGTCACAAGGTCAGTCAATGAAAAGGGCCCTCAGCTTAGGCATCCTCCTACTAGTCGGTTTGAGGCCACGAGGACTTGAAGGCTTGAACTGAGGTGGTGACCAATCTCCAGTCTTTCCAGCAGCCCCTGGCGCAGCTGGCTTCAACGCATGTATGGCTTAGGGTTTAGGGTTTAGGGTTTAGGGTTTAGGGTTTAGGGTTTAGGGTTTAGGGTTTAGGGTTTAGGGTTTAGGGTTTAGGGTTTAGGGATTAGGGCTTCGGGCTTAGGGTTTAGGGTGTAGGGTGTAGGGTTTAGGGTTTAAGACTCCTCCTCCGGCAACTGCAGGCATTCACTGCTGGTCCAATCAGCAGTGATCATCTTGCTTAGCCGGCATTGCCGGCCAAGTCCTTGTCGGCCCCGGCTTTCAGCAACAAGCAGACAACACCCCCCCCCCCCCAAAAAAAAAAAAACCTAAAACCCTAAAACCCTAAAACCCTAAAACCCTAAAACCCTAAAATCCCAAACCCTAAACCCTAAGGTGGCTCTTGGCAAGCGCAGTGGTGTTGTGCCATCCTTGTTGACCAAGTCCTTGTCATTGCCAGTACCGGCCTCCACGAACGAACGCACGACTTAAATCGAAGGTAGTCCTGGCGAGCTGCCGTCATATAAAGCTAAGCTCTGAAGGCACGCAGGGAGGGCAAACCCTGCCCAGCAGACCCGGGCGTCCGCCTTTCCGTGCTCCACTCGCTGTTGTGTGACTTGGGGTTGAGGGCTTGGGGCTTAAGGCTGGAACGCTGCACGCATCCACCCTCCTTCATTCCGAATAACCCCCCTCAACCCTCAACCCTCAACCCTCAACCCTCAACCCTCAACCCTGAACCCCCAACCCTCAACCCTCAACCCTCAATCCTCAACCCTCAAGCTCTTAACCCTAAACCCTAAACCCTAAACTCTAAACCCTAATCCCCCATCTCGGGGCTTAGGGTACAGGGGGTGCTGCAGGCCTCGAGGTGCTCTTGGAGCTGCAGCAGCTGCTCACCCTTCCGCTGCACCAGGGCCTCGAGGAGCTGGACCTGCCAAGGACTTCATTCTGCTGGCTTAGGGTTTAGGGTTTAGGGTTTAGGGTTTAGGGTTTAGGGTTTAGGGTTTAGGGTTTAGGGTTTAGGGTTTAGGGTTTAGGGTTTAGGGTTCAGGGTTTCGGGCTTAGGGTGTGAGGGTTGGGGGTTTAGGGTTGAGGGCTTTAGGCTTAGGGTTATAGGGTTTTCGGTTGCAGGGTTCTGCTGGCTCTTTCGTGTGGGGGTTTCCGAGAATGGGGTACCCTTTTTTTGTAAGGGGGCTCCTAGAATAAGGATTATAGCTGGCTCTTTCGTGTGGGGGTTTCCGAGAATGGGGTACCCTTTTTTTGTAAGGGGGCTCCTAGAATAAGGATTATAGTGTTTGTTGGTATGTTAGGGTACCCCTTTCTTAGGAAATGCCCGTGTTTAGAGGCCAAGGGCTTTGGGCATCCATTCCGTACTGACGTACCGAGAGCGGCCTAGAAATCACCAACGCCCTAAGCACACCCCGCATCTCACAGAATAAGCCCCGCGAAGGTAGAGGTGAGCCCGTGCGCATCCTGCAGACATGCGCACATGATGCATGCGCCTGCTCTTCCTGCTTGTCAACCACATCCCTCAGCTGCGGCGCACCTCCTCTCGAGACGAACATCCCTTGGGATACTCTTGGGATGGTTATACGCAGAAGCTGCCATAAGCCCCCAAGCGGCTTCTGAGTTTCGAGACATCTGGACTTGCGAAATACATTGGTCTCCTTCTGCCGCCTCTTTGGACAACTTGGAGGCGTCCTTGGGCTCAAATCCCCTTTACAAAAAAGGAGACCAAAAAACATGGGAGTTTCCGAAAGTACGGGACCCCTTTTTATAAACCCTCAAATAGAGGCTTCCCTTATAATAAGGACCCCAAATAAGGTACCCCCTAATTTCGGAAACCCCCCCCCCCATATGGCCCTAAAGTCCCAGAAAGCCTCATCCATCCGTTGGGGCCCTGGCAGCTTGCCGGGCCTCGCAGGCTACACATGTCAAACCTTCAGGGTTCAGGGTTCAGGGTTTAGGGTTTAGGGTTTAGGGGTTAGGGTTCAGGGTTCCGGCTTCAGTGGGTCAGATGGAGTCAAGGATCAAGGGTCCTCTTGAGGATTGGGGATTTGGCTGCGGGCACTCTGCTTGGGGCACGCGCACGTGCAGGGCGCGCCCATCTCTGAGCCTGGTTGATGAAGTCGGCCCATGCTCTTGCAGCGCCCGGGCCTCAACCCATCAACCACTGGCTGCTAGACCAGGTCAGAAAGTCAACAGCAGCAGCACCAGATGCCTTGGGAGAAGGTCATCTGAACCAGAACTCCAGCGTTGGGAGCCTGACATGAAAACTCATCTCAAACCTGCCATGGGAGTGTGCTGCCGCTTCGCCTGGTCGAAGATCCTGACAACATTCCCATCTGCATCTGCTGCGCCCACGACGCCCTTGGCACAGTAGGGTTTAGGGTTAGGGTTTAGGGTTTTGGGTTTAGGGCTTATGGCTTAGGGTTTGGGCCTCCCTAAACTCCTATTCAAGCAGTGACTGAGCGGCGCACGAAGCTAATGTGCTTCGCTTTGCCAAGCAGCACCTGGAAGACTCAAAGGGGCTGAGACAGGCGGTGAAGAGCAACAGCGCCGCTTGGAGGTTCAGGGTAATTACTTATTAACCAGTGATAATTACCGAATTAGGGCACTTCAGGGGCTTATGATGGTAATTACTTTTTAACCAATTATGATTACCATATTAGGGCACTTCAGGGGTTTATGAGCGGGTTCAGTACAGTTATCATTGGTTAATAAGTACCATGAACCTCCAAGCGGTAGTCTTGGGTATGACAGGTCCGTGAAAGACTCTGGTCACAAGCCTTCTCGTCGTCACCGATGCGGACTTCGAGGAGATCGAGGGAACCTTCTCTGAGCAGTGTCCAATCTCAAAGCCCTTAACCCTACACCCTAAAAGCCCTAAGCCTATACACCTTTTAAGCCCTTTATGCGCCCTCTCAGCCACAACCTTAAAAGCAACCAATAGCCTTGCTGTGCACGGCGCCTCCTTTGAGGTCCAAGGCCGCAAAGCGGACCTCAGCTGGGGATTTGGGGTTTGGGGTTTAGGGTTTAGGGCCCCACACCCCCCCCCCCTCCTGGCTACCCCATTAAGCCCACTTGTAAATCCGGCTGAATTCAGAAGCTCTATAAACCACAAAAAGCCTCCTGGTGTCCGCCACCCGAAACCCTAAACCCCTCAACGCAACCATCCTCACCCGAATCCGTAGCCACCACGAGCCACAGGGGGAGCGGCAAGAAGCCCCAACCCTCAAACCCAAACCGCAAAGCACCCTAAGCCCTAAAGCCTAACCCCAGGCCCTAGACCGTAAAGTCCACCACGAACCACGGTGGGGAGGGAGGAAACTTTAAACATTCAAACGTTCAACAACAGTCCCTGGGTTTTGAGGTCACTTTGGCCTGGGTTCCTGCTCATGGACGTATGCTCAGCTGGAAAGCACCAGCAAGAATGCCGACAAATGCTGCCACCTTAATGACCTCGTCGTTGACCGGGAGGCGAACAAAGTACGTGACAACCGCAGTTTTTCACTCTGCACGCCAGAAGTGGCACAATCGGAATGATGCAGCGTGCGAGTGGTCCCGTCGGGCCATCTCGATCTCCGCTGCTGCATCGCACCTGTATCACGATTACCTGAATGGCCGCTGCGGCTGGAAATTCCAAACACTAGACCCCACCATCAACCAAAGGTGGTGGGGGGAGGTGGGGGTGAGGTGGGGCGCATGCTGGGGCATATGCTATAAACACTACCAAGCCCCCATATTAAACCCTAACCCGCGGCAAGAACTTTCCTCACTGCGGTCCTCTTAAGCCGAATGAAGGAAAAAACAAAATGTGCACAGGTCCCCCTAAACCCTAAACCCTAAACCCTAAACCCTAAACCCTAAACCCTAAACCCTAAACCCTAAACCCTAAACCCTACTGGGTCGCCCGCTTCCTCACGCCCATCTGGAAAAACACACCGAATCACCTCCACACGCCGCGCCCAGAACCGATCCAACCAAAGCAGCAACCAAGACGGTTTAGGGTTTAGGGTTTAGGGTTTAGGGTTTAGGGTTTAGGGTTTAGGGTTTAGGGTTTAGGGTTTAGGGTTTAGGGTAAAGAACCTCCTTGCAAGGGTCATATCCTTTATGATTGATTTTACTAACCATGCTTCAGAACCTCCTGGTAAGGGTCACAAGTCATATGAAGTGGGGTCTATATTGAAGTGGGGTCTATATTTCTTGTACCCCCAAAAGGACACCCCAAGGTATACACTCACCAAAATTAAAAAGGAACCTTATGTACACTCACCAACAACAGTAATATATACCCTGTTTCATATACGGAAAATTATCCTTTGTTTGTTTGCTTCTAGGCACATAATAGAACGGCAGATCGGGAAACCAAATGCGCCCGAAATGCCCTGAACCCAAGCAGGCCTTAAACTGTGAAGCCCCCAAAATACCCGATGAAACGGTTTAGGGTTTAGGGTTTAGGGTTTAGGGTTGGAAACCCTGAACCCTATAAACCCTACGCCCTTATCAACCCTAGACCCCGACAGCCCGAACTCCCTCTGACAGGTTGCACATCAACTCTGGACCACACCTTCCCCCTGCGCTTCGCAGCGCCGGCCTTGGTCAGGGCATTTGAGCACTACAGGTGCGGTTTAGGGTTTAGGGTTTAGGGTTTAGGATTTAGGGTTTAGGGTTTAGGGTTTAGGGTTTGGGGAGTCGTGTTTGGGGTTTGGGGAGTCGGGTTTCGGGCTGTGGGCTTAGGCCTTATCTCAACTGCTCAAAATGACCTATTCCAAGCAAATAGATCCCTCGGCAAAGAGGGATGTAGGAAGCATCCTTGTCAAAGATTTGAAGTACATTTGTTACTTCCCCTAAACCCTAAACCCTAAACCCTGAACCCTAAACCCTAAACCCTAAACCCCGGGTAGGGTCTACAGCTGAGACAGAAGGCTTAAAGATTGCAGGCCAGGGCATATATGAGCCCCTCACGTGAGGAAGCCACATCAGATGCGAAGGTACACCAAGGGTTTAGGGTTTAGGGTTCAGGGTTTCGGGTGTCAATGCAAAGCCTCAAAAAACCTTGCACCCTGAAGCTTGCACAAATCGCACAGCGCCGAGGTATGCCCCACGCGGCGTAGCCCAAGTATCCTGTGCACCCTCAACCCTTTCGCCCATGGCCCCACCCAGCTCGCCTGTCGGGCCATTGCCAGGGCCGCCGAGTCCGAATTGGGCAAGGTTGGGCTTGGCTTGGCTTACTTGATTACCACTACAACAAGGAAGAGTAGCTTCAGAAACAGTGGGCAATACCGCTGATCTGTGACACTGTAGTTTACATCTGACGCAATGTGTTGCGTGGCTCAGGCCTGTCACAGCTGCACGTGGAAGCTTACGGCTACATGGCCGCTGCTGGTGAAATAAAAAACCATCATTCCGAAACCCACATCAACCCTAAGCCCTAAGGGCACCCGTCCATTTGTATTGCCTTCGCTCGGCCATCGGCGCTGAATGGCGCTAGTCATGGGCCCTGTATTCGCTGTTATGCCATGACGACCAACCATCCCCATCGTACAAGGTGATGTCATTGTCAAAATGTGGGGAGTCCTCTTCACGAACTCGCACGATGAGTGCTGCTGTTTTGTACCAGTAAATATTGAAGTTCCCTTGGTTGCCCCAAAGGTCTTCTTGGAAGCCGTCGGGGCTCCTAGAGTCGAACCTCTGGAGGAGTTGCCTTCGCGAAATGCACCAGAGACAGCCCAGCACAGGCCAATAACCCCAATCTTGGTCATCCCACTCAGTCAAGGGGAATCTCAGTGTGAACTGGAGGTCAGCGAAACGCAGCTCTTTGACTCCGTAGAGGTCGGCTGCTGCTTTGGAGAGTTGGAACTTGTCCTTGTCATCCTTGAACCAGAAAGACTCACTGGTGCCAGGACAAAAGGGCCACTCGTAAGGATCTTCGTCCTCTATTCGGCAGGCGACTCGGCATTGAACATATTCGTCGTCTGAGTCAGAGAGGAACTCACGTACCAACTGCACCTCTCGGACCTGAAGCTCGAAGCCAAGCAGTCCAACTGAGGGCTGCCGTCGAAGCGATACTCGTGATGCAGCAGGAAGCCCACATCACACAAAGTGTCTCTCCTCAAGCAGTGCCCTTATTGCAGGCATGCATTCCGAAAGCTGCAGAGCGAAGCGTTCTGGAAAGATTTGGTTTTCCGAAGGTGCTGCCAGAATCTTGTATGTTGCAACGACGCGATATCCTTCGAGGACGGGTTCAATCTCGTGCTTGCTGGAGGTGAGCCAGCAGCACCATGATCCACCTCCCCCCTCCCAACGTGCCACTTCCCTGCCATCTTCGTAGAAAACTACTGCCCCGCCCGTATGGAAGCAATCAGCAATTGCTACGAGGGTGGCCACGTGGTCGTCATATCGCTTCGAGTCTCGGTGCTCCTTGAAGAAGTCACCTGGTCTGTAAATCAGCAACTTATCAAGCTCAGCACGGAGAACTGTTCCGGGAAAGAGCTGTTGTTCTACTTCTTGCAATACGCTTGGAAGCTCCGGCCACTGTACCCCTACTTCAACAGTTTGCATGACTCGGCGCACACTGACATCGACGACCGTCTTCTCGCCCTTTCCACAGGGTGCCTGCTGACATTTTTCCAACAGCATCTCGATGTCTGATGACCTCAAAGACGTCAACCCCTCCAGCCCTGAGGTAAGTGCAATGGCACCCGTGCAACCAGCCGCGAAGTGAGGACTGGGAAGTCCATCTAGGGAGTCCAACATCTCCGAAATCTGTTGCTGCACACATCACCTTCCCGTTGCCATTGGCCGCTTGGATTTCGCACAGAAAGCCGTCAGAGCAAGCAGAGTCCCCAACGGCTCCCATCCACACTGTGTGCGGTTTGGACTTTTTCCGGGAGGAAGAGGAACTGCACATGCGGGCCTACTATGCCTTGCTATGACACTCGAAATGCCTGGCCTGCGCCCCAGCTCTGCGCGAAGACTGACTCTGACAAGCATGGCCGGAAAAGCTGACCCACGTGCGAAGCGTCAAACCAATGTTGCTTGAGCCAAAATGCCTAAACTGCCTGTGGCCAAGAAAGACTCTGCCGCAGCTGCCTTTCCCACCAGCAGTCGGGGCGACTCGTCCCTTTTGCAGTCTCCTGAAGAGATGTGCGAATCACAACTTTTGTTGTGGCACCGCCGCAGCTGCAGCAAACTCAAAATCGATAGTCGGGGTAGGAATAATAACTAAGAACGGCAGCAATCATAGCCGTTCACGTGATTGCTTCTCGCCATGCCGGCAAATCAGTAATTATGTACAACCCTTAATATTGTTGAATCAAGGCTTTTTGACGGAGGATGCTGCAGACATGCTCAGGTGCTGTAAGTCCTGCCTTTTGCAGTTGAAGGATGGGCTGGTCTTCATCCCATCACTCCGAAGCATGCTGGGCGCACAAGAGCCATGGCCATTCGACACACACGCGCACATATGTAGATGAAGATAATAATATATGTATGTGTATATATCACACGCTAAGCAGTACACTAGCTCTCTGAAATGATGAACCCTCAACCCTAAGCAACCAGCACTGATGGCGACTTTGTAGTACACCCTAAACCTTGGGATGTTCCCCCCCATACTAAAAGTCACTCATAGGGACCATAATAGGGGTACTATAACCCCTAGCAGGGACTGTTAGTATAAGGGGGAACATCCCAACCTAAACCCTAAACCATAAACCCTAAGCCGGATGAAGCTTCCAGCGGAGAGCCCGGCGCGGAGCTCCAGCAACATCACCAGCTCAGCACCTGCCCGTAGACCCCCCTGAAACCCGCAAAGTTTAGGGTTTTAGGGTTTAGGGTTTAGGGGCCTTCGGTTTTTCTGCTGAAGGCTGGAGAGTTGCAGACGCATTGCCAACCCTAAATCCTTACATTCCCAAAGCCCGAAACCCAACTTGAACCTTCTACAACGCTAAGGGCCCCACCATTCCAAAAGCCAGCCCTAACCCTACAAAACACCTGCCACGTACGCCAAGAACCAATTGAAAACACAACGAGCAAACAAAAACATCTAGCCCCCATGCCCTCGAACAGCCAACAAAAGCCCTGCATGGAGGTTGGTCGAAATCAGGCTCCTGCTATCTTAGGGTTTTGCGGGCTTGGGGTTTTAGGGCCTTGCATAGTAGGATTCCTCATGCAAAAGGCCATAATTAAGTGACCCAAGTGTAGAACAACCCACCCACTACAGTACCATTGAACTCAGGGTGCTTGGCTGCACTTAGCAGGGTAGCTATAATTTTCATTCTTGGCTGCCTTATTAAGAAACCCAATAAACCCAAAAAGGCTAAGGATCTAAAGTGACAGTAAAGCACCACAGAGGGTGAGACTCACCGTACGCTCAAGCCCAGAAAACACCTCACACCCTGAACCCTGCATCCATCCGTAAGGCGTTCTGTGGAGGGTAGCCGGGGATTGGCCATAAAAGGCGCACAAAACACACTACCTCAAACACCAAGCCTACAGCCCGAAGCCTTAAACCAAAAACCCTCAACACCTTGAAACCTTGAAAGCCCTTCAAGCCCTAAAGCCTTAAAAGCTCCAAGACCCCGAACTATGAAACGCCCCGAGCCCTCAAAACCCTAAACCCCACCAAACAGGTACCCGAATTTTCACAGACCCTTTTTAAACCCTAAACCCTGAACCCTAAACCCTAAACCCTACTTGGAGGTTCAGGGTACTTATAAAACCAATTCTAACTGTACTTGTAACACTTACAAGCCCCTGAAGTGCCCCAAGATGGTTCTAATTTGGGTTATAAGTCCAGGTATAATTGGTTAATAAGTACCATGAACCTGCAAGTAAACCCTAAACCCTAAACCCTAAACCCTAAACCCTAAACCCTAAACCCTAAACCCTAAACCCTAAACCCTAAACCCTAAACCCTAAACCCTAAACCCTAAACCCTACTTTCGGAGGCTCCGGACTAAGCCCCGGAGAGCGCCTCGTCTCCGTACCCCTCGGGCCAGGACCGAGGGGCTGCGGCCGCTGCGATGTCCAGATGTTCTGGTGCACAGAAGCCGTGCCTTTAGGGTTTAGGGTTTAGGGTTTAGGGTTTAGGGTTTAGGGTTCAGGGTTCAGGGTTTAGGGTTTAGGGTTTAGGGTTTAGGGTTTAGGGTTTAGGGTTTAGGGTTTAGGGTTTAGGGTTTAGGGTTCGTGTTTCGGGTTTCGGGTTTAGGGTTCGGGAAATAGATAGTTTTCCAAATTAGGGGTCCCTTTGGGGGTCCTTCTGTTAAGAAACCTCTGAAGCCGAAGGCGATTAGGGTTAGGGGAATTGGGTATTGGGTTTAGGGTTTAGGGCTAATGGCTTAGGGGCTCTTGGGGGTTCTGGGGCTTAAGAAAGGTAAGAGGGGTTTAAGTTGTTGAGGGAAGGTTTGGCTTTTTGGGTGAGGGTTTAGGGTTCGGTCCACCCTCATGCAGACCCTTGTCACCTGTGGTTGACAAGTTCCGTCAGCCAACTTCGTCCTAGTAGGGTTGAGGGATCCTTAATGTTGCAACAATCGTATATCACAGTGCAACAATAGTAGCCATAAGCAATCCCAAAAAACATTCGAGTAACAAGTGTATTCGTAAAATACCCGAAAGCTTACTCCTCAGCCCCCGGCCAGAATGCGGGAGGCACTGGCTCAGGAGGCGGGGGACTCTCCTCCTCCCGTTCCTCCGCGAGGTTTGGAGCGTTGTGTCTGGTAGGGTTCTGTTTTCAACAAAGTGGGGACAGTATCGTACCCTTGGCAAAAGGAGTTGCGATCCTGACTAAACAGCCGGGGTCCACCGTGCCTCCGTTTAGGACACTGCCTCACTCGCACAATTTACGCTTTCCGGATTCAGCTTCAGCTTCCCTTGGGCCGGCTCTCCTCCTTCTCGCCTTCTTCTCCCTCCTGCGCTTCTTCAGTCGCTTGCCTGCCCAAGGCCACATCTGTGCTAGCAGAACATGACGTGAGAGACCCTCGTTTCAAAGAACACTCAGGCACCTGACCTAAAGCCTAAACCCTAAACCCGAAACCCTAAACCCTCAGGCCTTGTAGCTTTGGGTTTCCATGCAGGTCAGTGGTCACTACAACGACTGCACAACCATATATCATATGTAGTGTGCATAAGTATATATATATATATATATGTCCCACAAAAAATAAACAAACAACTGCTCCTCAAGCCTTTCTTTCTAGTGCCAAGCGCTGCAACCCCCTGACCATTTGAAGGGCTGCAGGGCTCAGGTGTCAGACAGCGTTGACAAGCTAAAGAAGCAGCCATCATGCAAAAACGAAATTCACCACCTGTGCCTTCAAAAAGTTGGAATTTCAATATTTATCAATTTGTTCCAATGCTTGTCAACTTTCGTAAACAAAAACTGGGACAAGCAAAAGTTGGAACGGAAGTCAAAAGTTGGAATACATATTTCTTTCAATTTTTAAAATTTACAAGCCCCCCATACAACAAGGACCCCTACTTTTGGGATGCCGAAGCGATAAACCCCTAGCTATCCCCCAAACTCTACACGGCAATGTACCCCATTGAACCCCGATGAACCCCTAAACCCTACACCCTAATTGTACCCAAACCCAAAACCCCAAAACCCGCAACTCAAAATCCAAACCCCCCCTCCCCCCCACAAGCCCCAAACCCAAAGCTCAAAATCCCCCCCCCCCCCACCTCTCGGAAGGCACCGGCGCCGACGCTGGAGTTGGCTGCGGCAGAGGAAGCTCTGGCTCGACGGAAGGCCGAGAGTACCTGCGGAGGGCTTTTAGGGTCTAGGGCTTTTGGGCGTGCAGGGACCCCTGTGTATGCGGGGTCCGATGTGCAGAGACTTCTAGATTCTTGGAGTTTAGGGTCAGGGTTCCTCGGATTTGATGATGTTGTTTTTGATTTATTTATTTTTTTTTTTGGGGGGGGGGGGGTGGGTGTTTCGGGCGGTGGGGGGGGTTGTGTATTGCGAGCCCTGTTGAAGAAACGGATCCGGCTGAGGAAAATCCCTACAGTACATGCCTAGGACAGGACGCCTCCTAGACCTTGAATCCAAAACAGATATACCTCCCGAAACCCAAAAACCCTAAAACCCTAAACCATCAACCCAACCCGGACCCTAAGCCCTACAGTAAATTCCAAAAAGTTAGAACATCCTTATCCTCATACCCCAAAAGGTTTACTAAAGGGAATCCCAGCTCTAAGAATCCCTAAACAATGTTCCAGCGTTCCGGAGGTTGCCGTAAACCCTCAGGTGGGGCAGGTGGGGCACCAACTCTCAGAAGCAGGCAGGAACACCTGGCGCAATTTTGCGGGGCAGGGTTTGAGGGGTTTGCAGGGTCCAGGGATTCAGCAGGGCTCTAAGGGCGTTTCGGTGACTTAGGGCTTCAGGGTTTCGGAGCTTTGGGGTTGACTTCGGGTCGTGAAAGACTTTAGGGCGTCGCTTTTTCCCACCAGAAGCAATGATGGCGATAGTCTCAAGATGCCTCAAAACTGCGTGGAAGTGGGGCATACCCTCCAACATGGGGCCTTGCTCAACCTTGGTCAACCGTCGACCTGAACTGTCTTTTCCCTAGCCCTAACTTAGGCCAAAACTCTAAACTCTGCAGCAACTGAGCTTTCCGATGCCTTCTCCAGGAAGGCCTCCAACTGAGTGTGAGCATCCAGGGAGGATGCATGCACTGCCTCAGACAAGAGAGTCTTTTGTTCAGCCCTTTGCCATGCAGCTGGTAGTGGTACTGGTACTGGTGCTGGTAGTACTACTACGACTACGACGACGAGGACCTCGACTACAACTGAAGACTGACTCCTTCGCTTTTGATTGCTGCCTACCCTTTCGCCCCCAGCTCCCAGCCCGGCTTCTGAGCCCTTGATTAATCCCTCTCAACCGGCAAACGGTGTGAGCACAAAAAGGACCAGGCTTGGCCAGTCCTCCGCAGCCCTTGATCCAAGCCTTTTTTTCCGGCGCCTTAGACTGGCTTTGGTCCGCAGCCTCGGAGGGCGATGGCGTCGGCCTCGTCAGCCTCCTCGTCCGCTTGGACTGCTCGCCGGCCTCTTCATCCTCGTCTGTTTCTCGGAGGGCTCGCTTTTTCGTGACGTTCGTGGCAGGCGCAAGAACGGAGGGTTGGGGCGCAGGAGCGCAGGGAGCGCAGGGGGCGCAAGGGCAGTCGTGGTGCTGCACGATCCACCTCCAGGTCAGGTTGATTCGTGCGCCCACATTCTTGCCCGCAACTTTCGGCACACGATGCTTGTAATACTTTTGGGTCATGCCCTCCATGGTGCACAGGTCACCGTCGCCGAGCTCGAGGCGATGGAAATCTTGACCGCAAAGAAGTTCGAAGCGCCTGCTTTGACCCAGCGACAGGGAGATGATTCGGCAGTCCTTCACCTTGCCCTGGAACAAGGCCTCGTTATCTGCGTGCCAACCCACAGAATGCTGGCCATCCTGGTACAGGTTCAGGTTGCAGCTGTTGGGCCACTGGCCTCCACTGAGGCCGCAGAGCGGCATGCACACCGACATCACTTCGGCCATCCATTCGGGAAAGGGTGCTGGTAGCACCTCAGCGCCGCCGTAGCGGTAGCGACAGCTGCAGGGGCTCTGGCACATCCACGCGGTCTGGAGCGGCAGTGGGCCCCAGCGGCCGCTGGGCTGCAGCCACACGGTGCCCTCGTGCACCAGACGGAAGAAGCGAGCTCTGGTTTTGGGGGGCAAGGCTTGGGGAAGGTATCCAGCAAAGCAGCGCCACTCCTCCTGAAACAATGGATAAGTCCAGGCTTCCCGCGGCGCCATGTCGCCGACGAGGTCAAGGCTCTCTGTCCATCGCTGGCGCGGACTCCGCGCTTCCTTTTGATCCTCGTCCGCGGCCTCACAGGCCTTCACGGCACCGCGGGCCTTCAGTGCACGGTGCACTTTGCACAGCCTGCGGAACCGCGTCCGACGCCAGCTGGGCCCGCGCGCGAGCAGTGACATGGCGGCAATGCCAAGTTCCCGGAAAGCCAATCTTGGTTGTTTCGTCTCTGGGCTGAGGATGGGCCTAGCGGCCTAGCAGTGTCACTTCAGAAAGAAGAGGTCTAGGTATACTGCACTCCAAAGTACCCATGGCTATGGCCTGTAGCCCCAAAACATCAAGTGTACATAAGCCAGATGATGAGTTTGGGAGGCTCAGCCTGCAGCAGGTTTCGGGGAGGTGCTCAGATCCATGCTTTAAGCACATCTGCGCCCTGGCCACAACCCACAACCCCCCCCCCCCCCTCCAAACCCTAAACCCTAAACCCTAAACCCTAAACCCCGACAGTTCCCAACATGTTGAGCCTGGAAGCCTGAAGCCCTAAAGCCCCCAAACGCTTAAACCTCAACCCCAAACCCCTAGACTCCAAATAGTTCCCGATACCCAAGCCCCCTCAAACCCCTCTTAGAAGCTTCAAAGCTCAACCCTAAACCCTAAACCCTAAACCCTAAACCCTAAACCCTAACCCTATAAACCCTAAACCCCCTCAGACAAACCCTGTCATCTTGAACCCCCCCCCCCCTGAGCCACGGGCAGCTTCTGCTGGCAATCTGGCCATCCGCAGCCTGGGCAGAGCTAGGGTTTAGGGTTTAGGGTTTAGGGTTTAGGGTTTAGGGTTTAGGGTTTAGGGTTTAGAGGGTTTGGGGTTTCGGCTTGTGGCAGCTCCCAGAAGGCTTTGGGTGGAGGGTCCCTCCTGATTTTGGAGAGATGAGCCTTCAGTTCGTTAACTAGAGAAAAGAGACTGTGGGAGACCATGGGTTATAATGTAAGGTGCATGAAGGAAGCCACCCGCATGATCAGCGTCCTCAATTTTCTTGTGAGATTCTAGCAGGACCCGAAAGAAAAGCCTCCATGACTAGAGAACAGCCCAGTGCTTGGGGTTAGGGCTTAAGGGTTTTTAGGGTTTCGGGTTGAAGTCCTCACACAGACCCCGAAACCATGAACCTAAACTGCGACACAGGGGACGGGTAAAAGGAGGGGACCCTAGAAGGGACCCTTAGTCTTATTCCCTATAACCCCCCCTCCCTATGTATATATATATATATATATATACATACATATATATATATATATACATATACTTTGTATGGTCCCTAGAAACCCAAGTAGCCCCCAGATAACCCCTAGATCACCCCAAAGGTCCCTTAAAAGGGTCCCTCCTTTAGTCCCTTGAGAAGCCGCAGAACCAGGCCAACACCTTGCCCTATGTCCCCAGGTTTAGGGTTTAGGGTTTAGGGTTTAGGGTTTAGGGTTTAGGGTTTAGGGTTTAGGGTTTAGGGTTTAGGGCTCCGACAGTAGGCGCTGAAACTCGGCAAAGGTCAGCTCCGACTCCAGGTAGTCCAAGAGGGCGATGTCCTCAAAGCGTTGGGCTTGACTTGGAGGTTCTTGGTACTTATGAACCAAGTAGAACTGTACCTATAACCCACTTAATAAGCCCCTTAAGTGGTTAACAAGTACCATGAACCTCCAAGTAGGCGGCTTTTCTTGGGGTTGATGCGGTTCATGCTTAAGTTCTGGAGCTTGGGATGCCGGGTTAAGGGTTTAAGGTTTTCGATGGCTTTAGGGTTTAGGTTGCCAGAGGATGATTTCTTGAGTGGAAGTAGCTGGTATGTGGTGAAGGGCATCTCCTGTGCCGGAGTCGTTTTAGGGTTTAGGGTTTAGGGTTTAAGTTTAGGGTGTAGGGTTTCGCGTTTAGGGATGAAGGCTACGACCTCGCGGGTCTTCTTTTGTTGCAGAACCTCGACGCAAGCCTGGCTGGATCGAGTCATGGCCATGCCGACGTTTTGCGCCGTCAAAACGTGCATTTCTCATGCCGTAAACCCCCCCTAAACCCTAAACACCAAAATCACAAGCCCTTGAAACCGCAGAAAAAAAAACCATGCTTTGCAAGGTTAAAGGCTTCGCAGCAAGATCGCTGGAACATGCTGCAAGTCAGCCCTGTGAGATTTCGCGCGCGCCTCGCTGGCGGATTCTTCGCACCCACTCCAGCGTATTCTCATCCTCGCCGGATCCTTGAAAACCTGGTTTGAACGTAGGGGATAGGATTAGGGGGACCCTTGGGGATATAGACCCTCTGAATAAGGTCCCTGTTCAAGAGAGCCAGAAGAGGGTTCACAAGAGCTCCCCTTTTCAGGGCCCCCTTATCCTACGTAGGACAATCTGAAGGATTGAGGGCTTTTTTGGAAGAGTCTCTAGCGAGATGCAGAAGGCCCTGCAGAATAGCGGCGGAGGCCAACTTATTATCTAGAAAACCAGGGTTTAGGGTTTAGGGTTTAGGGTCCCTCACAGCATGCCAGGGATCTAAGGAAACCCACATGCCTGTGTCAAGATCTCGAAGACTTGCGAGAAGTCTGCCTGGACACGCAAGATGCTACACACAGCGATCGCAGCACAACCTATGCCTAAGCAAGCTGCAAGAACCTACGCCACAAAAAGAATCACCTGATTCGGGAGTCATGAGTCATAAGCCATGGGGCCTGTCTAAGTAGAATTTATATGAAAAAAGCTCGGGGAAAATAGTAGGAGTTCTGTTCTGTATTGGAGAGGGCTGCCAGTGGCCTTTGCTCATTCGATGACCCTGAAGCCCTAGAGCTCCAGATCACCTGACACCCCCCCCCCTCCCTCGCAAAATAAGCCCAAACCCCTAAACCCAAAACCCCAAAATCACCCCAAGATCCCCGAAGCCCCCTGAGCCCCCAAACCCTCTACACCCTCTAAACCCTCTAAACCCAAAACCCCAAACCCTGAACCAGGGCCTTGAAGTCCAGCTTTCCGAACTCGGCGAGGGCACCGGCCTCGGCCATGTCCGAGTCTTCATTTGTTAAAAAGTGAGGTAACGGTTGTATGTACCATTCAACGTAATATATTCCAGATTGAATATTAAATCATTTACAATATGTAACATAGTCCGCCGAGGCCTCGGGCTGCCGGTCACGACACCCACCCCCCAACCCCCCCCCCCACCCCCCCACCGCCCTAACCCCCACAACCCCCAACCACCCAACCCCCACCCAACCCCACACGACAAGGCTGCAAGTGACACGAGGCCCACAGCCCTTGGCACATCGGCCTCAATGTCCTCTCGACAGCAACCTTGCGGCTGCGCAGGCCCCAGCCGAGGCGGGTCGCGTAGCGATAAAAATATGTGAATACATTCGCGATGTCATCGTCATACTCATAGTCAGAACTCAACAGAAGAAAGGACAGTACAGTAAGGATAACATTGGCCGTAAGAGTTCACAAAATGGAAGTTGATGGTGTGTTTGGTGCAACTCGTCATTCAGTACCCTAAGCTCACGAACCCGATCACCAAAACCCTAAGTCTGTGAGCCCTAGACCATACATACCATGGAGCCCTAAACCACTGGAATCCCATATGAACACAACCCCCGAAACCCGAAACCCGAAACCCGAAACCCGAAACCCGAAACCCGAAACCCCTAAACCCCTAAGCCCTAAACCCTAAACCCTAAACCTCAAACCCTAAACCCTAAACCTTAAACCTGAAACCCTAAGTCCTAAACCCTAAACCCTAAACACTAAGCCCCAAAACCCCTAAGACCCTGCTCTTGTTTCTAAGAAGCAGCGGGTGCAGAGTTCACGTCGACCAAGGCTCGGCTCCATGTTGGGAGCTTTAGGAGGTTTTAGGGTTTAGGGATAGGGTTTAGGGTTTAGGGTTTAGGGTTTAGGGTTTAGGGTTTAGGGTTTAGGGTTTAGGGTTTAGGGTTTAGGGTTTAGGGTTTAGGGTTTGGAGTTTGGGGTTTAGGGTTTAGGGTTTAGGGCTTAGGGTTAAGGGCTTCGGGTTCAGAGGAGTCAGGGCTTCTAGGGTTTAGGGCTTAAGGCGTGAGGGGTTTTCGGGTTCCATGGGTTTAGGGCTTCGGGGTTTAAGGTTTCAGGGCTTTCACTTCGTATGTGGATACGAGGCTACTTCTGGGGGAAGCCCCCAATGGCTGTATGCCTAAGCCTGGCCTCGTGTAGTCGCGCGGCATCGGCCAAGAAAAGAGCTGTCCATGGGGGGGGGTCTCTACTGCAGTATATTTTAACTTTTATCGTATATACTTTTGTGTACTCCTTAGTGTGAAACGCGTGGTAACACTCAGATCAGGGATCCAGCAACTACTCGTGCGCTCTGCCCCTCCTCACCTGGCCTGATGTCAGCACTTTGTACAAGTGGGAGCCTTCCAGCACCCGGAGGGACCGGTGCTACGTTGTCACCAGTGGCTACTGTGCCTTTTTTGTATCAGAACTCGAAGGACCTCCACAACGGCAGTCAAAGAAAGAGTTGCCTTGGTAAACACTACGCGAGAAGCCTGAGAGCTCTGGAGGCAGAAGGCTGACTTGTGGAAGATCTGCCCAACCTGCACGAGGACTACGCAGCTCCCTCAACCAAAGGTAGCCATTGGAGCAGAGGAGCCGCTTGCATGTAAAACCAATGAGGGGATTTGTGAGGTGTAATGTTTCAGAGATGGGGGTTTCTGAAGATAGGGGACCTAGTATAGACCCCCAAATAGAAAGATTCCCTTATAATAAGGACCCCAATAACGTACCCCTAGTTTCGGAAACCCCCAAATTTTCAGAGCTTTTCAGGACACCCAGCCGGCAGCCTGGCGGAAGCTTCTGCGACTTCTGCGTGCGGAGGACAAAGGTCGATCGAGACCGCAGGCCACGCACCTGTACCTGCGCTGGTAATGTAGGGTTTAGGGTTTGGGGTTTAGGGTTTAGGGCTTATGGTTTAGGGTTTAGGGTTGAGGGTAACCATCCCCGAGGCGCAAGGATGCACAAGGCTTGCGTGGGCAAAGAGCCTCGTAGTGCGGGCCCAAGTCTGGTCTCTCCGCCTCCTGTGAGATCCAAGGTTTAGGGTTTAAGGTTTAGGGTTTAGATGATCCAAGTTTCGGGCAAACGCAAGACATGCGGAATCGTCCTCGTACCCCTGCTCGTTCACCAGCTGCCCAAACAATCTCAGAATGATGGCACCGCCCTCCTCGCAGAGGGCACCACAAGGCCGGGCCGGGCAGAGATGTGAAGCTCAAGATTGAAGATGTCTTACATATAGAGATATTTCAAGTTTGTGTTGCTGAGCCTGAAACCTATATATTGTATAGGCTGGCAAGAGCAACAACACAGCCGCGTGCGTGTGCGTGTGCGCGTGCGTGCGTGCGTGCGTGCGTGCGTGCGTGCGTGCGTGTGCGCGTGCGTGCGTGCGTGCGTGCGTGCGTGCGTGCGTGCGTGCGTGCGTGCGTGCGTGAGTGCGTGCGTGCGTGCGTGCGTGCGTGCGTGCGTGCGTGCGTGCGTGCGTGCGTGCGTGCGTGCGTGCGTGCGTGCGTGCGTGCGTGCGTGCGTGCGTGCGTGCGTGCGTGCGTGCGTGCGTGCGTGCGTGCGTGCGTGCGTGCGTGCGTGCGTGCGTGCGTGCGTGCGTGCGTGCGTGCGTGCGTGCGTGCGTGCGTGCGTGCGTGCGTGCGTGCGTGGGTGTGTGTGTGTGTGTGTGGCCAAAGCCATCTCCATTCTTCACATTCTGAGCTCTTATTCTATGCTCACTCGTGACACCAATAACTACATATTCTTTCTGCACGATTGCGAGGACTGCTTCGGCACTCTGAAACATTCTGACAGACCGGCTTGCTTTGTTCGAGGTTCTTGCCTCGGAAAGAGCCCGGCAGAAGCTCTGCATCTGGAATTGCCTTGGGCAGCCGGCCATTTGCAGGACCTGGCGCAGAGTTCGACTCGAGTTTCGAGGGTTTTGAGCCTTCTGGCGAAGGCTCATGGCGTGGGCTCACGCGCAAACTTCGAGCGATGTTTTCCGGTCGCAAATAGGCCAGAAGGCTTCTTTCTGCCACCAGACATGGGGCCTGGACTGAGGGTTGTTCTACTTTCGGATACCGTGTTGTCATGGAGTCATAGAGCCCTTCTTTCCAGGAGCCCCAAAAAAAGGAATCCCAATGTAGAGCAACCCCCCACTTGGGCTTAGCGTTAACACTTTCTTTCAGAGCCCACGGCACTCCCAGTGGGGCTCAGAAGAGCTCTTCAAAGCCGAGCCTTCTCAGAGGTCGACCTCTCAGGTTCTTGAACAGGAAGGTTTAGGGTTTAGGGTTTAGGATTTAAGGTTTAGGATTCAGGGTTCAAGGAACACCTGAAACTCCAGACTGCAACTTAACCTCCTCAGCCCGACATAGGGTTTAGGGTTTAGGGTTTAGGGTGTAGGGTGTAGGGTTTAGGGTTTAGGGTTTAGGGTTTAGGGTTTAGGGGACACCAAGGACTGCTTTCTCGTGCGCGCCAGGGAGCCGCGACCTGCTGATCGTCCTCAGCTTAGGGTGCTCTTAGCTTCACCCTTCTGGGAAGTCGCAACCCTAAAACCCTAAAACCCTAAAATCCTAAAACCCTAAACCCTAAAACCCTAAACCCTAAAGATTTCCAGAGCAAGGCACCGCAGCTGTCGCGGGCGGTGCGGGTGCCACCGCGGGTGCCGCCGGTGCCACGAGGCTCGTGGAGGCCCCTGAGGGGCCTGGCCTGAGAGCAGCGGCAGGTTTCGGGCTATCCAGCGGGAGCCATTCGAAGCATTCACCCTTCACAAGCATCCACAACCCCACAACCCTATATGCCTAAGCCCCATGTTCAAGTCCCTAAGAAAACATCCTACCCTTCTCAAATCTTCCCAAACCATCCCAAGCCGCAATCTCAACAGCTCTTGGGATGATAACAACTACAAGACTTGTGGCCGCCATTCACCCCCTTCAAGGTGTAGCCATCTAGCGAGTTGACGATTACTTCCCCTGAATCCCTAAACACTGAAGGCTTCGAGGTTTCCTGCTCACAAACCCTGCCTGGGCGGGCCGGTTCTGGCAGACGCTGGGGGAAGGTCCTGAAGTAGGTCTCGTGCTTGGGGTGTTTATGTTTCGGGTTCAGTTCTCTGAGTGAAACCGGCTACAAACTCCAGGCTGTTGGGTTGGAGCTTCCGCCGTGTTGTTGCGACCCTTTTGGCAGCGGATTGTTTTTTGCTTATCGGTTGCAGCTTGCCTTTTGGTGCGGCGTGGCTTGGGTTGGAGGTTTCTGTTTAGTTTGGTGCGGCTTGGCCTGGCTCGGCTTACCCCAAACCCTAAACCCTGAACCCTAAACTCTAAACCCTAAACCCTAAACCCTGAGGTCTGGCTGAAGCTCAGGTGCGGGGCTTCATTTTTTGCGGAACGCGGCTTCGCTTGGCTCGGGGTTCGGCATGGTTTTGGTTCGGATCCAAGAGGCGTAGGGCACGTTATTTCCCTGGGCCCCCCATACGTGGGGGTTTCCGAAAATAGGCGTACCTTATTGGGCTTCTGAAGGAATCCTACTATTTGGGGGGGTCTGTATTAAGGAGTGTCCCATTCAGGTCCATGGCCCCCCTTTTCCGTTCCCTCCTAAACCCTAAACCCTAAATCCTAAACCCGAAACCCCAAACCCGAAACCCCAAACCCGGCGAACCTCGGGTGGCGAGGCCGGCTCCTCCCGCGGAGGGCGCGGCGGCCGCGGAAGATCCGAGGCATAGGCCTCCGGTGCCTGGCTTCGGCTTGCAGCTTTGGGGGTTTAGGGTTTAGGGTTTGCTGTTTAGGGTTTAGGGTTTAGGGTGTAGGGCAGGGCTTAGGGTTTGGGGTTTAGGGTTTATGGTTAGGGTTTGGAGTTTAAGGGATGTGAGGTATCTCTCCTTTTAAAACTTTGCAACCCTGGCCCTGAACTCAAAGAAAAAAGGCCAGCCTAAGGTTTAGAAGTGTGTGTATATACTCCCCTTAGAACCTTAATAAAAATCGTATGTTGAATATCCTCTTGGGTTTTATATAAACAAAAACAACAAACAATTAATTCCCAAGGGGGATATAGGTGTCTAAGCCAGGGTTGGGCATCTCGCGCTTCGCGGGCATTCCGGGTCTGCAGCGCAACGCACAAACACGTGGATCATGAGAGGATCTTCATTCAGGGTGCAGGGTTATTTCTGGCGTTTCAAGGACTTACAGGGAAATGTGTAGAAGGCTGGGTCTCGATCCGCATCCCCAACTGATACAGCCCAGCCAGACCCTGACCTACTATTTTTTAAGAACCCCAAAAGAATGAAACATGAGAATCCCTGTATTACACTTATAAGGAAGAATATTTCTTTGTCCTTTGTGTTGTTTTTTTTTTTTTGGGGGGGGGTTCTTAAGCAATTACTAGTGACTCAACCCCAAACCCTAAACCCTAAACCCTAAACCCTGAACCCTAACGAAACCCTAAACCCTAAACCCCAAACAAGCCTAAACCCCTGAGCCCCTGCAAAGCCTGGCCACCGGTTCCCTTCCGCAGGCGCTGCAGGGTTTGGCTGAAACCTCGCACACCCCCACGATCTCCCACTCTAGATGGCTGGGGGGTCTGGGGTTTAGGGTTTAGGGCTTAGTAAAGGGTTTAGGGTTTAGGGTTTAGGGTTTAGGGTTTAGGGTTTAGGGTTTAGGGTTTAGGGTTTAGGGTTTAGGGTTTAGGGTTTAGGGTTTAGGGTTTAGGGTGTAGGTTTTAGGGTTTAGGGTTTAGGGTTTAGACGAGGTTTTGCAAGTCATGATTGTCATGACAGACTCGAAGAGGCATCGCGAGAAACCCATGGCTCCCCGTACCCTCCCAGACACACACATGCGAGCCCACGCGACACGCATGAGCAACTTCCAATGTTTGAAAGGGTGCGGGCGCTCGAATCAGAATAGGACTACCATACTCTACTTTTGGGGGAAACGGTCACAGCACATGGATCGGACCTTTGTGCGACAAACCAGCATGGGAACGCCTTCACGGGGGAAGGTCCACCCACAAGCCCAGGTGGGGGTTTACGAACATAGGGGACGCCCAATATAGACCCCCACATAGTAGGATTCCTTGCCATAAGTAAGGACTCCAGTAAGGTACCCCTAACTTCGGAAACCCCCAAGTCACCTGGTGGCAGCGCTGCCAGCAAGCTCTGAGAGTTTTCCACCTCTCGAAGCCAAGAGGCACGAGGAGACAAGCCCTGATTACAAGCTCTTTTTGGACTTAGTAAGTCTACTTAGTATCTTCTGAAAACTGATTTGTAATCTCCGAACCCACCTTACGAACCCTAATTGCGAAGTCAAAAGGGCTTCCAAGTGGTTTGTGTAAGGGAAGCAACCCCAAAAGGACCAAGGTCCAATATGAAAAGGAAAGAAACTGTCGGGGTGTGGCCCTGTGAATTCCACTTGGGCTGTCAGATCCTATGAAGGGGGCCTGAGGGTTCTTAGAGAACGACTTAGGGATTCTGGAGTTTGGGTGTAAGAATCACCCGTCTGTAGCTCCTTGTGAGGGGGCACGGGGTTGAGGGCCAACAGCAGCTACAACGTCACAGTAGCTGTGCAGATTGGGGCCAGCGGTGACTGGCGCTGAACTCTAAGCCCTAAAACCGAAAGCCCTAAACGTTAGACCCTAAACCGTGGGCCGGTGGTGTGTGACAGCACGTCACACGCATCCGCGAAGACCGACGCGCCTTGTAGGCAAACACCTTCCAGGGTTTGGGGGTTTAGGTTGTAGGGTGTAGGGCATGTTTTGCTTTGGTTTCTATGTTCATTGCAGATAGGATGTACTCATAGTACATACATGTGTACAGCTCGGTCTACAGCATATTCTCGGTTAGGTTTGGAAACGACGCCTACAGAAATTAACTACTGACCATTCACGTGCGAAGGCAGCTTTGCATTCGGCTCCGGCCGTCTGCGAGGCTGCGTCTCATACATAAGAAGCTCAATGCACAAGATGCTTCACAATACGCGCCGTTCATGGACCTGACACAATATGGGCATTTCCCAAAGAGGGGTGCCCCTACTCTACCCCAATATAGAATAGAACCCCCTTAAAGGGACGGGGGCCCCCACATAGAGTGCACACATGTGCACACTGAGGCGTTTGTCCAGCGGCATGCAGGCCTCCGACATGAACATGGTGAATCGGTTGAAGCCTTGGGCATCGGCATATCCATCATGCCATGCCACCGACGGTAGCGAAATCAAGAAGTATCCAGGAAAGTTGGCAACCTATAGGCTCTGAGCTAATTAGGCAGTGCCGAGCACTTGATGCACCAGCAGTCGCTGCTGCTAAGGAGTGTCGCACTTGCAGAGCAAGGAGCTGTAGCTCCCACAAATGAACAGGGCTCCACTGGCGACCTGCCCAGGCAACAGATGCATGACAGGGCCCGCGTTGGTATGCGGTACTTATGCGGTCATGCAACCATAGAATGGATTTGCGAGGCTGAGGTCAACAACTGCAGCCCGTTTTCAAATACTTGTTTAAGCAGGGTCGAGCACATTATCAAGCATGGTCCTTCTCGAGAGGGGTGGCAGTGAACGCGTCCCCGTTCCTCAGCAGGGCATCTGCCATCGTAGAACTTGGTGGAACGATCCTGCGTGGACTGATTGCAAAGCTGGGGCTGCAGCGAGCCGACCGAAGAGGCACTGGAAACCGCGTAAAAGAAGCCTGAAACCCAGCGCGCATCAAGAAGAAAACCATGCCGACTGATGCGCCTACTGAGCGTGGCATGCATGATCGCCTCGGAATGCAGCAGCACTGCTCAGAATGTCATAAAGGCGCGGAGCCAGCCCCGAAACGCCAATCAGCATTGAAGAACCCTGAACTACACATCGGCTCAGTCACCCGCTCGTCTGGGAGCGGGGTAAAAGACCCCAATCCCTGGTTCTTAGCAGGGAATGAGGGAATGAGCGCCCTACACATACCCACTAAGGCATTATCTAGGGTACCGCTTTCCCTGGTTCCCTGTTAAGAACCAGCCAGACAAATGCTGCAAGGTAGCCATCGAACAAAGTGAAAGCATGCTTGCCGCGGATCCAGTTCAGAATCAGTCCAAAGAACAGCGTCCCGAACACAATCACGCTTCCTGGACTGTGCAAGCTCCCTCCGCGCCCCAAGACGAAGCTTTGGCTTGACTTGATTGCAGAGACGCTAAAAGAAGAGACAAAGAGACAGGAGAACATGCAGAACAGGATGCCGACGAAACCTTGTGCAAGCCCCCTAAAGGGGTAGGGTTTGAGGAGCGACTCGCTCTCTCTCTCTCTCTCTCTCTCTCTGTCTCTCTCTCTCTCTCTCCATCTCTCTTTCTTTCTTTCTTTCTTTGGGGCTTGGAGGGGAACCCTCCGCGCGACAGCGCGCCCCGATCTCTCTCTCTCTCTCTCTCTCTCCCTTTCTCTTAATATAGCGAGTCACCGATATCCATTGAGCTTTTGATGATCAGGGTCGTGAAGTGCTCATCGAATCTGAGCTGTTAGGGTTTAATTTGGCTTGGGTTCAGGGCTTCGGGATTGGGGTGTTTGGGGCGATGAAAGGGCTTCGGGTTTTTCGAGGGCAGTGCCACGCAAAAAGGCCCTCGGCGGCGTGAACGGTTTCAGGTTCGAAGCCCCAAGACCTCACTGGGAGTCTTTACCGTAAGAGAACATCAGATTCGAGGTAAGGGTGCAGGGTTTAGGGGCCGCGTTTCCGAAGCCAGAGTTCCCTTCAGAGCTTGCTTAAATGCAACTCGGTCCTCTTTGCTGCTTCGTGTACTCTTGGGGGCCGCGTGGACACACGGAGTATGTGAACATAAATCCCCGCCATGAGAAATGTTGGAATGAGGGCTGATCTCGTATACATGCCCTGGAAGTGGGAGCCGGGTCCTATCGCTTCGCCTTCCTTTACAGAGACTTGGCAAGTGAGAGAAGAAATATGAGTTCAGGTCGTCTCCGGGATACACCGATTTCTTGGGATGTTTGAGCGTTCCACATATGCAAGCAAGCTTCATGGCATCATCCTCCTGAGTCTCGGAAGGAACGCCCAGCCCCGAATACGAGCACCATGTGACCTACTTCACCGCCTCCTCTGGCAACATGCAGCAAGTTGACAGAAGTTGAAACTTGAATAGGACCCGCATGTGATACACTGCGGACCCTTACCAACCACGTAGTTTGCAATGGGTTTGTTGAATGGAGCTCCAAGTTAAGGCAGCATGGCAGGCCAAGCTGCGAGAAGCTCCAAAGTAGCCTCCTGCAACAGAGAGCTGGGCATGCACAAGGGAGCGTGGGTCCAGCAATAAGAAGGCTTGCCTACCTTTTGGAATATCCTGAAATGCTCCAAGAGCCCCCAAAAATCCCAAGAACCAAAGCCCCAAACACCTTAAGGCATCAAATGGTAAAAACCAACACACAAAGCTGCCACAATTCGTTTGAGAGCCCAGTCTCCGGGTCGTAGGCCGGCATAGGCCCACTGGGGTTCTCCAGAACGTAGTTCAGGAGAGGCAGAAGCGCCTTGATCCTCCAGCCAGCTCCGGTCCAAAGTGCGGAGCGCTGTGGCCAAGGGATGAGCGCGCCGGTGCCCGTGAGCTCTGCCAGTAGCACCTCCCCTCCACGCACCTCCCTCAGCCAGCGAAGCTGCTCCGCTGTGGGGCGGAACTCCCGCGGATACTGAGGCAGGCTCTCCAGCCTTTCGATGGTACTCTGAAGCTGTTCGCGTGACCCGGCGGCGTCGCGCGCTTCAGCTGCAACTCGCCACAAGATGGGCAAGAGATCTTGAAAGTCTGCTCCGCGTGCCACAGCACTTGTCATGCGATGCATTCGACTCTGAAGAATTTCGTCCAGTTCTTCTCCCACTGCGCCACCGACGAGGAGGAGGCCAAGCAGAATATGGCAAAGGGTGAATACCCGTGGCACGGGCTGAATAGGGGTCATATCATTGTCGCCAACTGTGGACACTATCTGGACCAAGAAGTATACAGTTTCAGGAGCATCCCATCCCTGGGTCCGCATGTAGTAGTACAGGCCCGTAGCAGCATACATAAACACAGTGGGAAAGTACCACATAGCGGATCGCAGGTTGTATGAAGGATTGTCAACAAATCGTCTCAGGAAATCCCTACCTCGAAGCCTCGAGATAACTGCGGTGCCAATAACAAGGGACTCCAGAAGAGCAACCTCTCCCATCCCAAAGAGAAAGTCGGTGCCGCTGGGCCATTCCTCACGGGGCTTGTGGTGGCACTTGCCTGTGACCTCGTCACCGATCCAACCGCACTCAGCTTGCAAGTCTTGACAGTCGAGCGGGTTTTTTCTCCTACGGCAGATTCGCTCGCGGTGCGAAAAGTGACGGTGGGCCCTCGCGTGCGCGGCATGCGCATCCGAACCGCCTGAATGCGCAGCTTTTCTTGCCACGGCTGCTCTGGCCAACTGCTCCGCCCGCGCTTCTTGCTGTGCAGCCTTCTTCTGGGCAATCACCAGCTCAACAACCTGTTCCTCATCGTCGTGGATCCGCTGTAGCAGCTTCTCCTCCTGCGACTTGTAAACGTCAGTGGCATCCTTCACATCCTCTTCGGGGTCAGGTACCTGCGATACTTCTGGGTTGGAGTCCAACTTGGCACCTGGCTGTCCCTGCTCAGCGCCCTCCGTCCTTTTCAAGCTCTCGTCGTTTCGAATGCGCTGATTCGAGGATGCCTGGTAGCCATCCTCAAAGAAAGAAAACGCTCGGCATCTTCTGGAATGGGTGCCTGCAGGTACAGCGAGTATCGAACTCGACGTGGCACCGTCGAGGCGGCGTGCAAGATGTGCAAAATTGCTCTGCTTGCTGTGCTTGCCTCCCCGCGGGTGCTCAAAGAAGGACGAGGCCAGCGATTGTCTTTCAGATTGGACATCTGGTCTCAACCCCCTGGAGGCAAACGAGGCTTCTAAAGCTCCAAGGTTGGAATCATGCAGCGTTGGCTGATTCCAGGAAGCACCGCACAGCTTCGTTAGCATTCGGAGGGTACTCAAAGCGTGGGCATTAGGCTCTACACAAGGCCCCTTGAGCTGGGACCTGAAAGGTGCGCGGCAGGTCACTCGAGAGGCTTCGGCCTACTGGGTCTTAGTAGGGAATGAGGGGGCTGGGCACCGCATGTCCCCGTATTCTAATCCCTTTAAGGGATTTTATATATGGCACCTGATTCCTTCCTTCCCTACCGAGAGAAGGTAGGTCAAAGCCAGCATAAGGAAATCACACACCACAACAACAAAACAAGGCCTCAAGCAAGGTCCGTCCGTTCTGGACCCCTTCTGAATGAACCTAGAGACCCGGAGCCTTCTCCGTGATGTCGTACGCGACCTCGAACCATCAAGACTCGTCCGGTCAAGACTTTGGCTGAATCGAGCGCTTTAGCTATGCTTGACTCGAAAGTTTAAACAGAAACTCAACTAACTAGCTATGCAAACTGCTTCCCGAGATCAGCAGACCAGGATGTGCTATTGCCACCGGCCATTGTGCTTGACATGTGCCTCTTCGGTGTCGCTGGCCTCCGGCACGTCTGTGTTGGCCTTCGTGATCGCTTGACAGTGAAAGCAGGGAGCAGCCACCAGATGTGAAACCACCCTCAGCCCAAAAGCGCCTTCTGCTTGGGGCCAGCTATCCGCGCCACCTCCGCATCGAAGTCCTCCTTTGGTTGCAGTTTAGGGTTTAGGGTTGAGGGTTTAGGGTTTAGGGTTTAGTTTTTAGGGCTTAGGGTTTAGGGATGCACCCTGCTGGTACTACTGGATGCCACGGGCATGTGGACTCGGGCCCAGGCGCAGGACAGGCAAAGGAATGGCCTTCGCACCTTCTTCTTGTACTGGTCCTGGATGCAGTAGGCAGGTGCAAAGCTGCAACGATTCTGCTGATACTCTTTGGGGGGTCTGTTTTGCATGAGGGCCCTTATTGGGTTCCCTTGTGGCCAGCATGAAAGTTGGGGGGTTGACACAATGATACCGTGTTCTGTTTCAGTATATGGCATACAGAATATAACACAAAAACGCAATATGCATGTGCATAAATATATATGTGTATATATATATATATATATGTGTGTGTGTGCGTCATAAGTGTATCGTGCTTTCTGTATATAAGCTAGAACATATGTAGATATACATATAAAAGTTCTGCTTTAGATACTCTCTTATATCCACATATGGGCACATCATGGCACACACATATATATATGTGTAACATTACATTCAGTCATACATACATACATACATACATACATACATGCATACATACATACATGCACTATATGACAGTCTCAGGGCCGGACACCGAAAGGGAAGAACAAAGTTGAAGCCGTGGGCAGGGCATCGATCACGGCCAACATGTCCTGTCAAGATTGGCTTTGCGTGGTTCTTCCAACATGGACCCTCAACTTCCATAACCCCCTGAACCCTAAACCCTAAACCCTACACCCGAAACCCAAAGAGACATCTCGGACCCTTGTTCGCCGAGTTTGACTCAGAGGGAGCATCGCATTCCTCCCGGAACAAGTCCAGGTCTTCCACCTGCACATCCACGAAGTCAAACCTGGCCAAGATCCAAAGTGCCATCTGGGGGGTACCTTGCTGGGTCCTGATCATAAGGGGATCCTACTATTTGGGGTCTTTTTTCGGGGTCCCCTATTTTTGCAAACCCCCATCTGAGTCTGCGGACTTTTGACAACACACGTTGCCAATAACCGCTTCTCTACCGCGGCTGATTTTCGGAGGTTTGGGGTTAAGCAAGCCTTAGAAGCCCTGAACCCCAAACCCGAAACCAAAATGTTTACGTCTAGCCAAACCAAAATGTTATAGTCCTTACTTGAGGGGCAAGCCAGGGAGGACGAAAGCTAGCTTAGATTCACGCTACTAGGGGTGAGTCCGTGCCTTAGAACGCAGGGATATGGCTAGAACACCCCACCACACACCAGCACCACACTCCACACGCCACTCTCCGCCGCACGCCCCCGCACGCGATATTGTCAACACAATGACAACTCTGAGGAGGTTGGTCGGTCTAGCTAACACTAGCTTGCGTGCGTATTATTGGAACCCCTATTTTGGGAAGTATCCTACACCCTTAACCCTAAAACCATTTGCTGGGCTGCACAACTTGGCAACCCGACGCGTGGAAGTTTTCGTAGAGCTCTGGCCGAAAAACGAATAGGCGGACCTAATGCTTGCAGGGTTTTAAGGTTTAGGGGCTTAGGGTTGAGGGCTCGGGGTTGAACAGCTTAGGCATAGGTGTGTGGTGCCTAACGTAAATATACAGCCAGGGGCGGGTCGCAAGAGGGCAGCCACTCAAAAATCCAGGGCCAAGCCAACGCAATCATCTCAACCACAATAGATCACAATCACCCAATCAGACTCATAACATGCATACGGATATATATATATACATACATACATACATATATACATATATACATATATACATATATACATATATGCATATATGCATATATATATACATATATACATATATACATATATACATATATACATATATACATATATACATATATACATATATACATATATACATATATACATATATACATATATACATATATATATATATTAATTATGTATGCATGTATGTATATATATATATGTACACACACACACACACAAAATTCTTCTTCTGCTCATTATTAGTATTATGATTATTGTGGATTCTATGATGTAGACATATATATATATATACATACAGAAACGAAGACAGAACGTCCGTGCGTCCTCTAAAAGGACGACAACGAGGCCCTGGCCGGCCCCTGCGCCACTCCGAGAGCTCCATTCACCAGCTGGGGGTGGCGTTCGCTTATAAGTCGAAGGGCTTTTTGGGGTTGGGATGTTCCCCCTTTTACCAAGAGCTCCTCAAGTAGGGATTAGAGGTACCCCCCCCCCCCCCCAATTATAAAGCCCTAGCAAGGAGCTGTTAGTATAAGGGGGAACATCCCAAGGTCGGGGCTTTCGAAGTCTGGGGGCTTTGGGGGCCAAAGCGCTCACCAAATTCAAGGAGACAGTCGAGTCCCAACAGCTGTCAGAGTCATTTTTCAGCCTCAACTCTGGCACGATAGATGAACCCATTCCGAAGCCTGAAACCCTTAAAGCCCTCAACCCCAAACCCCAAGCACGCCGGACGTGCCCAAATGGGCACTGGAGAGCTGGTGACGCACCATTCCTGCAGGGGCCACTCTTGTACAAGGCGCCCGCAAAAATTGGCGCAGAGTCTGGCCCCCCTGAGCCGAGCACTGTCGGGTCATAGTGCCCAGCTTGAACTGCATGCAAGAAGACCTCTGCTCCGAGAGAACCCCCATGACTCTTGCTACAGTGCTCGGGAAGAGCGATCTGAAGCAGCGAAGGGACAATGATCAATTTTTGTATTTAATGCTGCCTTACCTGGCCGGAACATTAACGCGAGGGCTGACAGTTAAAGAAGTTTGTGGAAGCTTCGCTTGCGCCATCCTTCGCCACATCACATCATTATTGCCATCCAGTCCCGAAGCTGCGAAGCCACGATCCCAACTACAGCCATCGATGATTGAGCTGCACAGGAGGGCTGCATGCATTCAAGAGGCCAGCTGCCGGTTCGTTAACTTCCTTCCGACGGGAGCTGAGGGATGCTTCTACTTGACTTCTCCGGGAGCTTAGTAAGTAGGTGCTCAGTCGGGTTTGGGTTCTTGGTTTTTGGCGCGGGAGGGGGGGGGGGGGGGGGGGGGCCAGTTTCTGTGTTGGGCTTCGTGCGGCTTTAGGGTTTGGGTGCGGGTTTGGGCGCTAGGTCTGGCAGGGAAGGACCCCAACTAACTCCAGTTAAGGCTTAGCTATGATGCCTATGTCCGGCCCAATTTCGGGCAGTTCATCAATTCCCCAAACAGTGTGTCAACACTCAGGGGTTCCAGAGTAACCGGGGTACTTGGAGGTTCATGGGAATCATGGGTAGTTATGAGTATGGCTCTAGGCAGGGTGACTATACATATAACCCTACTGAGGATACTTACAGCTGTACTTAGAACTACCCATGAACCTCCAAGTAGATAGGCGGTCACTCACTGCGAAGTGCGAGATTCTCGCTTTTGGACTTCGATGTGCGACGCTGTCTTCGCTTTTGGACGTCTGGGCTCGCGAAATGCTAAACTGTCATGACTTCTGGTTCATCACTTATCTCATCCGGCCTGTCGGCTGCGAATCACAGCCGACCGACTCTATCCCAGATGCAAGTTACGTCTGGTCTTCAATATACGTACGGGTAATCTGCTTTGTTGCTCCTGTGAAGACCTGCCGTGCTGTTGGAATACATGCCGTGTAGTCGTTTGGGTGTTCTGGGCGATGTTGTCTGAAGCGCTGGGTGTTCCTTGGACGGGTTCCTGGACGACAGGGTAGGTTTCCCTCTTATTGGGGGAGCTCACGCTGGGCACAAACACGCCACGGGCCAAAGATCCCCTGTTTGGCGGAGCGGGGCAAACGTCTTTGGTCGGTGTTCCTATCGGATGTTTCCTTGTGAACATCTTTGCGAGTGATGCTTGCAACTTGCAAGAAGAAGCTGGGGCCCTTCAAATGACTTAGTTTCAGCACCGATGTAAGCCGATGCATCTCAAAGTACAGGCTTCTTTCAATCCAAGCATATGTTGGTTTTGCATATGGGGTGCATATGGTCTATCCAGTCTGTGCACTATGATTTTGCAGCCGCCTCTGCTACTTGCGAAGCTGACTGCCAAATTTCTGAGTTGCATAACTCAAGACTTACGAAGTCCGACTGTGCGATTCAAACACAGCTCCATGACGGTCAGTCTAAATCCATGCTTCTCAATCTCAGAGCAAAGGGCGTTTTTTAATGTAGGCTTGCGGCTTGTGCTAATGACTGCAAACCCCATTTTTTCAAGCCCCTGACCACAAGGATTAGGATTCACCCCCCCCCCCCTAAAGGGGCTTTTCAACAATCACCGGCCTGAGCCCTGTCATGACAGGACCATGGCTCATCGTCGACCTCGTCATGCCTTCGAGCCACTACGCGTCACCGTGCGACCATTTCTAGATGGACCAGCAGAAAGAGTGCACCGATCGCTGTAAGCAGATCTACGCGGGATCACATCCAGCTGTCGAGTCTTGGGGACAAACTGCTCCAAGGCTGCATTCTGTCAGTAGCTGCTGAATGGGACGTTTGCACCAACACAAGAAGTTTCTCGACATCGACTCCCAGATGTTTTGACAAACGTCTCACAGGTCTAGGTCGTCTGCACTCGTAGTGGAAGTCAATCGTGTCCCAGGCCTGGGTCGGCATATGTATAGGGGGCGTTACTCAAAAGGACTCGTTGCATAGACTGGAGATGACGGGAGGGAGAACCTGTCGCCTGGAATCTTGTCCCCTACTTCACCTCCGGAGAGAAGCAGCCGACGATACGTTTGCTGAACTGCCCTCAAAAGGTACCCCGATGTTCGGAAACCCCCACATCAAGGTACTTTGACGCTGCCATGCGGGACTGTCGTGCCTCCTCTCTCGCAGTACGAAAGGCTTTGGGATGCTTTTTTGGGACAGCCCGAAACCGTAGCTACCCTAAACCCTAAACCCTAACCCTAAACCCTAAACCCTAAACCCTAAACCCTAAACCCTAAACCCTAAACCCTAAACCCTAAACCCTAAACCCTAACCCTAAACCCTAAACCCTCCTAAACTACCCTAAACCCTAAACTCACGGACTGACAACTGCACCCTGTAGCCACGCATCTGCTCTGCGAATCTGTCTGGCACCCCAGCGCGGAGCAGCCATAGTGACCAGATGCCCCAAACCTCAGCAAGTCATAAGAACTAATGATATCATAGTATATTATAATACATACGAGTATATATATATATATATAGAACCATGTATGACAACATCTAATTGCATATAATCACGTAGAATAACGTATTATAATAAGACATGACTTGTGATTCGTAGAGGTTGTTTTATGTTGCTGAGGGGCCCTCAACTGTAAACCCTAAAACATCCTAAACCATAATTCAGACCTACAACTCTGCTGCATATGCCTACAAACCTACATCGTGCCTCTTGAAGCTCCGCAGACCACAAAGGTTCGAAGTTCTAAACCCTAAACTCAACCCGATGATTTACCAGGTCCCGCTTTTTCTGGTTCTGTGGCGAGAACTCAGGTCCAGGCGCAAAGTATCCGCAATGACTCCGCCAGCATGACCAGGATCAGCACCTCAGTGCTAAAGAACCCAAAAAATCAAAAACATGTACTTCCTTATTAAGGGTAATATAGGATCATTAAATTATGTTTTGTTCTTTTGGGGTTCTTAAGCAAATAGTAGGGATGGTGTCGGCTTTCCGAAGGAGATCCTGGGAAAGCGGCTGCATCCATGACACCGTATGAGCGACCGGGAAGAACGAACACCTGGCATGCAGCCAGAAGCTCCATTAGGGTTTAGGGTTTAGGGTTTAGGGTTTCGGGTTTCGGGTTTCGGGTTCATTGCTTTTGGCCGCAACCATGGCAAAGGCAGCGTTGGCTGCAGTGATGTGGAAGGCAGCTGTTGCGTTGAAATGGCGCCGGCAGTACTGAAACTGCATTGAAGTACATCACGGCAGAGCCCAGTTCTCCAACCTTAGGGGAAGTCAGCGACAACGGCCGGGGTTAATATTCAGCATTAAGGCCACCATACGCAGCCGAGGCAGCCACGCAGAACTCGGCATACCACTTCTTCATTGTAAATGTGTTCGGATTCTTCGCCTGCGAAGGCGGGCATGGAGATCTTGCTTCCTAGTTTTGGCGAGGAGGATACGCGACCCGAAGCCCTAAAGGGAGGGAGGGAGGGGGTGATACAACAGTGGCGCTTCCGCTGGCCTGGGCAGGCGCGAAGAGGATGGGACAGGCGCGGAGCATCAAAATGGGGCAGACCTGGCAAAGCCCGTCGCGGGTGGACGCCGAGCTTCGGGATTCGGAGTTGATTTTCGGGGCATGCCCACTTCGCTCCTTCAAGTGCTACTTCTTTTAGGGCTTAGTCTAGGGTTTGGGGTTTAGTTCGGGGTTTAGGGTTTAGGGTTTACGGCTTAGGGTTCAGGGTTTAGGGTTGCGCTCCTCAAACCTCGCACATGACCCTTGGCATTCCCTGACCGAACATCGGCTTCGAACTGCAGCTCCTCACCCCAGATGGGTAGTTCTCTAACTCAGATTCCCTTTTTGGGGGTCCTTTTAATGACCGAGTTGTACAAGGTCCACACTTTCAACCCCCAGCTGCGATTGGAAGGATTTGAGGTGAGCCTTAAACTTTTGCTACCCCCGAGTAGTGTCGTACAGCCACTGAGCCCTGTGGCCAACACAAAACAGCTACGGTAGGGTTTGAGGGGTCCGCAAATCCTCAACCCGAAACCCTTCAATGTTTCATGACAGCTTCGGTTCTCGGACGGGGGTTCACACCGCGCCCGAACTTGCCAGGCTTGCCACCCGAAGGCAGGCTAGGAAGTACCACAGCCTCAAGAGGCCCCTTTAAAGTACCCTAGCATAAGGGGGTTTCGGGTCGAGTGACCGGTGTTTAGGGCCCGTATCAAACTACAGCAGCAGGGACTTGCATTTTGAACACTCACATGACTCAGTCGTGGCGCCAGAATGAACCAGCGTTCCTGGTAGAAGCGTACCGTACCCAAGCTTTGAACTGAGTTCGTTTTGCACGCGCAAATCACTTATCACTGAAGCTCTAAACGCCCTGACCCCGAAGTATGCAACTGTAGGAAGTTCCCGTGGCAGCCAGGCTCCACACAGCTCCGCAGCCCAGTGCCATTCCTCACCTGGCCAAAACCCCAAAACCCTCTTAGGGTTTAGGGTTTAGGGTTGCACCTCATCCCACACCCAAGGACACTAGTAGTTCCCTTGCCTTCCGCCAGTCGTGGTGGGTTGAAGACCTCCAGAACGGCTACCTCCAAGACGGGCTGAGGTGGCGAGGCGGCGCGCATGGCCACTGAACCCACAAGAGTCACGAGAGGCCCAGGCAGGCAGCTCGATAAGGGTCGTGGGCCCCAGGAAGCAGAAGAAGCCCACGAAATGGAGCAGCACCTGGCTTCGAAAAGCCCCATCGGCAGCCGCTTTGGGTCTGAGGATTTGGTTGAGGCTCCCACCCACTGAAAGACGTAGAGAATGTCGAGGTCGGAGATGGGAAGACCCCGGCGGAGCCGAGAATTCGAGCCACCTGCCGTCCGTCGCGTCATGCCATGTCATCAGCACGCCTGTGGGGGTGGCCTTGCCTGCCCCCGAGATAACGGGAGTGTTCATGACCATCATCAGACCAAACGGCGCCTTGCAGCTGTGCACACTCCATTCGGGCATGTGGATTGCAGCATGATTGCAAGACGAGCTCAGTCAAGGGCGATCGCACCCCGAAGGGCGTGCCTGCAACTTGTCTGCAATCGCACGACTCGACATTGTGACGATCTGAGCATGAGCTGCACAGTGCTGGTCAACAAACTCTGAGTCTCCCACAAGGCACAGGAGAAGATGTCCCCTCAGATCTTCAAACTGCTCATCAAAAAAACTTGTGAACTGCAACGCGGCTGCTGTGCATTGATCATCCGCCTTGTCAGTGCCTGCTATGCTTCGTCAGCAAAATAAGCAGCGGGATGACTGCACGGTAACCCTAAACCCTAAACCCGAAACCCGAAACCCTAAACCCTAAACAGCCAACCGCAGCTTGCCATCTCCACACCCACAGTATTGGCCCGTTGAACCAAAACTTAAAGGGAGGGACCCCCAGAAAGGACCCCTAATCCATTCCCCTATATAACCCTATACGCGCACGCACACGCACACGCACACGCACACGCACACGCACACGCACACGCACACGCACACGCACACACGCACACGCACACGCACACGCACACGCACGCCCACGCCCACGCCCACGCCCACGCCCCCGCCCACGCCCACGCCCACGCCCACGCCCACGCCCACGCCCACGCCCACGCCCACGCCCACGCCCACGCCCACGCCCACGCCCACGCCCACGCCCACGCCCACGCCCACGCCCACGCCCACGCCCACGCCCACGCCCACGCCCACGCCCACGCACACACGCACACGCACACACACACACACACACACACACACACACACACACACACACACACACACACACACACACACACACACACACACACACCACACACACACACACACACACACACACACACACACACACACACACACACACACACACACACACACACACACACACACACACACACACACACACGCCTATGTATTTCTATATATATATATATATATATATATAGAGACACATCATGTATACACATATTATTACAATGTATATACCATATACTATATACATATACATGTATATATATATATGTATATGTATGTGCGTGTATTTACACATCTACATAGACCTTATATCCTGTATACCTAAGTAGCCACAAAAAAGCGCCAGCAGGGTTGTCCTTCAATCTCTGCTACGCAATGCTTGACCCTGAGCCTGAACCCTACAAGGAACCTAAAAGCCCATAAGCCACAGACCCACAAGCCACAGAGGCCCAAGAAGCCTGACAAGCCCCATAGACCCCCTACTTGGAAGCTCTTTTTTTGACTTAGTTAGTCTGCTGAGTATCCCTTGTGATCCCCATAACCCACCTCACTAACCCTACTTACTAAGTCAAAAAGGGACGAAACCCAAAACCCCAAATCCTAAACCCTAAACGAAGCCCTCGAAACCTCAGCCGCCTAACTGCAGAGGAGGGGCCTCCCTTGATGTGCATCAGCACATTGCCCAGAAGAAGCAGGTGCGCAGCCGGCCGCACCTCGGAATGACAGAAGTGGCCGTTTCGTTTAGGGCTTAGGGCTTAGGGTTTAGGGTTTCGGGGTTTAGGGTTTAGGGTTTAGGGTTTAGGGTTGAGCGTTTAGGGTTTGTTGACCCCAGGGGTTCTAAGGCTTGTGGGCTTTACCGGGCTTCCAGGCCTCCGAGGGCTTTACCAGGGCTTGCAGGGGTTGTAGGGTTTTGTCTCCCTGGATTTTCGGGGGCATGGGAAGCCCTAAACCCTAAACCCTAACCCCGAAACGCTAAACTACAAGCCTTTCGAACCGAACACCTCTGGTTCCTGGCTTCTAGGACGAGAGATAACCCTAAACCCTAAACCCTAAACCCTGGACCCTAAACCCTTAACCCTTAACCCTGAAACCCTAAACCCTAAACCCTAAAACTCAACATCCCAAAGCCCCTCAGGGCCCTAACCCTGAGGGTCCATGTACCAAAGTAGAGACTGAAAGTACCTCCTATATAGGGAATAGGGACTTTAGGGCCCAAGTATATAATCATGATGTACATGAACCCTTAGGGGAAGGGGCCGAAACCCTAAACCCTAAACCTTTTGTGCTGAGTGGAGGACGGAAGCCTCGACTATTTGGTGCTCTGTGGTGGAGGTATCTCCGAAGGTCTCGGACATCGTCCTTGGCTTCGATCTTCAAGGTTTTTTTCAGGGGGTTTGTAAGGTAGCTTCCTTGACTCCGAATTTAAAGCACTACTAAATTGCGGTGTCAGTTCTCCTCCCCCTCCTCCTCCTCCTCCACCTCCTCCTCCTCCTCCTCCTGTCAATCGCCCTGCAACTCTCATGCTACTGTAGCAACTTCTGTCCCAAACCCTAAACCCTAAACCCTAAACCCTAAACCCTACTTCTGAGGCCCTTACTCTGGATGATACTTCAACATCAGGGTCATGTCCACGTTGCCCTGGTTGTCAGCATGAAGCCACAAAAAATCCCAAACCCAGGGGCACTCAAGGAAGCCTTGGCCTTCGCGGCCTCCGCTGCAAAGTCCTTGATGTACTCATTCCTGTCGCAGGATGCTTCGGTTTAGGGTTTAGGGTTTAGGGTTTAGGGTTTAGGGTTCAGGGTTCAGGGTTTAGGGTTCAGGGTTTAGGGTTTAGGGTTTAGTGAGTTTCCAGCTATCTCAGCCACATGCGAAGCTGATGCCATGGCACCTGTTGCGTGGGGAAATCCACCAGATGTGGATGGCGCTCACCTCTGGCATCGCGATCATGCGTCAGATCATCAAACTAAGAGCATCGCAACCCGAAACCCCGAACTTCTACTCGGTGCTGGCCCAAATCACGCCGCCTCGTGAGTCTCAGTATGTTCCTGACACTTGTATCTGCAGCTTTGGGGACGCATCACTTAGCCCTTGGCTAGGACTACCCCATATTACCCCACATCACCCCATATTATCCACATGACCCCAACTACCCCCAGATTACCCCCCAGATTACCCCCATGTTGCCGCATATTACCCCATCTTCCCCACACATTACCCTAAACCCCAAACCCTAAACCCTAAACCCTAAACCCTAAACCCTAAACCCTAAACCCTAAACCCTCATCTCTTCTGAGCCCAGGCGGCAAATGCCCAGTGGCAGGTGCGCGTGGCAAAGAACACCTTGGCAGGGATTGTGTGGGTTTAGGGTTTAGGGTTTAGGGTTTAGGGTTTAGGGTTTAGGGTTTAGGGTTTAGGGTTTAGGGTTTAGGGTTTAGGGTTTAGGGTTTAGGGCCTAATCCCTAGGTAAACCCGAAGCCCTTCAACAAGGAACTGCTAGGACCCGGGCGAGGAAAGCCCCGATCGTCTGGATCGTGAGTTCCCCACCGTCCAAAATGGTGATCACCATCTGCTTGGCCTCCTTCCAGCCCGAAGAGCAGAGCAACATTCACAGTACCTACTACTTGCGCATTGGGATGTTCCCCCGTTATACTGGCAGTCCTTAACAGGGATTATAATAGGGGTACCATAATCCCTATGAAGGACTGTTTGTATAAGGGGGAACATCCCAAACTGCTTGCATGAATAAGCATGAAAAAGAGCCTTTCTTGTTCTGAATCTTCGCACGTAACATGCCGCCCTTCAGCTGGGATCCGCACGTCGGGAGCCGGAAATGCTTCACCGACATGTAGGAGCACATGCAAAGAATTCGTAGATTCCACCTTTCACCCTTGAGGGTTTAAGGGTGATGTGCTACCTGGTGCAAACGGCTTCGAGATCTGGCCCAGTTGAGCACAGGAGCACATGGGGGGTTGATCATATTCTGGAGCGGAATCCTGACTGTTTGGTGTTCCCGAAAGGTCCCGTGGCTTGGCTCCCCCCGACATTCAACTTAATTATTTGAGCCAAAGGCTTCAGTGAAAAGCTGAAGGAATCCCAAAATCCCAAAAGCCCACACCCCGGTACCCTGCAGCACCCGTGAAATACACCCTAAAACCCTGGAAGGCCCTTGTGAACCCTAAAGAACCCCAGAGCATGCACCCTCAAGCCTCCCTTGGAAACCCTAAACCACCCAAAATCCGGGTTTAGGGTTTAGGGTTTAGGGTTTCAAAACTCTTCAACCTCAAGCCCGCAGAGCTCTTCATCCCTGATCCCTCATGGTTCCTAATTCTTTAAAACCTGAACCTCAGATCCTTTGAAATAGTAAAATACCGTGGTAATAATAACTTGATATTAAATGAGGCTCTTAAACCCTGAACCGTCATCATTCTTACGCCCTGAACTCTCCCAAAGCCTGGGCCCCTCACCTTGGAAGCCACCAAGTCCTCCAGGGAAGAGTCTGGCTTTCGCGGTTTCTGAGGGCTCGCAGGCAAGGGTTTCGGGTCTTCCCAGCGACAACGTTTAGGGTTTAGGGTGTAGGGTTTCGTGTGTAGGGTTTCGGATTTGGGGTTGGGGAAATGACAGCCAAGTCATCGTACTGCACTTCCTACAACGCAGACGCAGCAAAATTGCCTCACCCGCCTGTGAAGAGCACTTGTCCCACAAGCACCTCTACTATCTTCGACTAAAGTGCTTCCTGCCTTGTGTAAACTTGTGAAAAGATCTTCAACCAATTTCCTCTGGAGAACCTCGGGCAATGCGAGTTGAAGCTTAGGGTTCAGGGGATTAAGGGGTTCATGGCTTAAGGATTTGGGGTTTAAGGGTTTAGGGCTGAGGTTGTAGTAAGGGCTTAGAGGTTCGGGTTGGCAAACACGCTGCACTCCCTCCTTGATTGGTGTTGGCGTCTGCGAATCCTGCAGAGCGAACATTGGGGTTTACCGATGCAGAGAGGGTTTCGGGTGAGGGCGCTGGTTGTCGAGGTGGTCGCACGTACCCCTCAACTGGGTTGGATACTGCCTTTCATCTAACCAAAGCTGCATGCGAGAATGCGTTTTTGGAATCCTTCCTTCCTTCCTGGGCAAATGGGCGGTCGATCTCTGCCCGAGCTAGCCAAATGTGCGCTATGCGCACGCAGCTTTTGAAAAGGCCAACACGCCCCACACACGCACTCATGCACACACAGAGTCGGAGCATCGTTCGGGTTCATGGTTGATGGGTCTAGCCTAAACCCAAGGACACCCTCTTCCCTCGAGACAGTGCCCAAACCGCGACAAGAAAACGATTGCCGAACCACGACCAAAACATCCCTCTCAACCCTGGCCTTGACCCTGGACGTTGCTGGGGTCACTTACAGGGATTCATTCGGGAGATTGCATGCACCAATGACGGCAGACATGCTGCCTCGCCCGTTCCGTTGGATTCCTCTGCCGGCGAAGGAACGCGCGGATCTCAGATACAGAAGAATGAAGCCAGAAGAGAACTCGAATCTGTGTGGCAAACAACGACAGTGATCGCATAGAGCATTTTGCGAACCATTTGCTAAGAAATGCTAAGAAGTTGGCCCAAGGAATCTGGCGCGGCGTCTGCAACCGCATTGGACCTGACTCTCAAGTGTTTTTGAACCCCCTTAATTCAAATTTTCGTTTTGAACGTACCTTGGACAAGTATCTAGCGAAACTCAAAAAGTACTTCAAAAAGCAGTCGAGCCTAGGCCAACAGCACAATCCAGCAGCATGCAGAACGGCCCTCTGCGAGGTACAGCCTAAACCCTAAACCCTAGACCCTAAACCCTAAACCGTCTTAGGCTCCACGCGGCATGTCATTGAAGGCGCCCTTGAGGGAGGAGAGCTCTTCGATGGGCGTCGTTCCCGGAGAGCTGGTTGTCACCGGCCGCCTGGCCAGAACTCTAAGATGGGCACGATGACGATTCCTAAACCCTAAACCCTAAACCCTCAACCCTGAACCCTGAACCCTAATCCTTAAGCCCTCTTTCATTGACCTAGAAGACCGGAGTGCCAGCCTAAACCCTAAGCAAGGACAACACAAAGCCGGGAGGGCTCGGCGGTCGGCTCCGCCGGGATCGGCTCTTCTCGCACAGCGAGCACACTTCCCGTTGAATTGTCGATGCAAGACCTTGGCGGTGCAAGGTCCCTGGGTTTAGGGTTTAGGGTTTAGGGTTTAGGGTTTAGGGTTTAGGGTTTAGGGTTTAGGGTTTAGGGTTTAGGGTTTAGGGTTTAGGGACAGTGAATCCAACATGCGCAAGTCATGGCCGGGCATGCGGCTGCACGCTGCCAATTGACAGCAGGTCTGCGCTGTTCAGGATGTGCAATGCGTCCTGCACATGAAGCAAAACAGTCGATTTCGGGGGAGATCTCTTCTGAGCTCTGACTATAAGGGGGTGTCCAGTTCCTTCCGGCATTTCATGGGAGCCCTATACAATCCTATACATGCCTCTTGGACGGCTTCGGTCAGAGTTCAGGGGCTTCCGGTTGGGCCAAGGAGTAACATGGGCGTGCTGCCCGGCAGTAAGTCATGGAAACCGCGGCTTTTTCAAGCATCGGCTACACTGCGCCAGTAGTCTGCCTGTTCTGACAGGGTGCGAATTCGCGAACGGACTTTCTTCAACTCCTCGCGAATCTCCAGGGTCCTGAAAGGCGGACGTGCCATTACGTCACTGCAGTGCAGCTTTTTGCGAAGAAACAAGTATGCTTCAGTATTGCAAGCAATGAGATCTTATCAAAGTGTTGGCGGGGCCTTGGAGCTTCAAAAGCCGATAGCAAGCCGGGAACTTTTGGAACCCGTAGCCGCAGCTCATAAAACCTCTAAGCCAACCGAGCACTAACGTGTTTTGGCCATGGAGTCCACCCATGGGTCATGTCATGGTAGATGTGGTCACTTCTGAAAAATTATGTGGGTCCGTATTAAAAGGCGGCCCCTATTATTTAGGGTACTCAAAAGGGACCAGAGTTTAGAGAACTGACCATGCTAGTACGTTAAGCAAACATGGCACTGCGTCCTGAGACCACTTCGCAGCTCTTCCTTCTTCTGGCCGCTGCGTCGGTGTGACTCTGTGAGGTTCAGATAGTATGCTTCATCCGAGCTGAGCTGCTTGAGCTTTTGCTGCGCTTTTGAGAGATCCGCCTGTGAAGCTTGGAACTCACGGACGGCAGCGCCGTCTCTTCCTCCGGCTCGAGGCTGCCGTAGTGAGTCTGCACGCCGCAGAATGTCCTGAAATGCATCCCAGCCAGCCGCTGCCCATTTCTTGGTCTCCGTTGTCTTTGGGAAACCTTGGAAACCTGCAGTTGACGGTCCACGGGCATCGCTTGGCCTTCGTGAAGAAGCTCCTGGGCTGGAAGAGCTTCTCCGAGCTTCCTCACGTGCCGCTGTCGTACGCCTTGCCTCCTCTGCGCTCCATTGGCGTCGGTACTCCGGGTCGATCAGCTTTCCGTAAGCCTCCGAGAGCTTCCGCCAACGCTGCAGCGCGCCGGGGCTCTTGTTTACGTCCGGGTGCTCTTCTTTGGCGCGCCGGCGGTAAACTCTCTTGACTTCCTTGATTTCCGTCCCAGCTGGAACGCCGAGAACCTTCCAGTAGTCCTCCAGGGCTCTACAGCAGATGCGGCTGCGAGCAGGGCGTCTACTGAGTCTGCTGGCAGGGAGAGTGAAGGCGCAAATGTCCACCAATATCAATGCTGCCTGCACCAGAACTGCTGCAAGCACAAGGCGCCGAGCTCCGTTGACCATGATTTCCCCCAAATAAGTGAAATGTCTAGCGACAGCTGCTAGCTATCTTGATTCGATGCGCACTCCACTGAGTAGATATCATGACATCCACCGTGCTGAACACGCTATTGACTGCTATAGCGGATCATGTTCCTTGTGAGTGCCGTTGAGCAAAAGCTGGTGTTGAGGCAGCATGGCATGTGGAATGAGGCAAGTTGACATGTTTCACATGCGCTTGGTGACTGCAGGAAGCTGCATGAAGCAGGCGTCCTTTACCCTGATGGTGAGACACATCCGCCCTTGCACGTGCACCTGCAATTCAAGGCCAAGCAGTTGCGACGCTGCAGAGCCAGTGAAATGCTTTCAGCTGCTTCTGCTTTCGCAATCATGCATGGAAAGGCTGCGAGATGCTGGGAAACGCTTGCAGATGCTTGAAGCTGTTGCGCGCTGCTGCGATGTCGGGTAGCATGGAGGATCCTGGGACCCGAGCTCGTCTGCAAGTGCCACCATAATGGCCTGGCGTCACGAAAGGTGGTTGCCATGAGGACTGGGCCAAGCAAACAGAGGCTCCGGCGAGATGTGAGGCGCTTGTAAGTCTTGTTCTCCCCTGCACAAGAGAACGTTTCCGAGTTGCGGAACGAATGGATATGGAATGGAGCCAGGGCGCCTTCTTCCTCCATCAAGTCTAGAATGTGCGCCTGTCAGACGCAAAGGCGGCAGGATGGGGAAGTGCTGCGAAGCTACTCAAGCCTGGTTTGGAAACCCTCTTTATACCAAAGCACCGCCGCACGAGAGAAGCACTACGAAGTACACACGGGGCGCGCCCACTGAGGCAGCTCGTATGCTCCAAATCCTGCAGGCCCCGCACGGAAGCGAAGATGAACGTGAAGAGCACTGCTGAAAAAGTGGCCCGCTCCTGTCGCGTTGTCCTTGAAGATTTCCCAGAGCTTCTGCTGAAAGTTTGCAAAGACCTGCCAGCTACGGGTCCACGGCCCATGCCACGCACACACACAGAGTGAAGACAAAAGGATTTAAAAATGCCCCCAAACCCTAAACCCTAAACCCTAAACATCCCTAAACCCTAAACCCTAAACCCTAAACCCTAAACCCTAAACCCTAAACCCTACCCCGAACATCGCTGCAAAGAGTCCATATCTGAGCCCAGGGCCTTCTGAATCTGTCCATCTGCCAAGAACTCGAACATGCCTCTGGCTTTGGGCTTAGAGGCGCTTAGGAGTTGGGGATTTTGGGGGCTTTGTACCTTGGGATGCTCCCCCCGATACTAACAGTGCTTCAGAGGGATTAGAGTTGGGAGGGTAGTAGAATCCAAACCAAGGACGATGGGTATAAGGGGGGTCTCAACTTGTACCCTTTTTTGTAAAACACATCGAGCTTCAATCGCCGCCCGAAGCCCCAATCCGGCGAAGCAAACACTGCCGACATGCCACCACAGGAGTCGATGCTGACCGGTTGGTCCACCTGACGATGAGCTTCGAGCATGTGGGTGTGCGGGGGTGGGTAGATGACGGAAAGCAGGAGCGCAACAAAGAGAGAGAGAGAGAGAGAGAAATAGGGAGAGGGAGAGAAAGAGAGAGAGAGAGAGAGACAGAGAGAGAGAGAGAGAGAGAGCGAGAGAGAGAAAGAATGGCTTTGATCCTCACACAGCAGGCATGTAAGGAGAAGTTCCAAGCTTCCCTAAGCCTGCAACAATAGCAATAAGACTTCACCTTACAGAGATAATTCTAATACCAACCCTGGAGTACCATTACCAATAATATTTCTAATCATCTTCTACTACCACTACTACCACTACCACTACCACTACCACTGCCACCAGGACCACCACGACTACTTCTGCTACGACTACGACTACGACTACGAAGACTACTACTACTACTACTACTACTACTACTACTACTACTACTACTACTACTACTACTACTACTACTACTTCTAGGACGACGACGACGACTACTACTACTACTACGACGACGACGACGACGACGAACTACTACTACTACTGCTGCTGCTGCTGCTGCTCCTACTACTACTACTACTACTACTACTCCTACTTCTGCTACTACTCCTACTGCTACTCCTACTCCTACTACTACTACTACTCCTACTACTACTACTACTACTACTACTACTACTACTACTACTACTACTACTACTACTACTACTACTACTACTACTACTACTTCCACTACTACTACTACTACTACTACTACTACTACTACTACTACTACTACTACTACTACTACTACTACTGCTGCTACTACTACTACTACTACTACTCCTACTTCTGCTACTACTCCTACTACTACTACTACTACTACTACTACTACTACTACTACTACTACTACTACTACTACTACTACTACTACTACTACTACTACTTCCACTACTACTACTACTACTACTACTACTACTACTACTACTACTACTACTACTACTACTACTACTACTACTACTACTACTACTACTACTACTAGGCGTCACGTTCTTAATTGATCGCAGGGGTTTTGGGGCATGCCATTTTCGTGTTAAGAGACGAAAACCTCGGTATTTACGGTGTTTCCTGGCTTTGTCCGTTTACGGACACGAAAAATCGACGTGTAAAAATTTCCGGAAACTACTTTCAACTACTTTAGGCGCAGGAGGAAAACATCGGTATTTACAGTGTTTTCGGGCTTCAAAAACGGTAAATTACAGGCCCTACTTCGCGCAGACGCGTTCTCAGCACAGAGGAAAACACCGGTATTTACAGCGTTTCGCGGGTTTTTTTAAGATGTGGCCAAACTTGTCCTTAAATCCGAACGCGTCCAGCAAGCCGAACAGTCGTGCACCCTGAAATCCGAAACCCCAAAACCTGAAGCAAGCCCAAGAGTCGTGCACCCTTAAAATCTCAACCCCAAATCAGGTCTTGCCCTTGAACCCTAAACCCCAAATCCCAAAGAAAAAAACACAAAAGATCTGGAGCCTGAAGCCCCAAACCCCATATCTCCAGTCGAAGCTCAAAAGGCTCCCAAAAAAACCCCAAAAGATCTCTACCCTGAAGCCCCAAACCCGAAACCCTCCACTGTGAGCCCAAAAGGTCTTGCCCTTAAGCCCTAAGCCCTAAATCCCCAAAAACCCCAAAAGATCGCTACCCTCGAGCCCCAAACCCCCACTGTGAGCCCAAAAGGTCTAGCCCCTAAACCAACCAAAAAAACAGAGGAAAACAGTAGACAGCGTGGTCATGTGTGCACAAAGCACAGCACGACCCCCATGTGTGCACAAAGCACAGCACGTAATTACCCCCCCCCCCCCCCAACCCCTGAGCGTGGTCATGTGTGCACAAAGCACAGCACGTAATTACCCCCCCCCAACCCCGCCAAAACGGAGAAAAAACAGGAGAAAACGATAGAAAAAGTGAAAAAACAGCAGAAAATACCATGATCAGTTAAGAGCGTGTCACCTACTACTACTACTACTACTACTACTACGACGACGACGACGACGACTACTACTACTACTACTACTACTACTACTACTACTACTACTACTACTACTACTACTACTACTACTACTACTACTACTACTTCTGCTACTACTCCTACTACTACTACTACTACTACTACTACTACTACTACTACTACTACTACTACTACTACTACTACTACTACTACTACTACTACTACTACTACTACTACTACTACTCTGCTACTACTACTCTACTTACTACTACTACTACTACTACTACTCCTGCTACTACTACTACTACTACTACTACTACTACTACTACTACTACTACTACTACTACTACTACTACGACTACTACGACTACTACTACTACTACTACTACTACTACTTCTTCTTCTACTTCTACTTCTACTTCTACTTCTACTTCTACTTCTGCTACTACTCCTACTACTACTACTACTTCTTCTTCTACTACTACTACTACTACTTCTTCTTATACTTTCTACTACTACTACTACTACTACTACGACGACTACTACTACTCCTGCTGCTGCTACTACGACGACGACTGCAAAAAACATCAACCGAAAAAATCAGAAAATCATAATGATCACAATGCTAGGAATGACAATAATAATAATAGTAACTGTAATAATAATACTAATAATACTCATGGTAATACGAAAAAACATAATCAGATTAACGCGGATGGTGGCCTTCGGCAAGATGCGCTCACGAAGAAGCGACTTGAGCATCGACTCGAGGCCCTGACCACACGAGCACGAAAAAAAGGTTGCGGTTTAGGGTTTTAGGGTTTTAGGGTTTTAGGGTTTTAGGGTTTTAGGGTTTTAGGGTTTTAGGGTTTTAGGGTTTTAGGGTTTTAGGGTTTAGGGTTTTAGGGTTTTAGGGTTTTAGGGTTTTAGGGTTTTAGGGTTTTAGAGTTTTAGGGTTTAGGGTTTAGGGTTTAGGGTTTAGGGTTTAGGGTTTAGGGTTTAGGGTTTAGGGTTTAGGGTTTAGGGTTTAGGGTTTAGGGTTTAGGGTTTGGGCTTTAAGGTTTAAGGTTTAAGAATTTAGGGTTTTAAGGTTGGGATGTTCCCCCTTAGACTAACAGCCTGAATTGGGATCGTAATCGAGAGAACTACAGTACAATCCATATTAAGGACTGAAAGAATAGAGGGTTGAGGGCTTAGTGGTAGTGGGGCTTCTAGATTTAGCTCTCCGTCATGTGGTCCCTTCTGTGTGCCCCCACAGAGGATACCACGTATGATCTCCCTAAGATGTGGCCCTGTAACTTGCCAAATATCAGGTTACGCTCAGCTGAAAGAGGACCCACACCCCCCCCCCCCCCCCAAACATCCTGTATCCTGCCTGATTCTCAGGGTAGGCCGCAGGAGCCATCCTGACCAGGGCCTCGAGGAAATGGCGGAACCTGGCACATCTTTGTTTGGCACTTAGCCCTAAAGCCTTAAACCCTAAGCCCTGAAGCCCTACTCGAAGACCCTACCATAAGGGACGACGATGCAAAGTCTCCGAACTCTGAACTGCGCCCCCCTAAACCCTAAACCCTAAACCCTAAACCCTAAACCCTAAACCCTAAACCCTAAACCCTAAACCCTAAACCCTAAACCCTAAACCCTAAACCCATTTCTTGTCTCCATTGCCAGCCAGCCGCATGAATGTTGTCGTCGGCGAGTGCACCTCGGGGAGCTTAGGGTTTGCGGTTTTTTCTAGGGGGTTTAGGGTCTCAGGGTTCTTAGGCTTCTAGGGGTTTTAGGGTTCTGGGGGGTTTTTGGGGGGTTTTAGCAAATAGGGGTTTAGGGTTTTAGGGTTTAGGGTCTTAGGGTTTTGAGGGTTTTCGGGGTTTGGGGGTTTAGGGTTTTCGGGTTTTAGGGTCTCAGGTTTTTGGTTTTTAGAGGTTTGGGGGGCTTTGGTTTTTGAGGGATTTTAGGGTTTTAGGGGTTTGGGGGTTTAGGGTTTTCGGGGTTTGGGGGTTCAAGGCTTTAGGGGTTTAGGGGTTTGGGGGCTTTCGGGTCTGAGGGTTTTAGGGGTTTGGGGACTTTTGGGGTTTAGGGGCTTAGGGTTTTAGGGTTTTTGTGCCTTGGGCTTGGGCTTTTCGGGTTTAGGTTTGAGGGTTCAGTGGTTAGCTGTGGATGCTTTGGACTTCGCTCAATGACAATTGCTTGAGTCTGCAGCTCTTGCCAGTCGTCATTCCCTTAAACCCTAAACCCTAAACCCTAAACCCTAAACCCTGAACCCTGAACCCTAAACCCTAAGCCCTAAACCCTGGGGTCTGGGAAGTGTCCTGAAAGCCCCAGCAGGCTGAGATTAGGCTTCAGGGTCCCTGAGGGCTCAGCACTTAAACAAAAAAAACAAGCACTCTCCTGCTTTCGTTCTACTATACGTACTTCTCTGCGGGTTAGTAACGGTTTGGGGACGACAGGGGTGGAAATGGGCATCCTTTGGACCCTCCGAAACATATTCGTAGAGGAGATCCTCGAAAATCCAATGAGGGGATCTGAAATCTCCCAAAACCCTTCATAAGGATGCGCATGGTATATAGGATGTGAGGTTTGGGATGTGGTGTTTAGGTAAAAGCATCTTAAACCCTCCAGCAGCCCTGCAAGTAAGGGCCTACAGGGTATCTTATCGTGGGGTATTTTGGGCACCCTAAACCCTAATCCCTAAACCCGAAACCCTAAAGGCCAGAAAACCTTAAACTCGCTTGGACACATCCACAAGCTTCGCGGAGGCTTCGGCGTCGCCCAACCGCCAGAACCTGAGCCACACGCTACAAGGATGCCCAAGTTCATTTTCAAAGGGTTCAGGGTTTAGGGTTTAGGGATTAGGGTTTAGGGTGTAGGGTTTAGGTTTACGGTTTAGGGTTTAGGGCCTTAGGGTTTAGGAAACACTGAACCCTAGTTTAGGGTGCGAGGGTTAAGGTTTGAGAAGGGGCTTAAGGGGTTCAGGGCTCAAGGATGCCACATGCAGTCTAAGGAAGACTCCTAGATCACGTAAGGAAGTCCCTATATCACATACGTTTCCCTAACTTGCGCTGAGTACCAGGATCCCCCGCTTGCTCTGATCAAAGAAGAAGTCCATCGGACCCGAGGACCCAAACTGCCTGCAGCGCAGTCGTACTCTGAGCTACACAGTGGGGGATGGCAGGGTGGAGGGGCGCCAAATTAGAAAAGACACAAACGCCCTGATTTAGAATGAACCCGCCGGATGCCACCTTTTGCTACTGAGGCGATCCGAAACACCCTTGGAGCCTGGTTCCCATGGACTGGAGGGTAGGCCGCCGGTCTAGGCGCGGCGGGTCCCCAGTGCGATTGGAGCCTGCACGGAAATGGAAGGACGCGACCCTTGTGCCACTGTTGGCAATGACGACCCTCGTCCTAGTCTGCTCTACTGACCCAAGCACTCCCATCTCCCCGCCCCCGGCCCACCTCGGCTCATGCGACTGGCTCGGCTGCGTCTGCTCGCTCTGCTGGTTCGGGAGTGTCGTGCGCTGATTCTCTCATCAGCATCATCACCGTCTTCATTATCGTTTTCATCCTCATCCTGTCAAGACCAGTTGCTAACACATGCTGACATACGCTCACCTCAAAGGCAGCTCAAGAAGAAACGACTGTCTTACATGTAGTATGTGTTTGCCTCGTCCTCTTCATCTTCATACTCCTCCTCTTCCTCCTCCAACACCTGCCAGCATGGGCTACTCGTGCAATTGCCCACATGTCGCGAGGCTCCGAACTCAAAAATGGAGCAGCTGCCTCTTCAGCCTGTCCTGCAGAGTGTGGGCCGACCGAACGCAGCATCATGTGCAAGCAAAGACCCTGGGCTTGGGTCTAGTTGTTTGGTGCAACAATGTGGAAGTCCTGCTTCGGCCCCGGCGTCCTGGATTTCTTTGGTCTGCCTGCGGTTCAAGGCGTTGGGTTTACTGCTGAGGCACCGCGAGATCTGCTCCATCTGGGTACCCGGCTTGGCGCTTCGGGAACTCGGCACAGATGGCCTGCGAAAAGCGGGTTGTCTTCCGGTTCACGTGGCAGCGGCATCAAACTATACAATTCGCTGTTCTGGAACTCCCCCAGGCTCCTGGGCGTCAGGGGCCGGAGGTCCTGCAAGTCCTCATGGAATGCCTCCCCATGCCGCCTGGAACCGGACATGATGTGCCGGCTTACCCGGCTCAGCGTACATTCGGGCGTCAGCATCCCAGAGTCTCGGATGAGAATCCAAAGCTGGAAGGCATACATGACCCAGGGGTCGTCGCCACTCCTCTGGATGATTCTCCGCACTTTGGCATAGACCTTCCTCGGTCATCATGCTTGCTGAGTTGTCTGGTTGTGAGGGGCCTAGCCGAGTGACAGGGCCTAGCGAATGCTCGGTCTCGGAGTTGCTTCATTAAAAATGATAGCCCAGGTTTCTCGATCCTTCCAAGCCCTGTGCAGGAAAGTGTCTTGATGTCCCCCAGATGCCGCAGCAGGATGTTGTAGATCTCCCGGAAGACCTCTGTGGGGTCTGTGTAACCGGTCAGCTCGGTGGGGTCCGTGATCGCCCGGTCGTTTGGAAGGCAGAAGCCTGGGCTTGCGGAGTGGCTGCTACATCCGATGCCCTGCCCTTCTGTGAGCTATGAGGGTGAGCTCTAAGTTATAGGGACCAATCCCATGGTTTAAAACTTTCAAGGTTAGACAAGTTGAACCCCAAACCCTAAACCCTGAACCCTGAACCCGAAACCCTAGCGTATAGGGTGATTTCCATGTGAAACCAGGCATTGAATCACGGCAGCCCATGAGGTCGCCAACATCCACGCACCGCCTCACTGGGTTCTCGGCTCCGCCGACATTCAGTGCCTGGGTCGATTCCTCCTGGGCTGCTTCTTAGGGCTTAGGGTTTAGGATTTAGGGTTAAGGGGGAACTTGATCTGAGCTAGAAATAGCAATATAGAAAGGCCGATTGTTCGCTAACATAACCCTCTTATGTAATTTACTGTACCTGAAAAGCAATCCAGTCTCTGGGGTGTCAGTACTCGCCGTACTGGCGGTGGCCATGTTGTCCATGACGAACTCTCCCGTGTACACCCGGCCATCTTCGTAGGTGTATCGCCCATCGCCATGCTTAAGGTTCTCGGTCCATTGACCTTGGTACTGGGCGCCACTCGCAAAGTTGAAAGTTCCATAGCCAGACCTGAGTCCCTTTTGCCATTTGCCCTCAAAGCTGTTGTTCAACTGCTGAGATGGCATCTCCTTGCCAATAACACCTTCCCTCCCGTCGTCTCGGACATGCCACGTGTACTTCCCGTGGCCCTCAGGCATGTCATATGCCCACTCACCAGTGTAGCACTCCAGCTGTCCGTTTTCGGACCAGGTCATTGTTCCGAAGCCATGTATACGGCCCTGCTCCCAGTTCCCTTCGTACGTGTTCTTGCTGGGCCAGACTTGCCGCCCGTGCCCATGCTTGCAGCCGTCCTGCCACTCCCCCTCGTAGAAGGATTCACCGGCCCGGTCATAGACCAGCCGTCCCTGGCCATGCCTCTTGCCATTTTGCCACTGACCTTCGTACTTGGTCACACCATCTGCAGCAAGGAAGACCCCATGTCCGTGTCGCCTTCCATTCAGGAGGTGTCCCTGATATGACGAGCCATCCGGCCATGTGTACTTGCCGTGGCCCTGTATATCGCTTTGTACAAATGGCCCATCGTATTGGGTGCCATTCTTCCACTGGTACTTCGCAGTCACACCATCGAAATATCTTTTCCCGATGCTATTTGTCTTCACATACCCCGTGTATGTGTGTTCATTGAGGGTTACGGAGACTTCCCGATGCTCTTCGCTCGGGCTGTCTGTTTCTCGTTTCTTCTCCCTCTTCTTCTTCGGCTTCTTTGGGGTAACCACCGCCTTCTTCTTGGATGTTCCCATGGCGCTTGCTGAATCAGATGTCGTTCATACCTGGAAATCTGATGCCGGAGTGCAGCATGTCGGCTTGACTTTTGCACCGTGAGAATTTGGGTTCGAGCTTTAAGCGGGGGAGTACAATGCCAACTGCGAACGTGTAGACTATGTCTGCGTGCACTTCATCCCACTTCATTCCGAGCTGGCGTGAAAGCTGCGAAGGTCTGAGCATGTGAGCGACAGCCAACAGTCTTGGAAAGCAAGTACTGCTTTGCCGATATCGGGGCGAGTGGGGTCTACATTACAGTTACAGTGACTTTCGCGTTCCGATTCCTGCACGGTACCTGATATTGAGGGTACCGGGTACTCAAAAAACCCAGAATATCAACAGCCCGGATACTATACTGAACTTGGGACCCTGGCAAGAATTATAAGTTTAGCTGTTTCTTAGGAATAAAGGTACCCAAACAACAAAAACTAATCCCAAGTATCCCTAAGGATATGCGAGTTCGGAAGAACGTCGACATGAAAGCATGCACTGCCACTGTTCCAGCGCTGCAATCGCCCAAGGCCATGTGTGCCCACGCAATCATCGACCATGCAGTCAGCTGATTGCAGCCACAGCCTATGATACACTGAGCGAGCACGCTCAGCCAGAGTGACGTCCAGGCTTCTTGCAGCGGTTTAGGCACAGGTCAGGATGCAGGGCCACGAGCGCAGGAGAATGCTGGAAAGAGGCGACTGCTACCAGTATCAGGCACAACGAGGGTTTTTGCCCCTCAGCAGACCAGCCTAAACAGCAGCAAATCTGGAAAGCTAATGTGCGAAGCTTTGGCACATTATCTCAGGATCAGAATGCATAATTGAAGGGCTCTGTGTCTTTGAGCAGCACGTCGAAATTCACCCGGACCTGACAGCCGAACCCTCCAGGAGCTGAACATGTTGAGGGTTAACAGGTGTTTGTCATAGAAACAATGATAATAATAATGATGATACTCTGAATAATAGTAATAATAGTAAAGAAAAAGAATAATAATAACAACAACAACAATAATATTAAAAATAATAGCATTTTGCATGCTTCTTAGTTGATAAGGTTTGGGTACCACAAAATCCGGCCCGCACTGCCTTGCCACCTGACTGCACCCGTATTACCTGCACAGGATTGAGGCTTCAAGAAACTCAACGACTTTGACACGCGGCACAGAAGACCATAACCCTAAACCCTAAACCCTAAACCCGGTTGACCATGAAGCACACTCGCAAGCTACCTCGCGTCCATCTGTTCCGGCAAGGATGCGGGGATCCACCAGCTGGGCGGGGTTGCCAAAGAGCGCACCTCATGGACACTGCGCAGCCTTCGAAACTTCGAACACATGGCCAGCTCACAAGATGATGGCCCCTTTTCTTGCACCTTCAGACATCCGGGGGCCCTGTCGAAATGGGACCAGAGATCAGAGAACAACAACAATCACCATACATCGTAGTGGCAACATCATCATCATCACCACCACCATCATCGTCACCGCCGTCGACGTCGCATCATCGCCATCACTACCCTCATCCTCATCCTCGTCACTCAAAACAAGAAGGCTTTCAGTCAGAGCAACATGAAAATGTTGATGCGGGTGTTAATAAAGAAATGTTTCGGGCCGAAAAATCTGGCCCAAAAACATGATCCACAGCTTCATAGAGAAAACTATGCCCCAAAATTCTGCAGAAATGGTCGCAGCATGAGAGATGAGGAAGGCGGAGTAGAGACCTTGCTGCGGGCTTTTGTCAAGAGGCCCGGCACAAGCCCCCCCAGAACAACTCGTAACATTTTAATATTTCATTATACTCTTACACCCTTCTACTTTCATCTGATTATATGACTGGATGAGTATATGCTTTTCTGATGTCGTCGTCGTCGTCGCCATCGTCATCATCATCATCATCGTCATCATCATCATCATCATTATCATATGTCAATATTTGTGTATTCGTGTACGAGTCTACGATTGTATGATTGTATGATTCTGCGACTTTGTTTTTTTTATTTTATGAGTCAACTTTTCGATTAGTATAGCGCTATATTCTTACATATCATGATACTATCAAAATATTTTTGACTGTGCTCCTATATTACTGCAATGCGTATATGATATACTGTTATATTAGTATATTCTTATACTGTTCTATTGATGTATTTTAATATTGTTATACTGTTATGTTGTGATTTTGTTATATTGTGTGACACTGAACAATTCTTCTGTGTTCACTAGTATAAAAACAATCTTTGATAGTTTCCCATAACATGACCGCAGAATCTAAGACCTCCACCCAACAGTCTGGTGAGAGGACTGGACGACAGCGGGCAGTAGAGGCGTATCCTGAGCTTCACGCGCCCAAAGACAAGTTAGGCTAGGGATTTAGGGTTTAGGGCGTAGGGTTTAGCTTTCAGGGCTTTAAGGGTTCATTGAGATTAGTGTCCTTTTTGGGTTTCTGGCAGGCACCGACGAGCACAAGTAGAAAGCACATCGACTGAGTCCTTGACGTTCGCGTGTGCCTACCGGGTTGGCAAGGCACGTGAACAGATCCATACCCTTTGACCTGGGCAGCAGGTCATGACCGTCAAGTTTCACATGGAACCGGAGGGGGTGTAAGGGAGGGGGCCTGTGGCCCCATATACAGGTTTAGGCTCAATTACGGCGATTTTGGGTGAAAAAACTAGGTACACCCCGGCACACCCTGTCCTTCCACCCTCTGGTTCCGAATGAAAGTAGTCTCTGCAAGCAGCTGCGAGGTCTGTTCTTTCACGAGATTTCACAAACGGTTGCAACCAAGCAGCCACTAGTAGATGATGTCTACAGCTCTTGCTTGAAGCAACTACACCTCATCAGAATGTTCCACAAGTTGGCTAAGGGCCAGGCAACGCGTCGATTGCAAAGATCTGTTCCTCAGGCAGATGGGCATCAAGTCATGGTCGCCTAAACCCTAAACCCTAAACCCTGAACCCTGAACCCTGAACCCTGAACCCTAAACCCTAAACCCTAAACCCTGTGCGGCGCACCATACACGGTCACCACGAGCCGAGGCCATCCAAAAGGCCTCATCTCCCAGGGGATGGCGACAAAGAGAACATTTGGGCTTGGGCATTTCCCAAAATAGGGGACCCCTGTTTTTATAGCCCCAGATGTTCTAATGCTTCTTTAAAGAACCCTCAAAAAGGGTACCCCTATTTTGGGAAGCAGTACTGCTGCTGTACTGCTTGTTCTTGGTCGTCGGCGAGGTGGATTTGTAGACCAAGCCAATGGGGAAGCTCCAAACCTCGCTCAGCAAGGGCAAAGGTAAACGGCTTTTGCCTCAGGATGTCTCGAGCCCTGAAGAATACGGGGTGTAACTTTCCAGCAACCACCAGAACAACACAGGCACCCTTTCGACAACGCCCGAAGCTGGAGGCTCTGAGGTCCGAGATGACCCCGGGGTGATGATCTTGCAGATCGAACTTACGGGCCCCTGTTTGAGATTCTCCGTTCTTATAAAGTAGCATGATCAGGGTACCAGAAAGGGCCATCGAGCTCCGATGAGTAGGTCCCACACCACCTCCGAGAGACCTCCACGCCAGGAGGGAACCTGGAGCCGTAACTTTCAAGGGACGTCAACAGGTGTTGGAGACCTCCGGGCGTTTCGGGGAACAGTCGGTTCTTGTTCCTTCCTTCTAGGACATGTAGACTCATATGAACGTGAAGATGTATGAAGGTTCCACGGGGTAAGGGGGGGGGGGGGGGTAGTAGCGGTGGATTTCACAGCCACTCCTTGGGAACCTGAACAAATCTGTTCTGGGGCCTGGACTGATGTGGCAGCAATAGAGCTGCAGGCGAGCTGCGTAATCCTGGAGGCGTACCGGCGTGTTCCCAAGGACGTAAGCCAGCAGCATGCTCAGGTGCTGGCCCATCAGGCACCCCGGTGAGCAGTGTCCAATCAGGTCCGTGCTGCACCTGACATCGCTTCACTGCTGGGAGCCAACACGCGAAAACGAGACGGCCTCCGCAACGAAGGTCATCGAGCACAGCTAACTTAGACTCTGGCCGAGAAGACGCACATGAAGGGGCCATTGCCGCCACTCCCTGTCACAGACACAAACACAGAGGCGCAGAAAGAGTGAGAGTTAGCTACCGACAGCCGCTCGGACAGCACACGGGCCGACAGGCAGACTGTCCATGACAAACAGACAGGTCATGCACCCAGCACCCGCAGCTTGAGGCTGGGATGACATGCTAAAGCTTCCCGTAGGTTCCCTAGGTACCTACCCCCCTTGAACCCCTCGCCCTTAAGGACCCTTAAACCCTAAACCCTAAACCCTAAACCCTAAACCCTAAACCCTAAACATCCCTAATCCCTAAGCCCTAAACCCATACACATGTCTTCCGGAAGGGTTGCAGGGTTGCAGCGGTCTAACGCATTCACCGTTTGGGGAGTGATGCGATCTTCAGACCCACATTGCGCCCCCCCCCCTCAAAAAACACTAACAATAATGACAATAATAATAATAATCATAATAATAATAACAACAATAATAATAATCATCATAATAAATAAATAAATAATTGAATGAATAAATAAATAAATAAACAACAATAATAATAATGATAATGTTGTACATGTATATATGTATATATCCGAAACTGGCAGCAGGCGCAAGCAACCCAAAGGCACACGGAGGCCGTGTTACGCCGCCAAGCCCAAGCCCTGGGAAGTCTGGAGCCCTCCCTGGAACCTGGAGAGACTTAGGGTTTAGGGTTTAGGGTTTAGGGTTTAGGGCTTAGGGTTTAGGGTTTAGGGTGTAGGCAAATTTAGCAAATTCTGAAAGACAACCTCAAAAAAGGTAGGTAGATTCCAACGTTTGGGTGGCATCTCAGACCTCAAGACCCTAGACCCTCTCAACCCGAAACCCTAAACCCTAAACCCTAGACCCATTTCTGCTAAGCTGGCGGCCCATTTCTGCTGCTTCGATCTCTCCGTTCAGGACCATCCGGAAGCACCTCTGTCACCAGCTTCGACCGCTAAATGGGCTTGGGGTTTAGGGTTTAGGGTTTAGGGTTTAGGGTTTAGGGTTTAGGGTTTAGGGTCTAGGGTTCAGGGTTTAGGTTTTAGGGTTTAGGGGCTTGCGAAACTCATACTTCTCTACATTGGTTCTCGGGACCCGCCCCCAAACCCCCCATAACAAGGAGGGGCAGTGAGAGCCCCGCGTCGCTTGCGTCTCAGGCTTCTCCCGGCGGGCCTGCCCAGGGTTTAGGAAGCTGAGTAAGTTTAGGCAGTTTAGGAAGTTTAGGGCTTTTAGGGTTTAGGGTTTAGGGTTTAGGGCCTTCAGGGCTCAGGGTTTAGGGTTCATAGACGGGCTCTTCGCGCAACACAGCAGCCTCTGGCGGTGCAGTTGGGAGTGGCGGCTGCTCCTGCGAGGAGGGGCACCACCCAGCTACCCAAGCCCTCAGGACACCGTACTTCAGCAATCCCCCAACTCGAAGCCCTCCAAGCTTACGTGCAGACTGATCCTGTGTGAGAACCGGAGGTGGGCTGGGCGGAGGCAAGGCCGGGGGCTGCGCCTGCAAGGTGGTCTGGAATGAGACTGCCAAGGGCTGTGTTTGTTTGCCAAAGGCGTTTGCTTCTTGTTGAAAGCTGGCTGGGTTTGGGGCACGATGCTCACACACAATGTCCGAAATCTCCCGACGTGGTGATGAGGGCGCCCACGCTGATCCCAGAACCCTTTGATACCAACGGTTCCGAACGAGTTTCCACAGGGACCTGGCTTTCATCTGAGCGTTAGCTTCTAACCCTAAACCCTAAACCCTAAACCCTAAACCCTAAACCCTAAACCCTAAACCCCGAAAGGTCTCCAGATGCTCTTAAAGGCTGAGCTGAACGTCTGAGCTGGCTGCCATCCCTTGGTCTGAAGGCCGATACCAAGCCGGGCTGCGACAAGCATGCTTCAGCCAGTCATGACAGGTTTTGTAGGGTTTAGGGTTGTAGGGTTTTGGGGCTTTAGGGTTTAGGGTTTTAGGGTTTTTGGGTTAGGGTTGTTGGGTTTCGGGTTCTAGGGTTTGGGGTTTTAGAGTTTTAGGGCTTAGGGCTTAGGGGTGTTCTAATAGCGGCTCATGACGCAGGCGCGTACTTTGCAGCGTGTCAGTGTCGCTTCCGCTTCTTCATCTTTGAACCGAGGGCTGCGAACATTCGTGCCTCAGAAGAACGCTCGAGGAACGTGTGATTGTGAGGAGCTGTGCTGGGACGCTTTTAAGCTTCGTGATCCTCCACTGTACATGTCGCTAGGAAAGTGAGACCTGGGCCGGCTGTACAAAGCATCACGTGACCTGAGGGCTGAGAAGTCCCGGCTGTGACGCTGTGCCGAAGAGGGTGACTTACTAGCCGCACAGCGTGAGGGCAAAGGATTAGGGGGGGGTCGACCATTTTGCGCCAAGTTCTACCATTCTACCAGCCGTAGCCCCACCAGGCCCATCCAGCATCGTAGAACACAAGCCAGCTCCAAAGCATTGCGTTCTGAAGCTCGAGGTGTGTGTAAGCCGCGTAAGCTGCTTCTTCGAGCTCCTGCAGCGATGGTGTGGAGGGCATCTGAGGATGGTCTTTGGGTCTCCAATGGCACTTCGACCCACCGCTTCTGCGAGCCCGAAGGCTCTTGCGATTCTTGCGACTCTTGCGATCTTGGAGCCGGTGCAGCAGGGGGCAAAGGTCATCTGGCCCTTGCAAGCCCTCCTCTGCCATCGCATCCCGGCGTGAACCCGGTCCGGTCCACTGACGGGAACCGTGCCGGACAGCCCACAGCACTGTCTCGGCAAGGAACTCTTCAGAGTAGGATGTGCCCATCACATCCAGCACAGTCTGCAAGGATGCTTCCTGCAGAGACTTGCACAAAAAGGCGATCTCCTCGTGTGCTTTAGGTAACCGACCGTTGTTCCGATCGAAGGCTGCCATCACATCCTGGATCGACGCATCCTTTGGCCGCCCGACTTTGCGAACGTATGAAGCGATGAAGCAGACAACTTTGCATGCATCTGGCGCAAACCAGTCCCATTCTTCCAGGACACCTGCTGCTGATGCTGCTGTCCCATCTGAGCTTGTACCGCCAAAGACGAAGCCTTTGCACTCCTGGCGCCAGACGTGTCTTCGCAGAGCTTCGGGGAGAATGGCATCCTTCAGGTCGTCCCATTCCAGGTCATCGACAATGAGCATGCAATGCAAGAGATCACCTAAGCTGGGCGTCACGTGGCGCAGGCGCGACTCCGGGTGGTGCAGAAACAGCCGCAAGCGGCGGTGAGCCACTTGCTGCAACTCAGGCCATTCATGCGCCAACTGCAGGAGCAACCTGTGCGAGTCTCCGTACATCTGGACAGCGCGCTCGGTGACCTTGCTGTGTCCCAAGCTCAGGGACACGGCAGCCTGTGTCAACAATGAGCAGCACACTGAGAGTGCTATTTCGGGAAAGGTCCCGGCACAGGGAACACCGGACAGAGCCGTGATGGCGGATTCAACGTATGGCCTTGCACGAGTCCAATGCTTGCTGTCGACGAAGAGCGGAAGCCAGGCATTGAGCTGGCCACGGGAAGATGACACCAAAGCTGGCTCCCTACCTCGATTGGCCATGGTTTGTAGCCCTGTGTTGAAGGCGCTCACGTCCAGGTAGTCCAAGCTGAACGACACATCATGTGGGAGCCTTAGGCGGACTTGGCGGCGCGTCCGCCGATGCGCAAACAAGCCCAATCCAAGAACCGTGTCGTTCTCGTGAGCCGATGCCAGTGAGATGTAGCAGCAAAGGTCGTCCGCCTCTGCTTCAACGCTACTCCAGTCAGACTCCGCCTGGTCATCCACGTCCTGCTCACTGGACGTGGAGGATGCGCGAGGCGTGATAGCAGCTGGATGGAACGCTGCAGCATCCTTTCTTCCATGCCTGTGTCGGCGGAAATTGTGGGAGTACTGCATTGCTCAATCAAGTGACACTGGCGATTGCCAGAGCTAAGTTACACGGAGTCGCTTGTGCCATTCCAAGGCAAGCAGGTGTTTGCTTTTGTCGGACCCAACATGCGCCCTTGACATCTGCTGCGTGCCGCGCAATTGGAGGAAGGCCACTTTTTCTGACCCTTACTGCCGGAGCTCTCCTGCTTTCTGATCTCGTAATTTGGGGTCCACTACTTGAAACTTGGAGTCCACTATCGCCCTTTGTTTTTGAATTCACCGGTTTGGCTTAAGAGTTTACTTTAGGGCTTGGGAGGGTTCAGGTCTCCTGCGCTTTGCCGAAAGCATTCCAAGATAGACCAAAAGTCCTCCAGAAAAACCTGAGTTTGGGTTCAGAGTTTAGGGCTTAACTTAAGGAGTAAAGAATCAACCAGCTTTGGGTCAATCAGCCATGCCCGAAACCACGTTGGGCAACGGTAGCGGAGGCTGATGGCAGAGCTCCCTGCCACCGCGCTCTCTTCTATTTACAAGCCCCGGCACACTTCACCAGGGCCACCAAGCGTGGTGCTGTTCTGGGGTCCCCTAGTAGGCACCATCTAGAACTGGCATCCTTTAAGATTTCAGCGAACCCCCCAAGCCCCCCCCCACGCAACCTAGAACTTGGGGGCGCGAGCCCGCACTTGGGCACACCACTCAGCGAAGGCAGCCTCGCCCATGGCGGAGGCGTTTACGGGAACGGGCCAAGACTCGATGCCTCGGCTTTCTAGACGCCGACTCAAGGACGCGATAGGCATGTGCATAGGATGTCATTGTGAGTTCTGAAGGTAATCGTCTTGTGTTAAGTATGTATATATATATATACTCACATATGCAGCCCTTCGAAATGATAGACATAACATTCAGCAAAACCGTGTGGGTATACGTGTCTAATACATCTGCCTTAATACATACATGCAATATACCTACGAAAGCCCGCAGTGGCGCGTGCGGCCGACAGCCGACAGCCAAAGAGATACTTGATCCGACGGTCGTCCATCCCACAACTTACCCAACCACCACTTGCCAAAACGAGATTACCCATTACCCCACTTCTTGGATGTGGTGTTTCCGAAAAATAGGGGGTACCCTTTTGGGGTTCCTATCATGAGCATTATACTATTCTGGAGTATATTAAGGTACCCCTATTTCAGGAAATACCTATGTGAGCAACACTTCTTCCGAGGGGCAGTAGCTGCGGCGACCCTTGTCCGCGCGCACGCTGTCCTGAAAGGCCCCCACGAATGGAACTCAGATTTTGACTGGCTGGCCGCTGAGGCGCCGAGATTCTCTCTCGTCTTTTGTGTAGAGTCTTCAATGGGGCTTAACTATCCCTAAAGAGCCTGAATTATGGGGGGGAACCTAGGGGGGGGGGGGGTAGTATAGAGGGGTAGTAGGGGAACACATGAAGTCTGCAGGGTCTCAGAAACGACTCGTATTGCTCCAAGGCGCTGCACCTGGCCTGTAGCTCTTGTCACCGCACGAGGAGGTTCTCCTGAGAGAGCAAGGGGCCGATTCTTCTACGGAGGCTTGATATTGCTACTATGATTATTATTATTATTATTGTTATTATTGTTATTATTTTTGTACTACTATTATTAGTGTTTTTATTATTAATCTTTGATCAGAATATTCTTTTATGATCATGATTCTGATTATTATTCTGAAATCTTTATGATGGTGATTATGAATATTCTTGATGTTTTTTGTTAGAGGGTTTATGGGGCTTAGGGTTCACACTTCCAAGCATATCTGCTGTGCAAGAAGGTGATCTGCATGGCAGTGTGTGAACAAGTTGAAGCACTCCCAAGCACAACACCCTACAAACTTAAAACCCCATAAGCCTCACCCTGTGCCCGAAAAGCCCTAAAGCTCTAAGCCAACGCAGCGCAAGGCTCGTTTTCAACAGCCTCGCGATGGTGCCCTCGGAAGAAGGCTTGTAGGCCAACTTGGTCCTGCATGCTGCTGAGGCTGAGGCGAGGGAGCTTGGGGTTTAGGGCTTCGGGCTTATCGGGGTTTCGGGGTTGGGGCAATTCAGGCAAAACTTGGCTGGCGTCGTGCAGATGATTGCAGGCCGCAGGCACAAGAAAGGCACCCCACGCACTCTTCTTGCCCATCGGAGTCAATCCCAAGAATTAGAATTATAATTACAAGTTTCAAAACACTGCATACTGTAACATACAAGATATACGAATTGATATTTATATAATACATGACATACTGTCGATAATATGTTCAAAGTTACGCATCATACATCATATACAATATGTTATATATTGTCCTATACAGTAGATAGTATACATTATAGGTTAACGGTTAACGGTTACATATCATGCAATATGCCTGCAAACATAGCCTGGTGCCAAGGATTGCAGGGCCTGTAGGCGCGAAGGAGCTCGTACATGTAGCAGATCTGTACGTCTTTGCTCGTTGCCCAGTCGAAAACGGACCTTTGGATTTGGGGTTTAGGGTTGTGTTTGGCGCTTTGGGGGAAGCGGGCGCGCATGTCATTACTTTCATGGCTCTTCCTGCACTAGTTCTCTGTCCCTTCCACCCCCTCTGAATGCCGCTACTTAACGGTAAACAATTTCTGGCTATGGATCATTTTCGACGACGAGGTGGGATTCTTCGGCAAGGCGAGATTGCTACCGAGCGTAACTTCATGAGCCAAGTCGACGAAAATGCTTCCTGTCGCGAACAGTGGTCGAATTCATCAGTTGGGGAGGGTGCAAGAAAGGTTTAGGCAATTAGAGTAAACAGACAAATATATGTGCACAGTGTAAGACGAATGCGTATAGATGAATACTGAGTACTCTTTAGTGTTCTTTGTATATGTAAGAAGTAGGTAAGTATGTACCACATCTTGTTGAAAGGCACTGCAAGTGTGAAACAAGCTGCTGCGCACGCGGTGGCAAAGCTGCAAGCTCCTTCCAAGAAGCTTGCATGCTTCCTCGGATGTTTTCAAGCTTCGGGTTTAGGGCTTAGGGTTTAGGCTTTAGGGTTCCAAGTCCAGTTTGGTTGCCGGCGTTGGTGTGCGCTCAAGGCAACTTTGGAAAACCCTGTTCGCCCGAAGCGGCCGAGATGGGCACCTAAACAACCCCATGCGAGTATGCGAGGTATCAGGAAACCCTAAACCCTAAACCCTAAACCCTAAACCCTAAACCCTAAAAACATTGAGGCAAGACCACTGCAGCTGAGTGTCTGAGCTCTTCCACAAAGGCCTTGCCATGCACGAGCTTCACATGCACGTTGTCCTGATGTCAGATTTCGCGATTTCGAGCAAGGAGGGCCAACTTCGGGTTTAGGGTTTAGGGTTTAGGGTTTAGGGTTTAGGGTTTAGGGTTTAGGGTTTAGGGTTTAGGGTTTAGGGTTTAGGGTTTAGGGCTTTCCAGTTGCCCTCTCTGCAGCGGCTCGTTGTGGCAGAGATTGTGAAGAAATAGAGAGTACAAGCTCAACACACTTGAAACAGCTCTGCAAATCAAAGCGTGTGCTTCTGGAGACGTGTCGTAAACCAGCCGGGCACCAAAGACTCCTTCGTGGCTCAACGTCTACTTCCTTGGAACTTAAATAGCAAAGCCCGAGAGTTTACAGGGCCCGAATTCCAATGACAGGGGCTTGCTGCAGGTCTCATGGGTAAGGGGCTGTTTGACAGTGGCCGCAAGTCGATGCACGACACTGTGGGTCTTCGGCGCTGGTTGCCCTGCTCTGTGAAGTGAGCGACCTGCTTGATGTGTGGCGAGACCAAGTCCCACTTAAATCGTAGGAGAAAAGCAAGCACTGCCCTCTCAGCAGCCCTTTTCCGCCCATTTGCCGCAGTTGCCGGGAGACACGGCCAGAAACCAGAGAAAGTGCCAAGCCGGAGGGCAAGGCGGCTCGACCGTCTGCTGCCGTTCTTGAACCGATCTGAACTCCGCGCAGAGCCGTTGCTGGCAACACTGGAAGAACTCCAAGAGCTGCGAGGCTTCGCCTCCTGCCTACATCACAAGGAGCTCCACATCGCAGTGCGCAGGACGAGTGGAAAGCCTCCACGCACACAACCCTCATCGAGTAATGGAGCATCTCCACACCCTCCTGAGGCTCGCCGCAAAGCGGAAGGACCGCAGCTGCACAGCCTGCGATGCGGCCGGGGATCTATCACAGGTCCTGCAGGTCGCCTACAACACGCTCCTCCCCGCCTCCTGACATTCCTCTGCAGCGATCTGCTGCAGCGCAGCAGGTGTCGATGCTGTCTGGCCTCCCTGTGGCCAGCTTTTCTTGGAGCACAGCTTCCTTCGGCTCTTGCATCCCTGGGCCGGTATCCCGAAATATCATGGGATCGCTCTCTTTCTTGCAAAGCCTTTCTTACGCCATTGCGTAACAGCTCTGTCTGGCTTTGCGAGCCACTGGCATCACAAGGAGTACCAGCAGGAAGGTGTGCATGCAAGCTGCATGATTCTTTCGGAAATTCTTTCGCGGGCGATGATGCCAAATCAAACAGCACATACTGGCACGAGCATACATACACACACATATCGGCACTCTACCCAATGAGCCATGCCCAGTGCCTGCAGAGCTGCGTAGATTGCCTGGCTCACGCCGTGCCGACCGTTTGAGAACCTTGCAGCTGTCTGTGTGCTGGTGAATTGGGGTGCCATGTTATACCAGGGACGAAGCGGGACCACAAGCCAGGGAACAAACCCTCTAAGGTTTAGGGTTTAGCCTTCCAGTGCCACAAACACCGCACACTGCTAAGGCTCGCACATGGCCACCACGGAATTGGAGGCGACAAAGGCATAGACACGCCCAGTGTAGGTGCATATTGGGGCAGATGTCAATAAGAAGCGATACCTCGTGCAAAGGACAGTGGCAAGTCGATCCCAAACAAGCAGCCTCTGTGCTGGCTGAAGTCCCCTATGCACATCACCCCGAGCGGGGGTCGGCGCCAGTGAAGACACATGTCTGTCCCTGGCCCCCTACCTCTCTACCAGCTGATGCTCATGATGCTCAGTGGGGTGGCCCGGGAATACGAAACAAATCAAAACTCATGCTCATCATGCTCCGGGCAAGCCGAAGCAGCTGGCAGCTGATGCTCATGATGCTCGGCAGGGTGGCCCGGGAATGCGAAACAAGTCACATCTGATGCTCTTGCTGCTCCGGGCAAGCCGAATGATTCTCATTAACGTGGCCCAGGTATGCGGACCAAGTCACAACTGATGCGCCATCATGCCTGAAACAATTGAAGCAGTTGGCAGCTGATGCTCATAATGCTCGGTGGGGTAGCCCGGGGCAAGGGCAGCTGATGCTCATGATGCTCGTTGGCGTGGCCCAGGTATGCCAAGTCACAACTGATGCACGTGATGCCGGAAACAAATGAAGCAGTTGGCAGCTGATGTTCATGATGCTCGGTGGGGTGGCCAAGAACAAGTCACAACTCATGCTCATGATGCTCCGGGCAAGCCGAAGCAATTGGCAGCTGATGCTCATGATGCTCGTTGGCGTGGCCCAGGCATGCGGGACAAGTCACAACAGATGCGCATGATGCCCCATCATCCTGGAAGCAATTGAAGCAGTTGGCAGCTGATGCTCATGATGCTCGCGGAAATACGAAACAAGTCACAACTCATGCTCATGATGCTCCGGTCAAGACGAAGCAGTTGGCAGCTGATGCTCATGATGCTCATGATGCTCGTTGGCGTGGCCCAGGTATGCGGGACATGTCACAAGTGATGCACATGATGCCCCATCATGCCGGAAACAATTGAAGCAGTTGGCAGCCGATGCTCATGATGCTCGGCGGGGTGGCCCAGGAATACGAAACAAATCACAGCTCATGCTCATGATGCTCCGGGCAAGCCAAAGCAGTTGGCAGCTGATGCTCATGATGCTCAGTGGGGTGGCCCAGGATTACGAAACAAATCACAGCTGATGCTCATGATGCTCCGGGCAAGCCGAAGCAGTTGGCAGCTGATGCTCATGATGCTCGTTGGCGTGGCCCAGGTATGCGGAACAAGTCACAACTGATGCGCATGATGCCCCATCATGCCGGAAACAATTGAAGCAGTTGGCAGCTGATGCTCATGATGCTCGGTGGGGTAGCCGGGCATACAAGCCCAAACCGTCACCACCCCTCCCCTGAAGCCACTTTTGCACATGCAGGTTAGGCCCCAGCCCGCCCGGGGGGCCGAGAGCGCGAAGCTTGGTTTCTTGGCTCCTTTCGAGGGCTTCTGGGCTTGATGTGTGGCGTGACTAAAGGGCCTACGCCTCTGTGGGCAGCGCGGGTGGCATAGAGTCCAAACACGGGCCTTGTGGAGCTTGAGGTCAACAGCGGGAGGGGAAGGGGGGCGCGCGTGCCCACCCGCACGCCTGCATGCCCGCACGCCCGTCCGTGTATCTGAACTACTGCCTGCGCTGCGCGCCAGTGGGCGCAGCCCTTTAAAACGTACATCACCCCGTTTTGCATGTCATGCTCGGTTCCACATCGCACACATGCTGACTTTCCGGTCTACGTCTGCATACACCATGTTACCATCGCTGCAACACGACGATTTGAAGGCTTGACCCTAAACCGGGAACCGCTTGCCGAAGCAAGATGCTTCAACTGCTCCAAGAAGGGGACACGGTGCGGCGTCATCCTCTGGAAGCAGTTACTTTCAGTCCGAATCATACTCAGACTCCTACTAGTACTCAGCGCAAGGTGCAAGCATGCAAAGGAAAGCCACGGTTGCAAGTCAAGGACGCAAGTATTTGAATACTATGAGAACGTAGTAGAAGCAGCAGAAGATGCAAAGAAAGAATCAGAACAAGAATTCTTTGCTGTTTGCTGCGAGGCACTTATTGATTTCGCGGCACATGTCCTCAGAGCACCGTCTCAGAGCGACAGTGCAAGAAAATAGTTGGATGTCAAGAACATCAGGAAGCGGAGTTCTCAGGCAGGGCTCATGCAAAGCTTCTATAAGGACATATGTAACATAAAGAAATAAAGGTAGTAACGTTGGATGAAGCAAACTGTCCGAAGTGGTAGGAACGGCGAGGAGGGGGGGGGAAGGGGCTGTTGGCCTCATGGATGAGGTGGCGGCCTCAGAAACCCAAGAAAGAGAACGGCAAAAAAAAAAAAAAAAACAAGAACCTAAACTCCAAAACCTGAAAACCCCGAGACTGAATCCTGGACATCAATTTGGGATCTTTGCCGGGGCGCTGCCGGCTCGAGCGAGTTGCACCCAATTTTGCTGACGGATGCGTTCAGTACGTCTGGATACCTCTGAGGAAGGCTGGGGTGTAGGTTTGGGGGGCACCATGGCATGGTGGTTGAGACAACTCCTACGCATACTACATATCTCTACCTATGTCCCAGGCACTTCAGAAGCCTGCTTCAAGACTGGTGAGCAGGTTCACTGCTCATGGTGGAGTGGAATATGAAACCATGGAAACTTGCTGCCTGATACATGAAGGTTTCCGAAAAGAGGGACCCCCAACATAGACCCCCAACTAGTAGGATCCCCTTACAATAAGGACCCCAACAAGGTACCCCTAATCTTGGACATTCGCCCACTTGTTCCGAGGGATCCTCTGCTTGTTCCAAGGCAAGGCAAACTTTTCAGCTCCGACCAGTGTCGGTGCAGCTGTTCTGACCACTTGACTTGAAAGCTGGGGATTGCACGGTAGACCCTAAACCCTAGACTTCAACCGCATCACGAAAGAGGCTTTGAGACCTGAGCTGAAATTCCATCCGAAGTGGCTTGAGTGAGGCCTTGGGCATCAGAATCCGCGGGCTCTTCCTGACAGGGCTTGGGATCGTTCTTTTCGGGGTTCGGGTTTGAGGCACATCTTTGCATGGCAAGCCTGCACAGACAGATGAAGCCGAGCCGGTTCATCTAACTATATAGAGTTTACATCTTACGGGGCTTTACGGGGTGTGAGTTTAGGGTCTAGTTTAGGGCGCTGTCTGTAGGCCTTGCGTTACAAGGCCTACAATGCCCTAGGGTTTGGCATTTCGGGTCCTTACGCAACAGACCCCAACTAAAGTCCCTATTGAATCCTACACAAACCCTAAGACCTCAACCAAGGCCCAAACCTAAGCAATAACCTAAACCAGGCAAGACCACATTGATCCTTTGACCCGAAAACCCTGTTTAAACCCATCTCAACCCAATGCGACGGAACCCCCAACTTCCAACTTAGGGACCAAACTCTAAACCCTAAACCCTAAACCCTGAGCCCTGAACCCTGAACCCTAAACCCTAAACCCTAAACCCTAAACCCTAAACCCTAAACCCTAAACCCTAAACCCTAAACCCTAAACCCTAAAACCCTAAACCCTGCAACCCCAGACCCTGAACCCCACTGCCCCTAGCCAGGCAACTTCCAGCTTCCGCACCTCCTCAGGGTTTCCAGGAACGGGACTTGGGGATGACGGTTTGGGGTTTAGGGTTTAGGGTTTAGGGTTTGGGGGTTTGGGGTTTAGGGTTTTTGGGTTTAGGGGTTTAGGGTTAGGGGTTTAGGGTTTGGGGTTTAGGGTTTAGGGTTTGGGGTTTAAGGTTTGGGGGGGAGGGCAGCATTCGGGTTGAGGGACGGCTAGCTGTAACCGACTGCCTATCTCAACCCTACGTCCTGCAAGCACCTACCATCAAGGGCGCTAGAAGCCTTCATAGGGCTGGCCAGGGGCAGGGTTCAGGGCTTTCGTCTTTGAGCTCGGATGCGAGGCTCAAAGGTACTTACTCAACAGCTTCGGGGGCGAACCTCAGCAAAGCTACTGCAAACGGAGCATGAAAGCCGAGAAAACCCCTCCTGGCCGGGTAGGGCGAGCCGCGCCAAAAGCCACGGTTGATCTTCCTCTTTCGGCTCCAGAAACACTAAAAGACTAAGGCTGCTAAGGCTTTGGGGCTTGCAGGCTTCAAGGCACCGGATTCTTGGGGACAGAGGGTGGAGAGTTTTTTGGGCGCTTCGGAGTGTGGGGGTTGGGTGTTTTGGGTTCAGGATCCGGGAAGCTTCTTGATGCCCAGAGCTAACCCTAAACCCTAAACCCTAATCTGTCGAGCCAAGGGGTGCGACCGAAGAGTCTGCTCGTAGGGCATGTCGGACGTTCGCAAGTCGTTGCCTGTGCCTGGAATGAAACCACTGGAGCCCTAAGCCAAAAGCCCGAAAGCCCTAAACAATAAGCCCCAAACCCTAAACCCTAAACCCTAAGCCCTAAACCCTAAACGCCTAAACCCTAACAGGCCCAAACAATAAGCTCCAAACACCACACTGCGGCGGACCCCTGATTCCTTGAAGCCCTGAAAACCTAAACCCTCCAAGCGGCAAAGCCAAAGGCCCTGAGCGCTTTAACATCAAGCTCCCTATGTCTGAGAGTCCCTTTGAACCTTGAACCCCGTAAAACCCTAGACCCCCTAAGGATCTCCGTAAGACATCTGAGAAAAAGGAACTCCCTGCATGCGAGGGGCGTATTACACCGGCAGATCGAATCCCCGGGCCCATTGCCACGTCGCAGAACAGTGGCCCAGAGGAGGTCGAGAACACAAAGCGATCCTCTTCAAAGATGCTGAAGGGGCTTGCCAGAATCAGGGGCTTCTCGGTTTAGGGTTCAGGGCTTTAGGCGGTTTCTGGGCTTCGGGGCTTTACGGGATCTACGGAAATTCTGGTGGCTTTGAGGGAAGGGGTTGAGTACCCCCCCCCAAGCCTGCAAGTGATCCACTGAATCCATGGGGCTCTTCATGAGGGAGCCCAGCTTGGCCCCTTTAGAGAGGTTGAGGGCTTTCACAACAAGACCAACCTCGAACCCCCAGGAGCGCAGTACTTAGCAAGGTGTGTTGAGCAAAAACTATAGCCCTTGTGATACGCGAAACCCTAAACCCTAAACCCTAGACCCTAAACCCTAAACCCTAAACCCTAAACCCTAAACCCAGCCACACTAGCCACACTAGCCAGGGCGTAGGGACTGGAATGCAAGCGTCACTATGGCCGCATACTTTGTCGGCACTTTTCGCCACCACTGGAATGTCAGAGGTGTGGATGACAAACCTGGGCCACAAGAGCACGCGTGCTTTTTGAAGGAGCGCCCTGGTTCTCTGTTTGGGTTTGAGGGGTTCCGTCTTTAGGGCCTGTATGCTTTAACTTCAATATGGCTTATAAGGTTTGTAAGCCTTAGGGCGTCAACGGTCCCACTTGAGAAGCTCCGCCCGTTGAGGGAGAGCGCATGCCCATCTCACATCTTCACCAATCTGCGATCTGCAACCAAGGAACTCCACATCCAGCTCCACATGCGCAGATATTTCCTTCACACAGAACCCCGAATTCCAAACCCTACAAAAGTGCAAAAAAGGAGGAACCAGCAGGGGCAACGAATTGCAGCTGCTGCTATGCGTTGGTGAGTCTGAGCTTGCACAGTCGATCACTGCCTCGCAAGACCCCTGCTGCTACGGACAAGTGGCCAAGGCCTCTTTATACCGGTTCAGGGTCTAGGGTTTCGGGTTCGAAGTTCCGTACAAATAGGCCCTTTACAGCAGGGTAGGTTGGGTTTCTTTGTATTGTGTGGGGTTTAGACAGGGTTTACTTAGGATTCAAATGCTTCTGAACTGAACAAGCTACCCAGGCCAGGCAAGAGGACTTGCCATCCAAGGCTCTGCCAGCAAGTCCAGCACTTCTGCAAAGATAACGGCGTCCTAGTGTTTGGTTTGCGGGTTTGGGGTTTGGGGTTTGGGGTTTCGGGTTTAGGGTTTAGGGTTCAAGGGATTTCCGGTTTGGTTGCTGAAACTCGGCGCTCAGTAAGGCTGCTATTCAGCTGCGTGGCAGCCATGCGCTCCCGCCTCTCGCGGTAGGCCAAGTAAAGCCGCCCTCCAAAGCTCCCAACCAGAGCTTCTTTCTTGTCATTCTCCGTGAATGATGTCTGAAGATCGACCTGCTCTGGTCTGACCTGCTTGTCGCGCCAGTTGGACATGCCATACCTGCGCAGGAAGTCATGACATGTCATGGCTGCAGATGGATGCTGAAACTTTCAAACCCGAAGAGGTCCTGACTAATGACAAGCTGCCTGATCAGCTTGAACATGTCGCATGGAGGATCCAGAAACTCCGCCACGCACTTTCCCGGCAGCGGCAGTAGGGCAGATTCCACCGGAGTGGGCCGTGAAGTGGAACGACTCACTGAGGCCCTCGCAGGACAGTTGCATCTCTCCACGCCTCTCAGCTTTCCTCACTACACCTCCCGAATCCAGCATGCAGGCAAGGTTCGAATCCGGGGCCACTGGCACATCGGTCGGGGCTTGTGCTGGCGGCGTCCATGCAGCAGGCGCTTCTGGAAACGATGCAGAATCTGGTGCAGCGGATGACGTCGCAGCCGAGGGCTCCAGCACCTGCAGGAGGAGAGGTCCACGTAAATTCACTTCTCGGCCTTCGTGGCTTTCATCCCTGCCATGTGTTGTGGGTACACATGGTGATGGCCCTGCGCGGTACTGCACTTTGCATGTTGCAGCTTGGGCTGCTCATGCTCTTACGCAAGCCCTTAGGGTTTAGGGTTTAGGGCCCCTGAACCCTGAGTTCATGTGCCTTGCTAGAGATGCTGCAATCAGCCTGGGCACGTTGCGCGGCAAACGCTCGTCCTGGGACTAGAGACCCGGACAGAAGTAGTTGAAATCCTGAAGCCTTTGCGCCTGAGTCCGATAAGCTGCACTGTAGACTTCGATTTTTTCGGAAATGTAGTGAAGTATTTGGCTAGGTGCCACAAAACCATTCGGATTCGATAAGATCCTCCACCCCAGCCGGCGAAAAGATGAAAGAATCCCAAGATTGCGCCCACGGGGAAATAACTAAACTTTATGAACCCTAAAACCCCTAAACCCTAAACTCCACAAAACCCCATAACAGTACTATAACACCCAAAACTTTAAACACCTAAGCGCCCTCAAATCGCCCTCAGCCCAGGGATCCCAGGCCCCGGAGGCCTCGCCCTGCACGGCCAGCTCGGCGGCAATCCTCCAGGCATGTTCGGTGCATGACGGTGTTTCCCTGGTTAGTAGGGAAGGAGGGAATGAGGTACCCTATATAATCCCTCAAAGGGTATATATATATATATAGGGGGAGATACGGTACCCTCATTCCCTCATTCCCCTACTAACCAACAGTAAGTATTCGGGTTCAGGGCCCGACCCCTTTTTTCCAAGCTCATATGGTGTACGTCCTGAGCAAGAACCCGGAACCCTGAACCCTAAACCCTAAACCCTGAACCCTAAACCCTGAACCCTAAACCGCTTACAAGTCCCTGAGGGCTTGGCTTGCAGGCTTCGAGGCTTAAGGCTCTAGTACATTGCAGGCTCCCAGGTTGCGAGCACTCGGTGTGTGAAGAGCTGAAGAGCTTGGTTTATGGCATGTGGACTGAGGGTTACCCCTGAAGTATAGTAGGTGTTTGGGACTAGAATGACAGGCGAAAGTTGTTAAACAGCTCTGGGGTCTTTAAGGGAGGGCGGCGAGGGAACCTTAGGGACTCTTCTGGGGCCTTAGAGCCTTGGGGTACATACCCCCCTTGAACCCCCCCGCCCCTCCCTTAAGGACCCCTATAAAGACACACCTGACAAGCTCCAACTTGCCGGACCAGGCTCTGCTGCAGCTGAGGCGGCGCTGTGGACTTCGGGAGTCCATTCCTCCATCCAACGCGCAGAAACCAGAGAGCTGGACACTACATGTCTTCGATGGCCAACTACGTTCTTCTCAACCCCATCCAGTCTCCTTACTACCCACGTCCTTAATACTCAATTCGACCCCAATTGAACCCAATAACCCAACAAAAACAACCATCCAAGCATCGAATTACTCAGCCCTAGACCCTGTCCGCCTCTCTCTCTTTTTGCAGCTCTGGTCTCCAAGCCACGAGGAGGGCCAGGAGGAGACAGCTGCCGGCAACGCGCAGCAGGCATCGGACCATGGCCCGGGGGGCTCCGGATGCTTGATACGAGGAGGGCGTTTGTAAAGTTGAGAGTTATCTAATTTAGGGTTAGGGCTGCTGTCCAAGAATTCCACACGTGCCCTTTCAGTGCAGATTGGCGCTTCTTAGAAGAGGGGATGGATCACATGCGCGACTGAAGGGCCCACTTCACTTCCGAACAACTCGATGGGTGCACAGCTGCGGCGCGACAGGCTCGAGCATGGCGTCTCGACCTCGACCTCATGTGAAGGAACAAGCCCTTGGCTCGGAAGCCCGCAGCAAGCCCAAGAATTCCAGCCGATGGATCCAAGATCAACGCACCGGTACTTTTCCAACCTGCAGCACACTTTGGCAGCTGCAGAAGACAAGGCAGTCGGATGTTAAGTCCAGGCTGGCTCTAACAATGCCAATCATTGGTAAGTGTTAAAAACGAATGATGAAGAAGATAAAGGAAGCCCGGAATGTGCCAGGAACTCATGCATTCCATTGGCCCCTGCATCCATGGAACCATGCTTCTCGGAGTCTTTCGCACAACAATACAGCTTCTGTTGTGTCTTGGCCGCTGCGCCGGTTCACGCGCTGATCAGTTCTCTGAGCTAAGACACCACCAGAGTCCAGAAAGCCCGCGGGGCCTATGTTGAGCAACGAATCGAGCCAGTTCATGTGGCTGGTAGCCGAAGCGGAGTGGTTCCGCGTTGCAGTTTCTGCTCTTCCTGCGACAGTCGTCACACTGCCATGGACTCCGGGTTGCCAATATTGATCCATATTGCCAAATATTGCCAGTGACCAGGTCATGAGCGAAGCTGCTCGCTTGAGCTCTGTGAGTCACCTTCGCCACCTACCTCACTGTGGTTGCCCTCACCTGCTTCGCTGTGTTCACTTTCATTGTCTTCCTCCCCTGACTGAGAGTCAGGCTGAATGGTTTCGACTGCCTGGGCTGCGCGGGTGTAGACGCCAGCTGCAAAGTTCACCACTTTGTCAAGGGCATCCTCCTCATCGATGTCATACTCCGGAATGTCATCCCAGTTCAGGCCTCCAGCTTCCTTGGACTTCTTCGACTCCTTAGGTTCCTTAGACTTTGGTGCGGGCCTGCCGGCGTCGGCCGGCTCCTTCCCTGAACTTGGGGCATCAGCCGAGCCTTCGGCAACAAGGGCCTCATCTCCCAAGGCACCGGCACTGGCAAGGGATGCTCTCGGAGTGCTGGTGGCCGTCCGCGACTCCGAGGGCCCAAGGGACTCCGAGAGCCGCCGCAGGGCGCCCCTCCAGCCGCCCGCGACGTGCCAGCAGCGCCCCTTCCACGGTGGAGGCACCCTTCCAGCCACTCCCAGGCCTCCGAAGATTTCTCAAAGCGGACCAACATGAATCAAGAACGGGCGGGAGAAACACACCCACACTGGCATAGAAGGCTAACCCCCCCAAAAAACTCCTTGAGCCCCATCCTCGAAGCCTAAGCCTCAACAAAACACGCTGCCAGGCCACGAACCAGCGTGGCGTGAGGGAAGTCTGCCGCTTCAACGAGCTTTGGTCCGTTGAAGGTGCCCACCTGTATCGGTCCCTCTGGGAAGTTCAAAGCAAGCCTTAACTGGACCCTCAAAGAGGCCAGAATCATGGCCCATAATTTGCAGCTTGCTTGTTTATTCATCTACTCCCACCCCTCCAACCTATACAGTTGGAGAGCCTACCTGTTCCTCCTCAACTGGTTCCCCCTTCCTCCCCTCCCTCCCCAGGATTGTACACAAAGTCGGCCCGGAAAGCCCTAAAAAGTTGGATTGGGAATGCATAGTGTAACTGCGCGCCACCCGAACCGCTCGACCGTTCCTATCTCCAAAGTGAAGAACAGCTTGGAAACAGACTTGTTACGAGTAGCATCAAATTTACTCAGGGAGAGTGTTGCCTTTTTCCGAGGGCTTTCAGGGCCTCGACGTTCAGCAACTTCAGCGTTTGTTTGTGTACTCGAGGTTCGGGAGGTTGGGGCTTTAGTTTATTAGGGGGGGGGGCACGTGACATGCTAAGGTTCTTCGAGTCCACTCCACCAACCTCAACCTTCAAAATTCAGGTCCGTGCCTAGGGGCTTCTGTCATGCCACTTGCAGCATGGGTAAGCTTTAGCACGACGGAGTATGTCAGCGCACGCATGCATGACAACAGTAGGGATCAGCATGAGAACTCAAGGACGTCAAACATCGACTGCTGTATCTTGCTACTTGGTACAGTAGCTTCAGGCCCCCGAACCCCGTAGTCCTCAAAAAAGCTCTTGAACAGTTGCTGCCTCCACCACGACCAGGCGGCAGCTTTTGGACAGCTGGTTCCTGCAGGTCCAAGCCACTGGAGCCCACATCCCCTACGATGCAACTCCGAGGCCCATCGAGCCTCCATTGGTAGTAGGCATGCTCTTGCCTCGCACACGAAAGCAGATGGTCCAAATATGTCCCCTGAAATGCAAGTAAACGCGAAGTGCTCTTACAATCTCAGGGCCTGTCACATCGCCAGCTCACAAACTTGGAGTCGCCATGCCTCAGGAAGCACAGGGTTTGTGGGGCCTCAAGGCCCCACTCTGCTGCAGAGTGAGCTCTGAGGTCCGTGCATGTCGACATTGGGTCGAGCCAGGCAGGAGGAATCCTCCGGATCCCTGGGCAGGGTCTAGGGTTTAGGGTCTAGGGTTTAGGGTTTAGAGTTTAGGGCAACTTCGACATCCGCAAGCAAAACCGGGACCCGTTTCGTAGTAGTTCTAGGGTGCCCCAAAAAAACAGCCATGATCCAAAAACTGTCTAACATGCCACGTCTAAGACCTCCCCCAAACAAGCCCCTAAAACAGCATAAGGTATACCTTTACAGCTGGGCTTTGCTATGCTGACTGCCGCAGGAATTGTCCTCCGAGGGTTTCGGGTCTGTCTCATCCCCGCCAAACAAGCCATGACCCTTCTAACGTGGAAAGCCTTAAAAGGCCGAAGGATTAAGGTTTAGGGTTTGGGGTTTAGGGTTTATAGGGTTTAGGGTTTAGGGTTCCAAGCCTTGGCAGCTCGCCAGGTAGGCGGAGCAGGTCCGGCCCCTTTGGCCTCCGCACGGCGTGCGCCGCCAGCGCCTCGCCAGCGGGGCTCGCGATGCCAAAGGAGTCGCCGGCGACCTAGCGCAATCCCGATGGTCCATAGGGTTTAGGGTTTAGGGTTTAGGGTTTGGGGTTTAGGGTTTAGGTTAGGGGTTAGGGTTTAGTCACTGCCCCACCCCCCCCCCCCCCCCCCCCCCCCCCACCGCCCAAAAAAGAAGCTTCGGACCTTTGAGGGACTGCGATGGGATGTCTGAAATTGTAGGCGGAGGTTTCATAGCATTGTACGGATACAGAGCTGAGGTTGAAGATGGGGGGGGTTCGGGCCTAGGCTTTAGGGCTTCAGGATTGAGGGATGCTGCCTACATCAAGTAGGCGGTCGCCTTTCCCCAAGGAAAAAACTCTGTGAGCTGAGCCACGCCCCGCTTCCACGGCGTCCACCCGTACTTGTTGCTGTTTTCAACCGCCTCGAGCGTGCGCACCTCGACAGCCTCTGCGCAGTGAGGGCGAGAACTCGAGATCCCGACCACGATCCGTCAGACCATCTCAACAACGAAGACACATCTCACTACATGCAGCTGCAGGCTGCTACTGTAATCCCTATATCTTCGCGACTCGCTTTGACTCTCTTCCTTCTCTACGTTATGTACATCTTCGCCCATGTCTCGGTCCACCCGTCCGCTTCTGCCTGCGCTCCAAACTGCCCAAGGAGCTTTCGACGAAAGCAATCCCCAAACCGTGCCTCCCCAGGTTGCAGATTCCAGTGCGGGGGCAGCTCCACCGAAAGTGATGCTGGCAGCTCAGAGCCTACGGAGTCTTTGTTCGGAATCCCCTTTCATGGCATCAGTGTGACAGAACAGATCTTAGGGGCCCTTAGGGGTTATTTGGGGATCTTTAGGGGCAACTTAGGTATATAGGGACTCTATATATAAAAAAAAAAATATATATATATATATATCTACAGTCATATAAGGGAATAAGATTCAGGGTCCCTTCTGGGGGTCCCTCCTTATACCCCTTAAGCCCAGCCTTCTGCGGCACCGGGGCCGGGCGGAGGGCCGGCTCCCAGCAGGCTCGCCAGGGAAGAGGCGGCGGCAGCAAAGCTTTGCCGCGCTCCCTCGGATCACAAGCGGTCTGAATCCTATAACCCTAAGCCCTAACTAAGCCCTTTAAACCCTAAACCCTAAACCCGAAGCCCTAAAACTTAAACCCTAAACCCTAAACCGATCAGGGAGCCCTAACTCGGAACAACCGTTGGGTTTTGCAGGACTCATGTAACCGGTCTGGATCCCGGGCCGGGATCATATGTGGCGAGCAGAGGCGCGCTTCTTCTGTGGGGAGACCCACAAGCACGAATGCAGCGGCTCGGAAGATGAACCGCAGAGGTGTCTCGACTGTGGGCCCCACGAGAAATCGGAGTGAAGGAGGACAGGGGTTGCTTTAAGTTTGGTCGTTTCGATGCTTTGTCCTGTGAGATTGTTAAGGCTACCTGTAAACGGGGGCCATTGTCAAAAACCCCTTCCCTGCCAGGATGCCGAAAGCAGCTGCTGGGCGACGCCGCCTTCGCCTACGCGCCAAATCTTGCTCGCGCCGTCTGCGCGCTGCCTTGGCAGCTTTCGGGGCCCAATTCGTGAGAGAGCACATTAGCTGATTCAAGCTCGGGGAGCTTTAGATCCACCCCAGTTCCACAATAAAACTTCAATGTGGCAGGGAGGCGACATGGTAGAGCCGGACGTTCACGTTACAATGACCTATAGTTTCGAAACCCCGGTGCCGTTGCCATGAATGTGGCCTTAAGGGCCCCAATCTTGCCCTGGGCACACTGGCACCTTTGTAGGTGCAAAGGGTTGCGGTTTATGTGACTCGGTCGAGCAAGCCTTCTCTGAGCCACCACGTAATCGGCAGAATTAGCTATATGTATGTGTGTATATCTATATCTATATATATATATATATATATATCTGTATATATATGTATATATATATATATTTGACATACACTGTTTACATATTTAGGCTAAACAGTGGTTCGAGCGGTCATGTCTTGGCAGTTGTCGTCGCGGCCGCTGTACAAGTAGTAGCCAGACCCAAACCCTTCCCAAACCTCAAAGCTTGAATTGAACATATCACCACCGCACTACTTTGGGGCTTTCGGGTCAATATGTTAATGCAGAGCTTCGGGTTTGGTTCGGCGTCCACAGTAGTGCATCCAGCTTACAGGTGCGAGACGGAGCCGCGCAGCTCCCACACGTGTTCATCTCCAACAACTCGCGCCCAGTGCCCGTCAATCGCAGATGTGACACAGAAGAAGCCTGCGGTAGTCCTACACAATCTGTGCATATATATATATACACAAATACATATATATATATATACACATATTATATATATATATATATGCCAACCCTCAAGCCCTAAATCCTACGCCCGACTTGGTCCTCGTGCCTTTGCGACTTCAAGAGAACCATTGCTTAAGATGCCCAACAAAAGTCATGACACGAGCCCACTGCGAACCTGACCCCGAAGCTCTACATCCCCATACAACCCTAATTTATTACCCTGCAAACCGCCATCAACCCTAAACCCTAAACCCCAAACAACCCTCCTCAACAACCCCAAACCCCAACGTAGCCCTGACGCCCTCTAAGCTCAGGCTTCCCGCCTTGTTTCATGGACCGGCCCCAGCCAGCAAGGGCACGGCAGCTCTCCTTCTTTAGGGTTTAGGCTGAGGGCTTCGAGAGATTGAGCCACTGGTTGTTGAGGGTTTATGGGCCGAAGGGTCTTCTCATTTCAGGGGGCTTCAGGGCCCTAAACCCTAAACCCTAAACCCAAACCCTGGGCATCCTCCGGGTGCGTCTCCAGATACCGTCGGCTCCAGAAGCCCCAAAATGCCCAGGCAAGGCCGGGATCGCCTCACCACGGTTTGGTCCTACCCTCGGCGTCCCTTTTGGGGATTATATTTCAATTTGGGGTATCTGGGGGATTATTTTATTCTGGGGATGATATTCTTTGGGGTATCTTGGGGGGTACCCCTAGTTTGGGGTCGGCTCTTCTTTCAAGAACTCGTGAAAAATGGGGACTTTCTCCCCCCAGTTGGATTCAAGCTAGGAGGGTGCCCTCTAAGCAAGCGCGGAGCCATGGGTAGCACCGCCACTGTCTCAGCGCCTTCTGTGTAAAGACTTCTCTGCATTCAAGCTGCTGTCAAACAGGCCGGCGCTGTCTGCCTGCATGTGCCTTCAGTACAAGATTCCCGAGAGGAGTGTCACAATTCTGCCATGCTTTGCAGACGCAGAGTGTACAGTGAGAAGGCTCAGCGCCTTGCTCTCGCCATAGCTCGCGCAGTGGGCTGCACACTCCTTGCAGCAGAAAGCATGAGAGGGATGCTCTGTGGACCAGAGCTGCTTTCATGGCGCCCTGTCCTGGTGCTGGGATACCATATTCCAAGCTACCGGCCACCGTGCTGAGCGGCGGTAGCTGGAAGACCCCTGGCCGCCGTGCATTCCCGCTGAATATGACACCGTGGCACTGGCTTGCCTTTTCGTTGGTTTAGGCAAAGGGTATACATGGCTACGTGTCATGGATTCTGGAAATTTCTGTAGGGGCGTCCTGCGTCATTGAGCTTGCTGTCGTCATCTGGGAGGTCGTCCATGCCAGCGCAGATCAGCAACGCCTGTGCTCGACGTAGGCTCTCCGCTGCCTGCCCGACCTCCAGTTCAAGAAGACGCAAATCCCCTAATCCTTCAGACCACATGCGCACGCCTCGTCCACAGACTCTGACTGGTGTGTTTGCAAACGTGGAGGTGTCGGGCGACGACCCTGCATGGCAGCAATTACGGCGGAGGTGCCAGGTGCCCTGTTGTGGTTATAGTTGGTGCCTGCGTTGTCTGCGAAGTGGTGCACTTTTGCTCTGCATGGAAGTGCAAGATCTTGCCGTGCAATCCGTGCAATGAAGCCGAAAGACATTTGCAGGTGCTGGCGCTAGGACAAGGTGCGGCAAGCTCCGCCACAAGGGCCCGCGGCACCTCTCTCCCTGCTCTCCCTCTCCCCCGCATGGGACCTTCGAGTGGCTAGACTCTCGGGCCCTGTCGCCATTTTTAACCGCCAAGCGCAAGAAGACTCGCTTCATCAGATTTCAACTCCCTTGCCAAGCCCGAGCAGGTGGTTGTCAGGGTGCTGGTAGATCACGCCTGTGCACTCAGTCCTCGGATGCGGTCATGTCCAGCTGATTCCAGCTACCAGCAACTCGCCAAAGACACGCCGCCCTGCTTTTGTTCATAGGGATACCAATCCTAGCACCAACACCTACTACTAGTCTGAGAAACAGCTGTTGGCATGGTGGTGCTCCTTTTCTCCCAGTCCCTGACTGCAAGTTCACGCATTGCGCTGCGTGTAGTCTTTGGCTTCACAGCTGGCCCTGCCATTGAACAAGAGACAGACTGAATCGGTCACTTTGCGGCAAAGTCTCCTTGGCGCCTTCCTCCACTTGATCCCATCGACCGTCGGGCAGATATGTTTGAAATACCAGTTCGTGGGCTGCAGTTCACGAGGGACCCACACGGCCCGGATCAGCGACTGCCTTTGACACAGACTCTGACACGTAAACACCCAGCTTCCCGAAGCCTGAAACATGTTGCACGTTACACACCCTAAACCCTAAACCCTAAACCCTAAACCCCAAACCCTAAACCCTAAACCCCCAAAGTTTCAGAGCTAAGCTCCTCACGATTTTCCCGTGTAGCAACACCTGTCGTTCTCCTGGATTACCGGATGGCAGCCATCCGAGCCCTGCCGATACTGAGAGAAGCATCTGCACTGCGGCTTGCCTCAGCCCAAGGCTCTCTGCACTCTCGCAGGTGGTTTTCGGAAGTTTCTGCTACGTGTCTATGTATAGATCTATACATACATACACATATATATATATGTGTGTGTATGATATATACATATACATATATATATATAGATCTATGATACGATTCACAGTATAGCATACAACATCATACACTTTTCAACTGCAGGACTCCCCAGCTGCAAATGGAGGGGCCAGCCCAGGCCTTGCAATAAGCGAACTTCCCGCAGCTCTTGTCCTCAGCAGGAGCGCGGCTGCATGGCAACAGAGGTGCTTCGGGTTTGGGGTTTAGGGTTTAGGGTTTAGGGCTTGGGGTCTGGAGAAAAAAGGGCTCCTTGGACCGAAGAAAAACCGCCTCCCATAAAGCGCCCTAAGCCCAAAACCCTAAACCCACAAACCCTAAACCCCAAACTCTAAACCCATAAACCCATAATCCCTAAACCCTTTGAACCTTGAGTGACTTGAGCCCTTTGACAGAGCCAAGCTTCCTTGCAGGGGTCCAAAGTGCAGTCGTACAGGTAGCAGTCGGTCCCTTTGCCTGAAGTGAAGATTTAGGGTTTAGGGTTTAGGGTTTAGGGTTTAGGGTTTAGGGTTTAGGGTTTAGGGTTTAGGGTTTAGGGTTTAGGGTTTAGGGTTTAGGGTTTCCTCCCCCCCCCTCCTCCCTGCGCTCTCCAGAAGGCTTTGCTGAGGCGGCCGCACTTCGCACAGCGATTCTCGGCGAGCACTTGGCCTTCACACACACACACACACACACTCACTCACTCACTCACTCACTCACTCACTCACTCACTCACTCACTCACTCACTCACTCACTTACACACATGTAAATGTATATACATGTGTATATATGTATGTATATACAAATACAAATATATATATATATACATATATCTATATACTATCTATTCATTGACATTTGGTTGTTTATATCATATAAGATGTACTTATCGTATTAGTATATGTACAGACTGATGTGTGTATGAACACATGTATTTATATTGCTGCACCACTATGTATGTGTGAGTTCATCTTTTTGTATCTTCATTGACTTATACCCATTGGTTTACGTCTATATTCTTCACTTATGTTTACATCGTATCTAGCAAAAAATGTTTCTATTTAGACACATGTTTTACGTACATACCTGTGAGGGGCCCCCTAGCAGATTGCAGCAAAAGGAGTCACAGCCGTCTCGTCTGCAGTTAATGCTTCCCTTGCGGCACATACTTAGCCCAAGCTGTACTGTTTCTAGCATAAACCCGAAACCCTAAACCCTAAACCCTAAACCCTAAACCCTAAACCCTAAATGCCAGAGCATGCCCGTCCCCAAGCCTAGCACCATGGAGCCGCATGGCTCGGTGCAGAGTCGATGCTCCTGAGAGGCTTGTCACCCCCGGGGTTTAGGGTTTAGGGTTTAGGGTTTAGGGTTTGGGGTTTAGGGTTTGGGGTTTGGGGTTTGGGGTTTGGGGTTTGGGGTTTGGGGTTTGGGGTTTGGGGTTTGGGGTTTGGGGTTTGGGGTTTGGGGTTTGGGGTTTGGTAAGGTTCATAGGTGGGGTTTCCGACATTAGGGGTACCTTATTGGGGTCCTTGCTATAAGGGAGCCCTACTATTTGGGGGTCCATATTCGGGGTCCCTTTCCCAAGAGCCCCCATGTGCGCTCTGGCTAAAGTCGTCCTTGTACATGGACTTCGTTTTTGGTGGAGCTCGCTGGCAGAAGCAAGTGGGGCAGGAGAGGACGGAGAAGTTGCCTGAGCATCCGAGCGCTTGCTTTAGTTACAGTCGGCAACTGCTAGGATTCAGCCCATCAACGTCGGTCAGGGACGACTGTGAACCCCCTGCAACCCATGTGCAACCGAGTGACGCAGGTCGGCGTAGCAGCCACTATCAGATGTGGTCGAGCAGTGGAACTGCTCGTTGCACTCCTTGGCTGCGAAATGTTCCAGTTCAATGTTCTTTTATAGGGTTTAGGGTTTAGGGTTTTAGGGTTTAGGGTTTTTATGGGACTGGCCAACTTGAGGGGAAAGTGTCTTTCGTGCCGAGACTTGCGCGGGCAACTTCATCTCAAGGACGCCTACAGTAAAACTGGAAGACGCGGACCGTATGGACAAGCCTCAGCTGAATTCCGAAGTTGTGTAACTAGTAAAGAGTTCACCCGGTGCACCATTGCAAAAGAGCCACGCAGATCCCTCCAGGAAGCAGCCGTGCCTGCGCAGAGCGCATGGCAGGGGCTGCAGCAGCACAAGTGTTGCAGAATCATATGAGTACTCACAGCTTGACCCCCTTGTTCCCCTGAGCGGCCCGCATTGAGAGGGCAGCGAGCGCAGCGGCAATCTTCACAAGATGGCCTTCTGAGAGCTCGTCGAAAACGGTGCTGCTGTGAGGATCTTTAGTTTAACCCTATACCCTATACCCTAAATCCTAAACCCTAAACCCTAAACCCTCTTGTAACCCTAAGCGTTCCAAGCCTTGAGGCCAGGTGCTGGGCTGACAGATAAAAGCCCCGTGCAAAGCCGTGCACTACACTGAACAACCCTAAACCCCAAACCCTAGCCCGCTTCGCCCAGGGCATGCCTGAAAGGATGAGTCGAAGCTCCACACATGACACCTAAACCCTAAACCCTAAACCCTAAACCCTAAACCCGAAACCCTAAACCCTAAACCAATGAAGTTCAGAACTCAAACCCTGCAGCAAGGTCGCAGTGAGAATTGCAGGCTGGTGCTTGACCTGCAGGGGAGGTACTCCCATTCAAGGGTTAGGGTTTAGGGTTTAGGGTTTAGGGTTTAGGGTTTAGGGTTTAGGGTTTAGGGTTTAGGGTTTAGGGTTTAGGGTTTAGGGTTTAGGGTTTAGGGGCCTCCTGGAAGTTTGTGTGCAGGTTTGAGGATTACAGTTATAGGAGTCCCGGGCTGATGAACTTGTAGCAAGGGCCCCCCAAAGAAGTCTCTGAAAACCCTAAACCCGAAACCCGAAACCCTAAACCCTAAACCCGAAACCCTTCTTAGCTTCCGAAATGTTCGCAACTCCCCCCGCTTGAGCTGGCATCCTTCGGCTCCATCCTGGAAACAGTGATTTCCATGCTGACAGCTGCAGAGGGAACCTGCCACGCCAAGGAGCTTCAGGGCTCAGGGCAGCAATTCTAGAGTTTAGGGTTTAGGGTTTAGGGTTTAGGGTTTAGGGTTTAGGGTTTAGGGTTTAGGGTTTAGGGTTTAGGGTTTAGGGTTTAGGAGCCTAAACCAGGATGTCGCGATCGTTGGGGTCGTGAGGCCGCTGAGAACATCGTCAGCCCGGCATGCTTAACTTCTTGCTTCTCGACAGTCTTGCTACGACGGCTAGATAAAGAAAATTGGTGCTCACGTTTTCAAAAAAAAACTGAAACCCTTCTACACAGGCTTTATCTAAAGGAGCCCCATAAGAGATCCTAAATCTGATTCAAGCCCCACATGGAGAATTTAGCTTCAGCAATTGACCCTGAGCAGCGCGAAACTGCTCAACATTGGGTCTAGGGGATAGGGTTAATTCAGGGCTTCTGCCTTTTCTAGTTCATGTTTGGGTGGGATAGTATTAAAATTTAACTGTCTATTCCTTACTGGGGTTTAGGTACCCTTAGATATGTAAACTGTTACCCCGACTATGACAAAAAAATTTGTGGGTCCGAGGCACCTCGAGGCACCGAGAGGGGCGGGCAGGTGAAGGGTGCAGCGTTCCGCGGCTCAGATCGCCAGACTGGGACCCATTCGGGGGAGTTTTGGTCCACCACATCCTCAGCCGGGCGTTTGAGGGTTTAGGGTTTAGGGTTTAGGGTTTAGGGCCTCTTAGGGCTCATCGTCTGGAGCTGCCCTGGGATCCGGACCTGCACATAGTAGCCTCGGCTGCAGCAACATGTTCAGAACAAGTTCCTTCATCCTAGCCCTGAAACTCCAGCCCAACCTCCGACTCCCTCTAAACGCCGGCCTCTACGCGTTCACGAACTTACGACCATTGAGGGTGTAGTAAGGCTCATGCGCTGAGGGCAGCCCTCGTTAAAAATTGGCCAAGTATCAATAGTTGTCGGCATTGATCAGCGCCCTGGCTTGCATGTGCTCAGCCAGGAGTCTGCAGGTGGCCCTTCCGTAGCCCTCAGCGACGTGCGCGTAGGGATTGAAGGGAGCGAACTGTGGGAATTCTTTGGGGTGAGCCTTTTGGGGGGTGGCCTTTTTGGGGGTAGATTTTTTTGGGGGTTCTACTGCGCTCTCTTCTTTTAAGTTCAGGGCGGCCCATCTTCGCTGTAGGAATTCTACTCAGCTTATGTCCCAACTGTTGCCGGCCTTCGGTGTGCAATTCCACTCTTCCGGAGGCTTGGTGGGATCCGCGCAGACATCCTCCGTGAATGCCTTCGCATGTGGCGGGCTCAGGCTTCTGTGGTGCTTATGAGCCATCCATGGACAAGGCCCCGTCTTCACTGCCGCAAGGTGGCCATGGCGTGATGTGAAGCTTCATGTATCAAGGTGAGCACTTGCTGCTTTGGGTGGCTCATGAAGAGAGGGCAGACGTACAACCTCAGAATGCCAGGCTTTGAATGAAAAACGATCATAATAACAAGAACAATAATAGTAGTAATACTCAGTAATAATCAGAAGAAGAAGAATAACAATAAGAATACCTCGAACTCGTAGAGTCTCTGAACGATCTGAGAGCGGCACACAAACTTCGCGCCGTAGGAGGCGCAGGGAACGCCGGCGTCAGACAGCTGCAGCCGAGAGCAATCGATTCCGTTTGGAAGAGCATACGCCAGCTGCTTCTTGGTGCATGTTGGGCCCGGGTACACAAAGTGAGCTTTGGAAAGCAAGTCTGCGGCCGAGTTCAAGGTGAGTCGAATATTCCTGGCAGCCAGCTAAGCATGGGAACCGCATAGACGGGGTATGTGGCAAGGGGCGTGGTAGGTCTAGGGTTCCGTTTGAAATGTGAAGCCCGTGTGTACTTTGTTTCTGGTCATGGTGTAGATCCGAGGACCCTGAACATCGTGTTGAAACAAACAAGACGACGTCAGACAAGTGGAGACAAACAAGGCCAATTTGAAGATCAATGATGGGATCCGCCAGCTCAAACACCCAAATAGAATCTGTCTTCAATGCAATGAATTTGATTTGACATGTTATGGGTATCAAAAATCTAGCTGGAAATGTTGACTTAAAAAGCGATTTTTTTCGGGGGGGGGGGGGAAAGTAAAGGTCGAATGACTACTTAGTTCGAACCAGTGATGAATACAGGTATCCCGGTCCATGTAGAAACTATTGCAACAAGCTGTTCAAACATGTCCTGGGGTTCGTGAGCACATGTGCTTTGGCTTCGTAGCAACACTAAGGGGACGGGACACCTTGACCTATGCGGGCCAAAGAATAAGGTGTCAAGAGGTTCTGAAACGATGCTCGTGTACTTGTGATGTGTAATGATGCCTAGGCGGCACTTAGGCCAGTTCTGGCGGTTGTTTATCATATGGGTGGGAGCGCAACTAGATCAAACGCATGCAAAGGTTCTTACTATACTTGATCGTCCTTGCAAGTGTCTGGGCTTTTGCATGTACCTTGGTTCGCATTGCGCCTGGGATCGCCCCAGGATCTCTTAAGCAAATGCACATGAACATATACGCAGACATGTACATGCAGACATCATGCACACGTATAGAAGTACATGGACAAGTATTCAGATATTCACACATAAGTTAGAAACGCAGATCATGCTCACGGCCCATATTTGGCTAGAAGACTCAAGTTGAAACAGAAATTGAGGTGGCTCCTTTCCACGTTCGCATCATCAGCACCGAACCACCGCAGCATTTGGTTGCCTGCGCGCAGTGCGGCAGGCTTAGGCTTCAGAGATCTTCAGGGTATATAGGGGTAGCCATTTGCATGCCATCAAAGTTCAAGCAACGGCCCGGAAGGACCAACAACACCGGTTTGTAAACCGGCTTGGTACACACACACACACACAAACGCAAGCGTAGGCGTAGACCGAGCAAATCCGTGCGAGCAAGGGCTTGAGCAAGCCATCCAGCCTGTCATGTTATTCTCAAAGGCACGAAGAGCGGCACCCAGGAATGCTTCCGCAATCCTCAGAGGGAGCTGCTAGCGGTCCATCTTGAGTGAAGTGTCGCGTGCCCAACTGCATTCGGGGTGCTGCCCGGACCTCATGATAACTCGAATCGTGCTCGTGTAGTCTGATGAGTCATCCATCGTGGGAGGAGCAAAAGCCTTGGCTCTTCTTGGGTTTGGTGCTTCGGCTTTGGTGAGAAAAACCTCCAGAGGCTTCAGGCCTCTAGGGGGTCCCTTTGGCGCCCTTTGCTGATTTCGCGGAGCATGGAACCCCCCACAGCAAGCCCCCTGGTCTGAAGTGCTCGCATGTGCCCGCTTGGCCTTTTTAGGGCTTCGCTTCTGGGCTTAAGGTTTGGGATTCCGGGCTCTATGGCCCCAAAGGGGGGGGGGACTGTTGGGGACCCGGCCCCTGACCACCCTCTGTGGTAATTTTCTGAAGTTCAGGTATGGTCGGAGCCGCGGGGACATGCCGCAAAGTGTTCAAATTCAACCTTCTGACTTTCACGGCCCAGGGAGCTTCTTCTCGACCAGGTGATTCAGCTGGAAAGATCCTGAAGAGGTTTGCGACCTTTCAGCTCCCAGACGTGCGAATTCATTGCCAGACTTTGCTTTCACACCAGTAAAATAGATGTACCACTAAGTCTATGTTAACTATGCTGCATGCTACAGGGTTTAGGGTTTAGGGTTTAGGGTTTAGGGTTTAGGGTTTAGGGTTTAGGGTTTAGGGTTTAGGGGCATAGCTGGCCAGATAGAATTCGTGGCCGACTTGCAGACCGATGGGATGCAAAGCTGCCCTTTGCCCACGCACATGGGGCCGTGACACGCTCCACAAGATGCCAGGATGTTGCTACCTTGGAGGGTTTAGGGTTTAGGGTTTAGGGTTTAGGGTTTAGGGTTTAGGGTTCAGGGTTTCTAGAGGCCCAACCGCCAATATGCAGACAGGTGTTTGGTCTTGCTGCCCGAGCCGGCCCCCCAATTGACTGCAGTTGCGGTCGGGAGTCTTCTGCCTCGGGCTTCCGATACGAGGTCGCGCCAGCCACAGGTTGGGACTCCTCTTGCCAGCTTTCACAGAAGGCTGCTCAGGTTCTTGCTCTTATGACTCCTCTTGCCGTTGGCTTACTTGAAAGTAAACGAAAATAGGGGGCCCCGAATATAAACCCCCGATAGTAGGATCCCCTTATAACCCCTAATATCGTAAACCCCCCAATTCAGACCCCTGGAGCGGCTGCAACGGCGCACAGCAAGACTGCTGGCAGTGCTCCTGGTCATGTAGGTCTGGAAGGTCCTGCTCCTGGACAGGAGGCCCCGTAAACCCTAAAACCTAAACCCTAAACCCTAAGCCCTAAACCCTAAACCCTAAACCCTAAACCCTAATCTTCTGATGGGAAGGAAGACAGTTGGAAGCAACCGCAAGCTCTGACTTGCCATGATTTTTGTACTGCAGACAGGGAGGAAGCCAGCTCATGCTTGGGATAGTATTAAACACTTAAATTTCCATTCCTTACTGGGTTCAAGTACCCTTAAATATGTAAAACGTTACCTCACTATGACAAAGGAAGAGATCCTCAGAGAGACCGGCGATCTTCAGCTGATCAGGTCTGACGTCGGCGTCGCAGAACCACCTTCAAGAGAGGGGTTAGGGTTTAGGGTTTAGGGTTTAGGGTTTAGGGTTTAGGGTTTAGGGTTTAGGGTTTAGGGTTTAGGGTTTAGGGTTTAGGGTTTAGGGTTTAGGGTTTAGGGTTTAGGGTTTAGGTTTAGGATTTAGGGTTTAGAGTTGATCAGTGAAAGCTGCCTTCTGCCGATGGTGTAGCAAGCGAGGTCACTGCGCGGTGGAAGCACGTGCCAGTCCTGCAAGCCGCCCATGCTGCATGGGTTAAGGGAGGCAGGGCCTTGCAAGTGAAAAGTCAAGCAGCGGTGACCTTGATGTACTCTGTTATGGCGTTGCAGACATCTAGGCATGTCGCGAGCTCATCTGCAGGGAGATCAAGAACCTGCCTCAGCTTCAGCCTTTTGGTTTGGACACACCGCTCCATCCCCGCATCTCACGCTGGTAAGGCGAGGCACCACAAGTGCTGAATTTGCTCTTCCGTCTTGAAGAGAACCTTGGCAATATCCGCCTTCCCAATTGTCGTACCTCAGAGTTGCGGAACCACATGGAAAGTTCCCTGCATGATGTTCCTGTGTCTCAGGTACCCTGAGGGTGGGGGCCCACGTTGCCTGGGTACTAACATGGAAGGCCTAAGTATCAGGATCCTCTGCTAGGAGGATTTTCGTGGCGTCTTATGGTCTGGGCTCTAAACTATGGGGGGGGGGGGGGGGGGGGGAGGGACCTACATTTTGGGGATTGGGAACCCTAAACAAAAAAAGAACTCACTAGTATGATGGAGACCCAATCCAATACAACACATAAGTTACAAGACAAGAATACAACAACACAACAGCACAACAACACAACAGCACAACAACACAACAACACTACAACACCACAACACAACAACACAACAACACCACAACACAACACCACAGCACAACACCACAACACCACAACACCACACCACACTACACCCCAACACAACACAACACAAAACAGAGCACCCAGAGTTTACCTTGGGATGTTCCCCTTATGCTACCAGACCTTACTAGGGATTCTAGTGCCCCCTGTTATAATCCCTGTTGAGGAGCTGCTAAGTCTGGGGGGGGGGGGGGGGGGAAATACCCCTAAACCCTAAACCCCAAACCCCAAACCCTAAACCCTAAACCCTAAACCCCCTAAACCCTAAACCCCAAACCCCAAACCCTAAACCCTAAACCCCAAAGCTCCACCAGGATGCCGCTGCCATCGCCGCTGAGGTGTCTGCAGGTCTGGGACACAAGCCCCTCGTCGCAGAGCGGCGGGAACTCGCCTTGGCAACGGAGCCCCCCTTGGGTAGGGTTTAGGGTTTGGTTTTAGGGTTTAGGGTTTAGGGTTTAGGGTTTAGGGTTTCGGGTTTAGGGCTTAGGGCTTAGGGCTTAGGGCTTAGGGTTTAGGGTTTAGGGGAATTAGGGGTGTCATGACTTTTCTCGAGGGGTTTAGGGCTTAGGGTTTTCGGGTTTTGGCCTGAGAGCTACAAGGGACTGTGGCATGATGCATATAGAACCGACATACTGTGTACGGTATACATGATACTGTATAACTGTGTACATGAAACCAAAAACACACTTAAAATCACAAATGAACAAGCAAACTAACAACAGCCGTTGCAATAACAAAATTTAGGATACTAATCAAAAATTATGAAGAACCATACAGGCCAATAGAAGAAGTGTGGCATGCACCCTGGGCATTCCGAGCTTGACACCGTCAGGAAGTTGGGGCATGTAGTAAGCAATTAAAGAATTCAAGTCAAGGAGTTGTCTCATTGTTCCTCATAGACGAGAACCCCCAGTGCTTCTGCCCTTCTCTCGCATAAAGGGAGCCGAGCGGCTGAAGCTCAGATTGCCAAGGTCGGCGTCCTTACGGGCACTTTTCCGGCAGGGGCGCTTGAGCTGTTAGACTACCAGGCCTTACAGGGTGGGTGTAGAGCCCTTCCCCGGTCCTCACGGCCCGCCCGCAAGGCCCAGCAGGCCGTCAACGCTTGCACCAAGAGCCCAACGCCCAAGGTTCGAACCATAGGGGCCTGGGAGGGTTCAAGCTGGGCAGACTGAGCCCTCTAACACTTCCATGAAATCGCAACATATCGCAACTGCGTGACCCTTGTAGCATTTTAAGTCCGCAGGTCTAAAACGGGAACATGGGCATTGGTGGCGAACCCTCTAGGCACTGAACCCATCAGCCACCCAGGCTCAGGCGCACGCTCACTGAAATTCTCAAACAACCCGGCGCGCTGCATAGCTGCCACCTACTGAGCTAGCAGATGCTTGCAAAGCCGAAAGAAGCCACGGGCACGTGAAGCTGAGAGATCTTCGAATCAGGCTCCAGATCAGCTGTAAGGTGCCCCAAGAGCTAAGCTGAATGAATCGCCACGCGCAAGCACCCCAAGACTTTTTTGTCAGTTTTTGCCACGCTTGGCCCTCAAGCTGGCTAGGAACGCCCGGGTGGCGGCTCCAGTCTTTGAGCCTGCGTCCTCGTCTTGCGAAGCGCTTTCGCTGTCCTCGAGGTCCTCGGCGTCAGGGCTTTCGGGATCCTCGGGCTTCGCCGCGCCGTCGCGTGCGCCCGGTGTCGCTGCTTTGGCCTTTCGCCTCCTCTTCCGTGGCGCTTTCGGCGTGTTCTTTGCAGATCCTTCGTCGCCTTCCTCTGGGCTCGCACCCAGCAGCCACATGACGCGGGTGCGGCCAAGGCGAAGCAGTGGCTGGCCGTCCCTCTTGCTGCTGTGCGTCTTCACGGCGGCACTGAAGGCATCTCCACGGCGCAGGGATGCCAGGAGCTTCTGCTGGCCCTCATCGAGCATAGTGCCCAGCGCACTCCTGGCCCCGTCCACGTCCGCGCAGGTGGCGCCGAAACTCCAACACCACGTGCTGCCACCCAAGGCTGCTGTGAGGGACCTCGCCACACTCTCGTGGGGAACTTCCAGAAGCTCAACCATGCCACGTGCCGTGCCCTCTAGCCTTTGGACGGCGCACTCGAAAGGCTCCAGCGCAAGATCCCGGCGAAATCTTAGCAGCGCCTGCTTTGGAAGCTCTTGAAGCTTGGTGACGACCTCCGGGGGGGTTTACGGAAATAGGAAACCCCCAATATATCCCCAAATAGTAGGGTTCCCTCATAAAAAGAACCCCTAAACCCTTAAACCCTAAACCCTAAACCCCCACCTCCGGGGGAGCCTCCGAGACGTCGCCGTCGACCTTTCGCTTCTGCCCGCGGCCCATGGCGGACCCCCTTTATCGACCTACTGACTTGTTTAGGGTTCAGGGTTTAGGGTTTAGGGTTTAGGGTTTAGGGTTTCGGGTTTAAGGTTTAGGGTTTAGGGTTTAGGGTGTAGGGTTTAGGATTTAGGGTTCTGATGTTCATGAATCATGAACAATACTAATACAGAGTGTGTAGGGTATGTAACAGTGTATAGTATGCAGCATAATACATATATAGAGTGGGAGAGAATAGTAGAGAGTATAGGTTTTATATGTTTTTGTATGGTAGTGAATTCTGTCATGATATTCCTTCTTTCCATCCTCTGGGCTGAAGCAGCCACTGCCTTTGCGATGTCTTCCCCGACTTCTTTTAGGGTTCAGGGTTTAGGGTTTAGAATGCGCAGACAGCATGCTCAGCAGGTGTTACGAGCGTGCCGTCCTTCAACGTGATTCCCAAAAAGCTGGCCTGACTGCACTGAACAGAGCTGAAACCTTGGGATGTTCCCCTTATACTAACACTCCTTAATAAGGTCTATAATAGGGGTATGATAGGGGGTCCCTGAATCACTATGTAGGACTGTTCGTGTAAGTGGGAACATCTCAAGTGAAACCCCCCAAGCTCCTTGGCTCTCTAAACTCTGGCCTTGTCATCCCGCAAAGCCCTAAACCCTTTGTGCCCCCCAAAAAGGGACTCTCGAGTAGTAGCATAGGGTCGTTACTAATGTACAAAGGGTTTTGGGGGATAGTATGTGGGATATACGGACCATAAGGGAAGACTGTTAGTAGTTAGTAGTAATCATGTACAAAGGGTTTTGGGAGTCATGATAGCATGTGGGATATACGGACCATAAGGGAAGACGATTAGTAATTAGTAGCTCCCCGAGCGGAGCCCAAGCGCCGAAGGCTGCAAGAATCTGCTAGAAGCGAGGTTGCGCGAGCCCAAAACCCCCCGAAGCCCTGAATTCCTCAACCTTTCAAACCCTGAACTCCCAAACCCTAAACCCTGTACTTGTAAACCCTAGGCCCCGTACCCGTAAACCCTCAGCCCTAAACCCTAAACCCCAAACCCTAAACCCTAAACCCGAAGGCCCGGTTCATTTTTCAAGAACCCAATAAGCTTCGCCCAGCGGTCGGGCAGCCCCAGCCCCTTGTTGGTGGAGGAGGGGGTCCAAAACCTCAAACACTTCAAAGGGGTTTAGGGTTTAGGGTTTAGGGTTTAGGGTTCAGGTTTAGGGAGTTTAGGGTTTAGGATTTAGGGAGTTTAGGGTTTAGGGGCTTTGGGTTTGGGCGCTAGGTTTAGGAACCATGAAACAAACATGACGACACCCTTGAAATGTTTAGACTAGACAAAGCATTAGAAGCCCTAACGACAGCCGGGGGTGGAAAAACAAGAACAAAAGCACTCAGTAGCTCAACCCAAGTTAGGTTATGATTACCTGCCCAGCTGTGGGAATTGTAGGGTTTTTTATTTTCAAATGGGTTTCACAGGGCTTTGCACGTTTTTTTCGGGTATTTGCGGCTGAGGGTTTTGGGGGTCTAGAGTTTAGGGAAGTATGTTCTGATCATGGTCATGTTCTTCTTGTTTAATTGCATCGGTCCTTCGAGTTGTCAGTATGTGGTTTGGTATCCGGAAACATGAGCAGGAACTGAAGTAGCATAGGACGAAGAGGGTGGGTAGCACCGACATCATGATCAGGATCATTTGGGGCTGCTCTCGGTTTGTGAGGACTGATCATTCGCGAGGCGCCCACTGGACCAAACTCGGAGGCGTACTCCATCAACAGGGGCTGGGCTTCGGCATTAACTTGCGCGGCTGCCGCATCCATCATAAAGACAGCAATCACCAGTTTAAAAGCGGCATGGGGTAATTCCCACCTGCCGATCTATAACTAAGTCTCACAGCGGCTGAGATCAACCGGACGGGGTGAAGTACAGCTGGATGATTTCCAGCACGACCTGTTGCTGCTGCTGCTGCTCACAGCCAACGCTTGTGACCACAAGCAAACGAGGCCGTGAAGCGTGCAGCGCACCATCATGTCAGCACCCCTGAGACTAAACTGACTAAGCTAGACCATGGTTGGGGTGTGTTGAGGCCTTTCTCTGTCGCTCTCATTGCTGGTGCCTCAACGAGGATCAGTATGATGACAATCCATTCAAGTCGTGTCTCATGGCTCACCTGTCAAAGGCTGTGGCACTGATTTTGAACTTTGGCTTCTACCGAGCGTTCAACTGCACGCAGAAAACCATCTGCATAGCAAAAGGCGAAGCTCAAGAATACGGATGATAGAGTCTGATAGAGCATGTGACAGTGACAGCTTCTGAGCTGTCAACATGACTACCAGCAAAGTTGGAGAACATGCTGTGACAATGAGAAGCAACATGCCAGCCGCACATTCAAGCTGTTCTGCAGCAAGTCATATAGGTCCTCAGAATGCAAGACAAGTTATTGTGTGCTCTAGGTGGACACTCACTATCACTCTTCGTCGGACAGCATCATGAAAGTTCAGAACTGTGACCGCAGAACGACCAGCAACTGCTACGCAAAGAACCTTCAGCAACGCCTACGCTTCCTGCACTCGGAACGGCCCCTGCGTTCATGAAAGAGCTGTCCTTGAGGACCACTAAACGCTGATTCAGGATGTCCTTGGCAGCATAGAGCGCAGCTGAAGTACCCTCATTCTCTGCACATGGTCACTTGGCCATCAGATTGATGCTGTCAAAGTGCGACGCGCTTGTCCTCGGATAGTGCGTCATTGCGACTGTTGACAGAGCATGCGTAGCATTTTAAGTCGAATTAACTGCAGTGTTACTGCGATGCTGTCTGCATGTCCCGCACAAACCGACTCTTCAGATGCCGAAAAAAAAACGACTGGACAATCTTCACGACCATCAGGCAAACCAATACGTCTCGCACTAGGCAGTGCTGCCCGACTGCGAACCACAGCGCTCTGTCCCAGTGCGAGATACAATCCACAGCAAGCGCTCTTGGCGGCTGGATAAGATGTAGCACACATGTCGTGAAGGTGAACAGGTGCCCACACAGCCGACAAGATTCGATGTCCAGGTACGATCTGCAAGCCACATAGATCTTCTCAAACCTCTCCTGGCAACAAGTATGGTGCACCACACTACAGCCACGGGGCGGCCTGCCTCTTGGCTGGAAATGACTATGCAGTTTTCTTCTTCTATTGCGGACAGGGTCCCCGAAAGTCCCGGCTCGCTGTCCAGTCCTGTGGCCTGGTTCCTGTTGACCGCCCCCCCCATTCTGAGGGGTGGCTGTGGTCGGTCGGTAATTCTGTGTTTCCTTCATCGTTCGAGCCGTCGCTCGTCGTCGCTGGTCTTCGCTCGTCTTCGCGTGTCTTTGCGTCTTCGCTTGCCTGCGCAGATTTCCGCACGACCGCGCCACCGATGCGATGTTTCTTTTTGTTCTTGGGGCTAGGCGGCGAGGAATGTGCCTCTCTCCCTCTCCCTCTCTCTCTCTCTCTCTCTCTCTCTCTCGCTCTCGCTCTTGCTCTGTCCGTTGTTTTCTTGGCACGTGATTTTTGGTAGACTGCAGTCACCATCTGACTACGTGTCACAATCATGCCCTACGACATTCGCGCTTGGAGGGCCGAAAGAACGATAGTATGTTGAGGGAAATTGCTGAGTTCGTCATGCGCTCGAAACAAAATCTTCGCAGGGAACGCAACGCATTCTCAGCTCGCAAACCCTGCAAGCCCAACGCCAGCACAACCCTAAACCCTAAACCCTAAACCCTAAACCTGTCCTCATCCCAGAAGATGTCGGGCGTGTCAAGAATGTCGGTGTGCAAGTTCACGTCGCATCTGGTGAGAGCCAGCTAGGGTAAGCCAAGTGGGGATTTCCGAACTCAGGGGTACCTTATTGGGGTCCATATTACTAAGGGATTCTCACTTTCTGAGGGTCTATCTTACGGTTCCCTTATTTTCGTAAATTCCCACCTCAGCATCAGAAGCGCGCCCATCTGCTTCGCGAGCGCTCGCGCCTTGTCAGATACCAACTCAGGGGGAGGTTTGTTGGAAAGCGTGGGTTCTGGCGGTGTTGAGGATATCAGCTTGGGTCGACGCACTTCCTCCCTCTGCGCTGAGATGATGATGATGATGATTCGATGATGATGATGATGATGATGATGATGATGATGATGATGATGATGATGATATTATAAAAGCCCTTGGTATGATTGCAATAAATCAAAGAGTTGTAGATGTATAAAAATGAACAAGAAAAATATTCGAATATTCGATGATGAACTTTAAATACAACTGTGACTAACATATTTTCAACAGATTTTTTCCACACATGCAACATGCGAATTCTGGTTCACTCAAATAAAGTGAAAGTGAGTTTGCATATCACAAAATCAGCAACAAGAACAGTAGCCGTGAAAACACACACACCCTACAACATTCGATGAAGGGCATGGCATGCTCCGGGTGGCGTTTTGGGTTCGCGCTTTAGGGTCTGAGGGGTCCAGGGGCAGCAAGACGAACCTCCATTTTGACTTCCCCAGTCTCGGCAAGGGTTTCAGGGATGCTCCTGCACGGGCGACGCTCAGGGCTTCTTGCAGGTGCGACAGAGTTGAGGAACGTCAAAGGGGTTTAAGGAACCCCTGCACATTACCCCTGCTAAGAGCCTGTCTGCTTTAGGGGCTGAGGGTTGCTCGAGTTTGGAACAGAGGCTGCTACATGTGAACCCTAAACCCATGCGCTACACCCTAAACCCTAAACCCTAAACCCCAAACCCTACATATGCCCTGGGCCTTATACCCTGATGGAGCTCCTTGTCTCCCTGATGGACTTCTCCACCACGAGCTCGAAGCTTCCCAGCCGTACAGACTGTGCCAAGGCCTCTTGGGGTTCATGGGTTCATGGGTTTGGGGGTTTAGGGGTTTGGGGGGGTTCAGGGGTTTAGGGTTTAGGGGTTTAGGGGTTTAGGAACGAACTTCTTGACCGTGCATGTGCCTAGGTCTAGTGCGGCAAGCGTCGTAGGAATGCGCCAGCTTT